TCCAGGTGTTTCAAATTCGGCTATCATTTTGATATTTGGTATTTCAGGAAATATGTCGAAACAACGGAAATTTCTGATTTTAAATGTTACTTTTCTATCCGTTTAGTTGTAGTGGAACTTATTCAACTTAATTTTTCGATTGCGTTAAACTGTTAACGTTAACATCAATGTTTCAAGATTTTGGATTTCTACCATTTAGTAGTCGTAGTTGTTCTTGTCTTATATGATAAAAGTTTATTACTGAATGACATGTATCTGAGTAAGTATCGCGCAGCGTGTTGCATATTATACTTTTTCTGCGACCTTTAATTTTTCAGCTTTTAAAGTATACCGAATCTCTCCAAACTGACTTGCTACAATATTTAACGGAGCTGACGTCTTAGAGTAACATCAGAAAATCGAATCTAGATGCTCTGGCTCGCACTGATAAACAAACCAAGGACTGACTCTCGGAACTTGTAATCTAATCTAGCGACTACACCAACTCATTCAAAAAAAAAATTGCATAGGCTACACTCGCACTACACTAACGAGTCTATCTATAAGTACTTGTGGTTATCAACCAAAATCCATTTAGTCGAATGGCAAGTTAAGGTTTTCCAGCAACAAATAACATGTTTTCAAGAAAAAAGAATGAGAAAAATTGTTTTACATCTTTAAGCGCTAAAAAAAAAATACACATGCACATAAAAAATAAGTTTTTCTTCACAGTAGACATAAGAAACTTAACCTTAAGTAAGGGGTGTTTTTTTTTTCGATGTATAGAACTTTAAGTTACAATAAAACAACGATGGATTATTCGATTGACATGAATTTTATTTATCCGAAAGATAATCTTGTGGCATTACATTTTAAATTTGATTTCTGGCATATGACCGCCACGGCTGGCGCGGATGTAGTCCAATCTGGACGTCCAATTTTCGATGACTTTTTCCAACATTTGTGGCCGTATATCAGCAATAACACGGCGAATGTTGTCTTCCAAATGGTCAAGCGTCTGTGTCTTATCCGCATAGACCAATGACTTTACATAGCTCCACAGAAAGTAGTCTAGCGGTGTTAAGTCACAAGATCTTGGAGGCCAATTCACAGGTCCAAAACGTGAAATTAGGCGGTCACCAAACATGTCTTCCAATAAATCGATTGTGGCACAAGCTGTGTGACATATTGCGCCGTCTTGTTCAAAAAGAGTTAGTAATCATAGCTCTATACCGATCACCATTGACTGTAACGTTCTGACCATCATCGTTTTTGAAGAAGTACGGACCAATGATTCCACCAGCCCATAAAGCGCACCAAACAGTCAGTTTTTCTGGATGTAACGTTGTTTCGACATACACTTGAGGATTAGCTTCGCTCCAAATGCGGCAGTTTTGTTTGTTGACGTAGCCATTCAACCAGAAGTGCGCTTCATCGCTAAACAAAATTCACTTATGAAAATCGGGAACAACGGCAATCTCGTTTTGGGCTCATTCGACGAATCTACGCCTTACTTGATGATCTTTTGGCTTCAATTCTTACACGAGTTGGATTTTTTAAGCACGTAAACCAAGATCCTTCCACAAAATCTTCCATAAAGTGGATGGACATACATCCTATTCCTGTGCTCGATGGCGGATGGACTCATTCGGGTCTTCCTCAATGCTACGCTCTCCAGCAGCAATAGCTTCTTCTGTACGCACCGTACGGCGTCTCTGGGGATGCGAGTTATCAATAAGAGTAAACGTGGTGCGAAAACGTTCCATGGTTAATCCAATTAATGGACGTAGTGCGCGATACGTATTCCGCAGAGAACCATTATTTTCGAAATAAAATTGCACTATTTTCAAGCGTTGTTCAGGCGTGAGTCTATTCATGATGAATTGCTAAACCAAACTGAGAATAAATCACTTGACAGCTGTTAAATCGGTCACCATCTTGAACAGTAATGCCAACTTAAAGTTCTATACATCGAAAAAGACACCCATTATAAGAGCACCCTTAATAAACAGGACTTATAAAAATATTAATAGAATTTCATAAATAAGTCATTTTACACTATACAATTTCTACGTTTGTGATTAGCGCCATTTCAATGCCCGTAAACAGCATTGTCATAATTAAATTTTGACAGAACGGGGGATTCGCATTGAACTTTTTTTACGAGAAAGTTTATAAAGGTTTGGTTTCATCTCTCTTTACGCTCTGCCCCCCAATTTTCATTACTGGTGTTCTCTTCAATAAATAATTTAAAAATTAACTAAACGCTGGTGGAAGAAAGACTGCAAAATATCCCAGAAGAGCGTATAACTTCTAGCTTCGAAACCAATTGAGAAGTTCATTAATATTAAAAGTGTTAAGCTTGTCGGCGACACGTATAACTTCATCATTTAGATAGAGAAGGACTGGCAGGCAGGAAGAAAGTATATAACATTCATTGATAAACTGCCACATTTGTTGACCAACTAGTTCAGTAGGTACTTATTTATTTTTAAAGTATCAACACAGACTACTAAAATATAAGGAAATCGAGTGCAAATATATAACAAAGACTTTCAGTCTGGGAAATTGGTGGATATATTTAAACCCGCAAATGTCGCTTTTGGCATAAAATTCAAAATATATCAGAAATGGCAAGACTTAGTTGCAGGTTATTATATAGGGTGTTTCAAAGGTTGTAGTTTACTGCCAACGATACCTTGGATTGTTCTGAAAATATGGTTAATTCTGCGACGTTACCGCTTCTACGAAAAAGTAGCATCAAATAGAAAATTAAAATTTGGACGTTCCTAAGTGCACATTATTTCTTAATATCGAAAAGTTCTATATCATACAGATTTGGCCAAAAACTAATGAGATGCATAAATAGTGACAAACGCATTTTTTACATGTGACACCTTGTATATTATCACATATTATTAGAGCGAGTTAAATTCCCTACACCTACACCTAAATCGTTTGATTCCTGAAATCAAATCAAGTTTCCCTGAAAACTGGATTACTTTGACATAATTCATCTATTAGATGTTATGTTAAATAATTCATTTTCCGTTTGTGGTCCAAATTTTGTAGATAAAATCGGTTCAAAATGGAAGAAAGATATTCTAATGCTTTTTTAATGAATGTGTTTATTCCGCAGAAATTTAATGAAACGAATTCCGATTTACAAACATGAACAAGCCAAAAACTCGCAGAATTAAGAAAAACATTTAAAAACTCTTTACACTAGCAAAAAATTAGGAACTTAAAATAAAAATTGCTTACAGAGATTTTTTTTTTACTTTAGGTGTTAAAAGTGTTCACCATTTCATTCTTTACTTTAAGTAGACTGATGGTAGTACAAGATACAAGATAAGATGCTAAACAACTACGTTTTACAATAAAGTAATTGTAGCAAGTTAAACAAAAAGTTCAATATAAATTTCATAAGTACATGTAAATACAGAGATGAAGTATAAAAAACAGAAAACCAAATGAGAATACAAACGACGATAAAATAGACAAAAAATGAGATTTAATGATCTAATATGTATGCTTGAAATATTTTGTAAATCGTAATGATCGATATTTTTAATTTTAGTTATGGTTTCAGCAGCATCTTTTGTTCAAAGCATCGTACAATCCGATGACGTAACTCTTCCTTGTTTTGCGCCGGTGTCACACAGACATGTGACATTAACGAATCCCAAAGGTACAAATCTAATGGCGTGAGATCGGGCGATCTTGCTCACCAATCCCGTGGCCTAAACTGTCGAAACCGATGGTCATTAAATAATTCGTCTAATTCTTGTGACACCTCTTCAGTGCGGTGAGCCGGTGCCCCAGCTAGTCGGTCCGATATTCCTGAAGGCTAAAATTATTATTATTGGAAGGAATTTTGAGGCATTCAATGGTTCAACGTAAATTGGAAAATTTACTTTATCATCTTTTAACAAACAAAACACGTTTATACTGAAATTTCGTTTGAAATACCATTTCTCTTCTAGTATGAGGATTGTCGACACACCTGCAGTGTTCATTTCTTCCATTGAAAATACTCTTTTCTAAAAATTTTGCCAAAGTAATGCATTTTTCTGAGAAAGTTGCTTCTATTTGAGAAACTGCACTACACGAATTTAGTATTTAAAATATGTGATAATGTGGAAATACAATGTGTATTTAAAAACTGCACTTTTCAACATTTTTTTATTTGGTAGGTAAATGATTAGTTTTGACCGACCCTGTATTTTTTAAAACTGATTTTAATACTAAGAAAGTCGATTCGATACCTCGCTAAGCTATGTCAAAATTTTAACTTCCTACTGCCTTTAGTGGAGTAGTAATAAATATTTAATTGAAGCTTTGCTTTGATTGGAAAAAGGAAGAAAATAATTATTTTCTCGAAAGCCGAACATAGGTACCGGAACGTATTATTCAAAAACAATTATCAAGGGTTAGCGGATCGATAAATTCAACAATATACATGGAATCCCATTTAAAATTTCAATATTGATACTACTTTTTCGGCAACGTCGCAAGGTTAAAAACTCATCAACCGTGAAACACCCCGTATATAACAATATAATATTTTAAAAGTATAAGTGAATAAAAAAAAACTCGTAATAAACGGGCCACACCCGGTAGTTGTGATTTTTGACACTTACACCGAAATACTCACTTAATAAGGCAAGGAAAGTCGAAAACCGAGGCAGCAGATAGTTCTCTATCCCCGTCGAATACGAAGTACGGAGCCGACTCCCTTGGACCAAAATCTTGCTTAACATTAGACATTACAAGAATTATTTTTCATACGCCCCCAATACACATAATAACATTTGCGCTCTGACTAGCTAAAAAGTATAACGACCGCAACTGATATAATTTGTCGATTGCGCTTGTACGTAGAACATTCCATACAAATGATCTCTTATTCATCCGGTGAAAGATTATTTCTTACATATTCTAAAACCGCATTTAGTACTAAGAATCCCAGTCAATTCATTATTTTGGCCCTAGTATTATTAAAAGTTATCATTACAAGAATGTTACATGTTTTGCGATAAAACCTTATCTGCTATTGTGATTAAATTAATATTGAACGCGTTAAAATGGGTTCTGAAATATTAAGGCAAATGCTGTGGTTAATTTTATTTCTCTATAGTGTTGCTGCCTCAGAGAGTTGCGGCTACCAGGTGAGTGTTTTAACATACCTCAAGAATAATAATTTTAAATATGTTTTTAGTCCTGTCATTTAACCAAAGATGGATACATTAATTTACATATGGTACCGCACACCCATGACGACATGGGTTGGCTCAAAACGGTCGACCAGTACTATTATGGAGGTAGTCCGATGCAACGAAAATATAAATTTGATTTTTTCCATCTCTTCTTCCAGTGCGACAAGACACCTACCCAGCGTCAGTACGCAGCATTTTAGATAGCGTGGTAGAGGCGCTAAAAGAAAATTCGGATAGGAGGCTAGTAAAACAATTAATCACAATTCAAATTGACAATTGACCAAGCGTTTACGAATAGGTTCATATGGGTTGAGACAGGATTCTTTTGGAAGTGGTGGCTAGAACAACCGGAAGACGTCAGAGATAATGTGCGAAATTTGGTAAACAGTGGTCAGCTGGAGTTCGTAGGTGGGGGGTGGTCCATGAATGATGAAGCCACCACTAATTATTTGGCTATAATTGATCAAATGACGTGGGGACTTAAGTAAGAACGATATCTGGCGTTCAACACCGCATTTTTATCCCCCACTTGTTGGGCAGCTCTCGGTTATATATTTTTTTCTCATATAATTCTAAAGATTTTTATTGAGCGTAATCGGAAATTCATGGAGTTTTATATAATTTTGCATTGGTAGATATTTTCAGAAATGAACTAACACTTCTCATGAAGATCTATGACTTTACTTTTTCCTTTTGTGGTGAATTTATTGTAGGAGATACAAGTATCACATTTTTTTCTCAGAATCAATTCTTTATCAGCTTGTTGCTTTCGAACAATCGATAAAATCGAATTTTTCGAAAGCACGGGCGCTTGGCAACGAAACATATCTGGGCAACGGTTGGTCCTATAAAGTCGCCATTGGTACAGATGGAATTCAGCGTTAAAAAAAGAGGTTTTTATTTTTTTGTCTGTTTTTCCGGCCCCTGCTCTCTGATCTCTGTTCTCTGTCGAAAATAACTCGCGAAAGGTATGAGCTGGGATTCTGAAATTTGGCCCCTTTTAAATAGTTCACAAAACACATAAGCCTATAATGGTCGCAATTGATCAGGGGCGTCCATTTTTTTTATCGATTTTCGCCTGTTTTTCGTACATCGCTATGAAACCTGATAAGGGTCCAAAATTTAAAGCCATCGACTTTTGCGCACGTATTAACCTTAGTTCCTTAACGGAACCATTGAAACTGGTCGGGGGGGGGGGGGGGGGGGACTAATTTTAAAAATTTAAAAAGAACATTTGCAATGGTCTAATTTTTTTTTTCTCAAAAACGGTCTCGAAGTCTCGAATGAGAAAACGCGCGAGATACAGATCTAGAAATTATTAAAAATAAATTTGTTGAAAATGAAAAAATGAAAATTTATTATAAATGGAAGACGATTTATTAGTGTTCAGTTTCTTTTAAATGGTTATATAGTTCGTTTAGACGACTATAACTTTTCAATTTTATGTTTTCATATATTGTGCATCACACACGCTTCTCAAAGTATTTGAAAAAATCCACATGAAAATCCCTATGTATTAGAAATAATCTTGACGCGATGACGTCATTTACTCTTACTGCATGGATTCGGAAAAAAAAATCTCAAAAACTGTTTACCCTATGGCTAAAATTCTTCAACCAGAAGACGAAGAAGATCCGGAACTATAAGCTCCATTTCAAGCATTTTTTCGATTATATATAGGGTTTCTCAGTCATAAACAAAAATATAAAATACCCTGAAAATTGTTGATTTCGGGATTAAATTAGTCGCTATAAAATAAAATTCGTAAAAAATATGGATATTTGCTTTTGATTTTTGATTTTTACGGTTTTCGTCTATCACACACCCTTGTCGATCCATGTGACAGTGGCTAAATCTCGCACTCAATGACGTCATTTACTATTACAACGTACTGCATGGTTTCAGAAAACAAGTATTTTCTCGAAAACTATTTACCCTATTGAAAAAATGCATATATCAGAAAACGTGGGAGATCCACGGGAATAACTTTTACTTCGGTGTTCGAAGTGTTTTCGGAGCGCGAGCATTGAAGATGCCAAGTGAGATTTTGGCGAAACGTCTGCAGGATTCCAGTCGGATGCAGGATTCCAGTCGGAGTTCAAACTTGAATAATTACTTCCCATCTATTAAATTTACATATGAAATAGAAAGTAACATGCAGTTGCCTTTTTTGGAAGTTCTCGTTATCAAAAACAGTGAAAATCATATAGTTTTTGACATTTATAGGAAAGACACTAGTACTTTAAGATACATAACCAATGATTCTAACCATGCTTTTCAACATAAAATGACAAGTTTTAATTTTCTAGTCCATAGACTTGTCACATTTCCTTTAAGTCAAGAAAGGTTTGAGGTGGAAAGAAGCCTATAAAAAAGGTGACTAGAATCAACGGCTATGAAGATAGTTTTATCGATAAGTTAATTAGGTAATTTAGATTTAAAAACAAACTTCAAAAATCAACGACTTTTCAAGTTGATAAGGAAAATTTAAAAGCAGTCTCAATTCCTTTCTCTCCCCAATATACAAGTGGAGTTGATAGAGTCTTCAGGGCCGCAGATCTTCGAAGTGTCTATCAGTCCGGATCAAAATTAAAAAATCTCTTAGGTAATCCCAAGGAAAAACTAGATACCCTTGAAAAGTTGGGAATTTGTGAAATATGTTGTAACGACTGTGACAAGTCATATGTAGGGTAAACCAAAAGATCAATTAATGTTAGATTTAAGGAAAATTTAACTCATCTAAAATTTGGTAGATTAGAAAAATCAAGTGTACCCGAACATATGTTCAACAATAATCATAAGGTAGATATAAGTAATTTAAAATTAGTTAAACATGTAAATAATAGTAGAAAATTAGATGCCTACGAAAGCTTAGAAATTGTTAAGAGAGGGAATAAAGCACTGAACAAGGACAGAGGTCTAATCCCATTTAGCCCATTGTACGCGCTGATTGGTTGCGTGAACAGTGCGTAATTCCCTCTCCCACTTCCCGATGTGTATATATATAGAGAGCATTTGTTCTATTAAGTTTAGTTTTAATCTTCTCCTGAAGATGCCAACTTGGTTGGCGAAAGGCGCGTCGAGTACGTAAAACTGAGTTTCGGTTTGTGGTAAAACGCGTTGTTGTGTGTTGGGATAATTTGGTTTAAATAGTATCGTAAACTGTGTCGAGAGAGAGTTTCAAGTTTTGTCTAACATACAGGGTAAGCGAGATATTTTAAAAATATCATTGGAAAACGCAATTACTAGAACAAAGTTTTATATTTATTAAAGCTTGAAGTTCGGTGGGACTTGAAAGTCACTTTATACAGGGTGCATGCACAGTAAAATTACATAGATTTTGGGAACGTTCCATAGTGGTTCGCAGGAGCGCGATAGGAAAACTATGCGTCCCCTAGGACAAGAAAAGCGGCTTTTTTATGAAATTTCGAACGCAATCTTGTTCGATAGGTATTTTGTCGATATTTCTTATTGCAATCATGAAATGAATGAATGTTTTTATGAAACGTACTATGCATAGAATATCATAGAAAATGTACGCCGTCAGCTTAATCATGAATGGTCAACTGCTCATACCCTATTTGCAATTCAGGGCGTCATCAAACAGCCGCTCTATTTGACGTTCACAAGTTACATCGTACACACCATGCCTTCTTTGTGTAAATTAGGAAATTGAACGACACTTTTGGTGAATGCGGCAGACCAAAAGTGGGATGGCAGATCGATCCTTTCGGCCACAGCAAAGAGATGGCTTCGATTTTTGCACAGCTCGGTTTCGATGGCCTAATCATCAACCGAATAGATTATGAAGACAAGAATATTAGGTTGGCCAAAAAGTCGATGGAGTTTATTTGGCGAGGAAGTGACAGCCTAGGTTGGTACCCGCATCGAATATAAATAAAATTAAGTGGCAACATTTTCAGGAGCTTCGAGCGACATTTTCACTAGCGTTATGTTCCGTCATTACAGCGCTCCCAGTGGATTGTGCTTCGACTCGGTATTATGTAGGGACGAATTCTTGGTCGACGATCCGGATAACTCAGAGTATAACATACGAAAAAAAGCTGAGGACTTCATCAACAATTATGTTGAAGAAGCCAGGAAAAGTTACGGTACCAGCAATATTCTCATTCCGTTTGGCGATGACTTCATGTACCAATCTGCTGGATCTTACTTGAAGAACTTGGACAAATTAATCCAGTAAAACAAGCAGTTTTATATGACCTCAATAAACTTGTATTACTTCGCAGGTTCGTAAACAACAATACATTCAACGGGCAGAAATACAACTTGATATACTCCACCCCGTCCTGTTATGTGCGAGCGGTATCCGATGAAATAAAAGATAAAGCTACCTTAGAAGTGAAAACCGACGATTTCTTCCCCTACGCCGCAGGTACCAACAACTACTGGACCGGATACTATTCTTCCAGGCCCACAATGAAAAATTACGTCCGCTATTCCAACAACTTTCTCCAAGTTTGCAAACAGCTAAATTCATTAACCAATGTCACTTTCTTGGATCCGAGACTTGACGCACTGAGAGAAGCCATGGGTACCGTCCAGCACCATGACGCTATTACTGGCACTGAGAAAGAACACGTTACCCACGATTATGTCAAAATGCTACATGCTGGAATCACTGGTTGTGAAGGAATTGCAAATCAATCACTTTTGTAAGTTCCCCAGACACTTTGACCGCGAATAATTCACTAACCTTGTTTGGTTGTTTAGTAAACTGATTCGATCCTCAAATATGAAGTTCGAAACGTGTCCTTTGTTGAATGTAAGTCAGTGCGCTGCAACAGAACTAGAAGATGTTTTGATAATTACAGTCTATAATCCGCTGAGCAGGAACGTATCTAAACATGTGCGCCTACCCATCATAGATGGGTCGTATACGATTAGAGATCCTGAAGGTGTGACCTGAAATCGTTTACTGAGAAATCTGTCTGTTGATTACAAATTTGTAGGAAACTTCTTGGTGACTCAGGAAATACCTATTTCAGAATCTGTGTTAAAGGTACCGGGCCGAACAAGTAAGGCCACTAAGGAAGTAATTTTTTTGGCACAAAACGTCCCACCTTTGGGTTTTAAGTCCTATTTTTTTGAGAAAACTAGTAACAAGTTCAAAACGAAGTCATTAAATTTACCAAAGGTAACGCCGGACTGAGTGAAGTGTTCAGCTTATCTAAAAACTTTCCAGAAAGTGAGTTACAAGAGGAAATCGCCCAACGACTGGAGTTTTTCCTGGAAGAACATTACTTTGGACCTCACGCAACCTCTTCTATACTATAACGGTACCGATGGAGATTCCTACGCACTGAAAACGGGCGAAGAAATCCATTTTCGTGAGATATCACCATCCGTGGTCTACGAAGGAGATTTGTTAACCGAAATTCACCAGACGTTTAGCGATTGGGTCAGTCAAATTGTCCGCATGTATTCAAACGAATATTTTGTCGAGTTTGAATATCTCGTCGGACCGATACCTGATAAGTAATAGTTGAATAGTATAAAAAATAACTAAAAATTATATTCCATTTCTATAGTACAACGGGGAAAGAGGTAGTGAGCAGATTTTCTACAGCTACAAACAGTCACTCAAAATTCTACACGGACACTAACGGTCGCGATACTTTGCAACGGATTAGAGATTACAGGCCTACCTGGAACACGTCAGTAGAACCACCGAGACCTGAAAAGAACTACTATCCAGTAACATCGAAGATATCTATTATAGACGACAATGAAGAAACAATGGTTAGTCTATTGACGGACAGAGCACAAGGGGCAACAAGTTTAAGGGATGGGGAAATTGAGTTGTTGGTGAGTGGAGTTATGCAATGAAACTACAGTCTAGCAAGTATCATTTGAAGGTGCACAGAACATGTATAGGCGAAGGAGCTTACGAACAATTGTTTGAGGAAGCTTTTGGAACTGGCGTCGTTACTAGAGGATCGCATTATCTGGTTTCCGGACTGCTCAATGTTTCTGATTCTGGTAAACTGCAGCTAAAAATTTTGATTTAGCTTACAGTCTCTTTTTTAGAAAACATACTGGCTATAGAAAAAGATTTAGAGGAAAGAAAATTTCTGGACTCTTGGGTATTCTTCGCTTCAAACAACAATGTATCATTCGAAGAATACAGGGAGAAGCATGTGATGGAGGTAAGTGAAGCTTATTTAAATCGTTATAATGAAGTTGTATTTTTTTTGCAGTTTTCAGGTTTAAAGAGAGCATTGCCATCAAATGTGCACGTTTTAACTCTCGAGCCGTGGGCTCCAGATACCATTTTGTTTAGGTTGGAGCATCTGTTCGAAAAGGACCTAAACAACGAACTTTCGAAAAACGTTACTGTGAATGTCAAAGTAAGAACGTACCTGCTTTAACTGGTTTATCCTTCTTTGATATGCAAACAACATGGATTTTTAGGATTTATTTTCAACATTTGAAGTGCTATCTATTAAGGAGGCAACATTAGGAGCCAATCAGTGGTTGGAAAACAACACTTCCTTCAATTTTGTAAACGTTTCCAAAACCAAGTTAAATGACGGAAAATTTGAAATCACCCTGCGACCAATGGAGATAAGAACTTTCCTAATTGAAATTAAATTCTATTGAAACGTATATATCAGGAAATTAAAGTTGACATTTCATTAAACCTGTCTTTTGTTAATTGTCATATGGGCGCACATGTTGATTCGATGCTGAGATATGCAGTGTCTCATCCTGTAAAACGGCTGTAAATTTAAAGAGAAATTCGGTCGTTTATGGACACATCTATATCTTTTTGTAAACGGTAGACTAATGGTATTTTCCACTGAATAACGATGGCACACATATGTTTAATTTAGATTTTGAATTGTTGTATACTGTTCTTCGTGTCACTAATAACACATTATCTAACACCTTTAAGTTTGACAAATTTACCCATCAGTAATTAAATAATATTCTTACGATTTTTAAACAAATAAAGGGTTCGTCAAACTTAACGGAACTGCAAATTCATTTAACCCAAAATCACTAGGAGCAACTATACATATGCCACTATTTTCTACGCACATAATTTATAAGGCAAAAATTTAACACCCTCTCTTTCGATATTAAAGAATTGATGAGTTTTGGATTATGTTTATAAAAAAATATTTTTTTATGTGGTCCACGTTAATGGTTCGAGAGTAAGTAAGTAAGCTTTAAAAAAAACTTTTCATGAGATGATAGGCATTAAAAAGGATGCATAATCGATAGAACTTCGTAGATTGTTTATACACTTGCACAAAATTAATTACATTATTCTACTCCCATCTGTAAAATGCCTAATTGCAGAGAGTCAAGTTCTGAAGAAGCCAACAGGATGATTGCCGAAACGTTACCAAGTTGAAGTCAACAAAAAACGACGCAGGAGGAATCTAGAAGTTTTATAAAAAATATTACAGTAGAAGTTTCTTTGAAGGATTCACGTCAGTTTCGTTTCCCACGGATTCGAGCCACTTCGGACATTTCCGAGATTTCACCGCACGGGTTTGGGAGCAATCGGATGTTTTCGGAGATATTTCCCACGCCTTGAATTTTGACGTTTGTAAATTCTGACAGTCATGTCAGTGAATGAATTCGTGTTGTTTTGAGAAAATGTACCCAAAAATTAACGATTGCAGAAAAAGTATAGTATGCAACACGTTCGGCAAACTTTTTAAGTCACTCGTTTATTAAACATTGCATAATATACAATTACACCTTCAGAAAACGGGAAGCTAAATCTATCAAAAAATAAACAAAATAAAAAGTGCATTAAAAGCTAATAGTGGTTAGCTTTAATTGATATTTGTCACTTGTTTTTTTTTCTTTGCATCTATAATTAACTAAAACCGCCAATAGTAATGTACATTATTTTACATACATTTGCTTCGTAACAATTTTAGTTTACATAATTGCCCTGTTGTACGTTGGTTCCAGATTTTAAGAATTTAGAGTTTTTATAACCTCAGCGCAAAACTCATTAGTTCCTTAATACTTTATGTAATGTAATAGATGTCACTTATATTGCATCTATTATTTTATTCTTTATATTGAGCCTCGAGATTGCAGTGCGATGGGTGTCGAACTTTCCAGTCAACTCTCGACAGGGCCGTAGTCCGTCCGTTCGAGTCACATGTCACACTATATTAGTGGAGATATAGCTGGTTCAAGAAATAAATCAAAATGATTGCAATGAATAACCGCAATTTTGTACTTGCTGGACTTGCAACTTTCATACTGTACTACAGTTCTGAAAACCTAAAATTTATCCGTTAGATTACCAACCTCTTAATGTGTGGGCATTGTCAGGACAATTTTATTAGTGGATATAGTTTTCTCAACACTTTTAAGAAGTGGATGGATAAATTACCATCAAATCTAATGTCGTTCCAATTATCAATATATTAGGCAATATTTAGACACAATTATGAAAACAAATAAATCGCTAAGGAAGTCTTATTATTTACCAAATATAAATGCATTAATCAAACTAAGTGTGAACACAGATCCAAATTTTCTTGAAAATATTATGAAAATATCACACTATGCACCGATCAAGCGTTCAGAAAGTATCACGTTAAGACGTCAACAAAAATATCATTCGCACAGAAAAAAGAGGAAGAGCACATTGCATAAAGGTCCTAAACTTTCTGGGAGAAGGTAAATCCTAATACTCCCAGAAGACATTTTTTTCTAGTTAACATTAACTCTTGTCAAAATAAATAAGAACTAAAAGTTCAGATTTTCACGAAATTTCGTGATGATCCTGATCTGCAAGCAGGAATAAATTTTTCTAGCTTTGTTCAAAACCATCTCTTTACCATGTCTTTACTATACATTTTCAGCAAGAATTAGAGATAAATATGTGCGCAAGCATAACAATAATAATAATAATTAGAATTTACTTTACTCAGATAATTTCGACAAAAAAAATTGCAGGCAAGAGAGATGGAGATGGACCTGTTTGCGGATTTCTAAACCTATCCTTACAAACACAAAATTGTTTTCATGATTTTGATATAGACACAGCAGCGGTGGATCATGCTCCGCGTCTTCATATTAGTCCAACCCGCTTGTGGCTGATGGGTCTTCCACGACGTATTCTGTAAATGAACATCAGGCAGCATATTTTAATTTTCTCAATACGTTTAGAACAGTTAACTGTCAAGCGAGGCTCATACTCGACATCGCAGTAGTTAAAACACGAAGACCACAAGAGCATCGCATAACGTTTTTTTAAGATTTCCAGTAGAGCTTTTTTTCAAAGAATAGCCCTTTGTGTACAAGCTGAGATGTGTCTTTCAAAGCTAAGTTTTGTATCTAAAAGTAACTCCAAATTTTTTGCTTCGTTTCCTAATGGCAGTATAATATGGTCTTGTCTGAATACTTCAGAAGGAATGTAAGCGAGAGGAGTTAAAAACGCGGTAGAGCTGCTTGTCGTCAGTATATGAGTACGCGTGATAGTACTAACGAAATCTGAGCATTTTGCTGTACAAATAATTAACAAAAGAGGGGCTAAAATCGAGCGGTGTGGAACTTCACTTTTTATGTCTAGGCAAGCAGATTCGACCGCGTTCAAGACCATATTTTGCTTTCTCTCCTTTAAGTAGGTTTGTATAAACCCAGATATTAAAGAATGAAAAACAGAATATCGGGATAAATAGTATCAGAAGCCCTAGAGTAGTCGAATAGGACCAACACAGTGTACTTGCCTTCGTCAAACCCTCTAATGATGTCATCTGTCACATTAAGAAGAGCTGTAGCCCACTTAAAGGCGGCCTGGGTGTTGTCAATTTGTTTCTCTTTTTCGACATAATTCACTATTTAAGTTTTTATAACACGTTCTATAGTCTTAGATTATATTTTCAGACTCGAAATGGGTCACTCAATGACTGCGGATGCTCAAATTTAGGAAGAGGAACAATATTGGCTACTTTCCAAATAAGGGAGAAACAGAATGGGTAAAGCAAAAATTTACAAGATGACAGATATAAAAGGGCAACAGAAAATGATAAAGCTAATATGTATTGTCATGTCTAACCGCTCTAGTTTTAATTTGAGTGAGAGATTGTGCAATTTTCAATTCTGACACCATAGAAAACTGAATTGGTCTCATGGGTACGGAGGGTTCTTATAGTAATTGATCACTGGTGATGTCGAATTTGAGATTGGAATAAAGTTAATGAAATATTAACAGTTGATCAGTAATATTTTTTCCCGTGGTTTTTGTTTTTTTGTTAATATGTTTAAATTTTTTAAAATTTCCAAAATTGCTGTTTTTATTGTTTAAAGAATGTTCTATATATGCTATTGTCTCGCACTTGTTGGTAAAGTATTTGTTCTTTGTGTACCTTAATTTGGCTTTATTTCTTAATGTTATGAGAAAATTTGTATTTTCTGAGATCCAGGGTAAGTGTTTCTTTTTAAAGGTAATTGTCACGGAGCATTAACATCTAGGAGAATGTTCATATTCTTATTAATGAAAGACACTTTCATATCAATAGTATGAAAGTCAAATATATTTTGCCAATTTGCATTGATTTTAGGGAATTATCCAATTATCGATCCCTCTGCGCCCTCAGCTCTCTCTCTCTCTCTCTCTCTCTCTCTCTCTCTCTCTTTCTCTCGAACCCCCCAACCCCCCTCCCACACACTCTCTCTAGCTTTGGTTATAAGAAATGACATAAGTAATGACATGGATTTTTGTTTTGTTTTTGGAGCTATGTTAAATGTGGCCCGTTCATTTTAAGCACCCTGTAGATAATAACGTATATTATTTTTCGTTGGTACCTCAATTCCTCAAGAAACGAGAGTCAATTGCATCTGACTTTGTTATCTAGCAACATTGACAAACAATTCGAAACAAACACTTAAAAATCTCTTATCATATACTAAAAAAGCACAGTTCATGCTATACATTATACGATATTTGTCGCATTAACAATCATGCATTTAAAGGTGATTTTTATTTTAATTTTGGTAGCTTATGATTGCGTAAAATGTAGCCCGATATTTCAAGATTCAACGCCAATGTGCGGATATTCGGTTAGTAGGCATTATTGAACCGTTTTCGATTTTTCTGAAATTGTCAATAAAAATAATAATATTAACTAGACCCTGTCATTATAGTCGTGTCATCCAGTTAAAGACGGTCATATTAACGTCCATCTGGTACCACATAGTCACGATGACGTTGGCTGGGTCAAAACCATTGATCAATATTACTATGGGGGTAGATTTTATAATTTTAGAATAATATGCTACTTATTATAAATTATAACTTTCAGTGCACATGAGAGAGAGTAACGCTGGCGTTCAATACATTTATGACAGCGTTTTAAATTCTTTAAAGAGACACGAAGACAGAAGGTATTGTCAACAGTTAATTTTGCAGCCATCAATCTGTAGAAAATTGTTCCAGATTCATTGCAGTGGAAACCGCTTACTTCTGGAAATGGTGGTCAGAACAGGACGACATCACGCGACAAGATTTCACCGCACTAGTAAACGCTGGACGATTGGAGTTCACTGGCGGTGGATGGTCAATGAACGACGAAGCTACCACCAATTACCAGCCCATAATCGACCAGATGAGTTGGGGTTTGCGGAGACTGAACGACACATTCGGAAAATGCGGTCAGCCGAAAATGGGATGGCAAATTGATCCGTTTGGACACAGCAACGAAATGGCCTCCATTTTTGCCAGCATTGGTTTTGATGGACTAATCTTAGGCAGAATTGATTATCAAGATAGAAGTGCAAGAATGGCCACTAAAGCCATGGACATGGTATGGAGAGGCAGCGCGAGCGGAGGCGAATCTAGCGACATTTTCACCAGTGTTCTATACAACATGTATGACGCGCCACCTGGATTTTGTTTTGATTTGTTTTGCGATGACCAACCGATAGTTGATAATGAGAAAAGCCCAGAATACAACGTGGAAACAAAGGTATGCAGTACCTCTACAAATTTTATCACTTGGCCAAACTTTTCAGGCGTTGGAGTTCACCCAATACATCGACACGGCCATTCTCGGATACTCGAGTAACAACCTTTTGATTCCTATGGGCAACGACTTCGCATACCAAGATGCCGAATTATGGTACAAGAACATGGACCGACTTATAAGGTAATGTTTTTTTGGTCACAAGAATTGTGTTGAGTCATTTAAATGCTTCAGGCACATTAATAACAACACCTTCGGGAATAATCGGAAATACAACTTGATGTACTCAACTCCATCATGTTATGTGAATGCCGTCCATGACGAAACTAATGGAGCTATAAAGTCGAAGTTGAAGACAGATGACTTTTTTCCTTACGCTTCAAACTCCAGATCATACTGGACTGGATACTTCACATCAAGACCGTCACTTAAGAGATTCGAGAGGCTGGGCAACAACTTTTTGCAAGTAATTTTGTTCAGTTTGTTTGTTTGTATTGAACTGCTTTTAGAGAGCATGCGTTCACAGGTCTGCAAGCAATTGTCTGCCTTGTCCGACACAAATAAGTCTAATGAATTAAACACTTTCCGTGAAGCGATGGGTGTCCTGCAGCACCATGACGCAGTTTCGGGAACAGAGACCCAAGCAGTTGCTTCCGACTATGCTAGACTACTGTACGAGGGTATTGCAAACGGTCAGCAAGTTACGAATGAAGCGATCAAGTATACCCAGAAATTGGTGTGTGTTATTTCGAATAAATTTATATTTTTTGGTAGGAAATTAAGCAGAGCCGCGGATCAAAATTTTAGCATGTGTCTGTTGGCTAATATAAGTCAGTGTGAACTATCCGAATTGGGCACAAATTTGATAGTTACAGTTTATAATCCACTAAGCAGACCCGTTTCAAAATATGTGAGATTACCAGTTCTGGGAACGGCCTACAATGTGAAGGATTCATATGGTCTGGGATAAAATTAGAAGGAATACCAAATAGATAGTTCATTTTCAGGAAGCAATGTAAAAACGCAGATCGTACCAATACCATCCAGAGTTCTTGATATAGTTGGAAGGGAAAGTAATGCAACCCTGGAACTGCTTTTCCTGGCAAAAGACGTCCCACCGCTAGGTTTCAGGTCTTATTACGTCGAAAAAGTAGTTGGAGAAGATAGGGTAACACCAGAAAGTACAGGCATAAATAGTTTCAAAAATGGAGTAAGTGGAGATTTAAAACAACGAAATTAATTAATATCGTTCATAAATTTACCTTATAGAAAATTATGATAGAATTTGATCCTGATAAATACGGATTCTTTGGAAGAATTTCCATCGCAAATACAAGCCTTGACATCAACCAAACTTTTCTTGCATATGAGGGCTCCACCGAGCGTTCAGATGGTGTATCGGGGGCATATCTTTTTAATCCTCGCTCTGGTGTTCCGGATGAAATAGTCTTGTCGACGCACACCAAAATATACGAGGGAGAGCTGGTCACGGAAATCCAACAAATGTTCAACACTTGGGTAGGCCAAGTGATTAAATTGTACAACGACGAAAATTTCGTGGAGTTTGACTGGATTATCGGACCATTGCCTACATAGTAAGTCACAAAGCTAGTGAAATCTAATTTAACTTACCGCGAATTAAATAGTTACGCAGAAGGAAGGGAAGTGATCAGTAGGTACTCAACTAATTTAGACAGCGATTCGACTTTTTATACCGACTCGAATGGGCGTGAGACTCTGAAGAGAATCCGCAACCGTAGACCGACTTGGAACTTGACAACCATCTTGGAACCTCCTGGACCTAACTATTATCCGGTTTCTTCAAAAATAGTATTGAAAGATGAGAAACGTAATATACAACTAGCCGTCTTGACTGACAGAGCCCAAGGCGGATCTAGTTTAGCAGACGGACAAGTCGAATTAATGGTAAATAATGATCATGTTTCTGTCAGCATTAGGTAAGCATCATTTCAGGTGCATAGAAGCGCATTTGTGGATGATGAATTAGGCGTAAATGAAGCTTTAAAAGAATATGCGTATAATCAACCTTTGGTTGTTAGAGGATCTCATTATCTAAGTTTGGGAAAAATTAGGACTGCTTCCAGCATAGGTAATATTAATGAGTTTTCGAGATTCAAGCGAAATCGTTTAAATTTCTAGAACAACCTAGCACGGTCATAGAACGCGACGTTGCTCAGAGAAAGCTTCTCGATTCCTGGGTATTCTTGTCATCTCTTGGTGCCTATGATTTTGAAGAATACAGAAACAAATTTGAAATGGAAGTATGCGTCCATTACGAATTTTATAAAAATGTATCTAGTACGTCAACCTTTTAGTTTTCTGGGCTACTACACGCTTTGCCATTAAACGTTCATGTCTTAACATTGGAGCCCTGGAGCGATTCGAGTCTGTTATTGAGATTAGAACACACATTTGCCCAAGATGAAGATCCCCAATTTTCCCAGGCAGTAACAGTTAGGTTGAAAGTATGGATTCAAAATTTCCGGAAAAAGAAAACTAACTTTGATTAATTTTAGGATTTATTTTCAATTTTTGATATTCGCTCGGTGAAGGAAACTATGCTTGGAGGCAATCAATGGGCAGATGACAGTGAAAGACTTAAGTTTAAAGCCAGCGATGCTAAATATCCAGAAAATGATGCCAGTCGACAAATTAGTTTGGATGACGATCTCAACGTTACACTATATCCAATGCAAATACGCACTTTCATCCTTTATGTGAAATATTAACGACTTATGACTGTTAGATTTTATATACAACTGGGCGAAAATTAAAGGTTTATTTCTCAACTAAGCTTTTCATTTTCGCCTTGCGATTCCAGTCTTCTCGGTCTGCCCAATCCGTTGGTCGTAAGTTACGTGCTCTTTTTATTCTTCCAATTCATGTTTGCTTGGATCTACCTCTTTCTTTCTGTTGGGACCGATTTCAATATTTGCTTAGGGATTAGTTCTTCAAGTATAGTTGGTCTTACTTGTTGATCTGCCAGTTTTTGTACCAAAGAGTGGAATTCAAGCAGTCGATTCATATTTAACTTTTATATTTCGATAGTCAATTTCTTTCTATGTTCGTCGGTTATCAATTTTTGTCCCTAGGTAGATATATCCATTACATGCTGATCAAATTCCAAATCCTCTATTTCGTCGCTCCCTATTATAGTGCTGGTTTTATTGACCGGCAGTATTCGTAATGTTTTGGTTAACTATAAACTTCAGATCCTCCTCATCTTGGGCAATAACCACCTAATGTACGTGTTTTAATTGAATTACACAGTACACAATTTCCTCCAAGTTCTCAGAGCTTTGTTGAAATATATTTTAAAAAGTGTGGCAAGACCTCTGTTTCAGGCCCTTATTGTGGTATAATTTATAGGGGATTATCTAAGACTTCCTAGAGTTTCTGTGCTGGTACAGTATCATAAGATTTTGCTGGGTCCACAAATAGTAGGTGTACTTCACTGTTTCGTTCTACTATTTTTTTTTCATCTGTACCATTGTAAAAATATAGTCTAGAGACTGCGCGGAAGCCAGTGTGCTATTCAATTTCACGCGGTCCATACTCCTCCTCTATTATGTTACTGAAAATTGTGACAGATACGCATCTGTAGTTTCCACAGTTATCCCTTGGGCCTTTCTTATTTATTAGTTTTATCTAGACCTCTTTCCAACTACTTGGTACGGTTTCTACGTTGAAGTATCTGGTAAAAGTTCTATAAGTTGTTTAATTAGTTTAGTGATCGCAGTATCGCAGGCTTTCTTCTTTTCCATGGACTGTATGCTTTGCTTAACTTTCCCTCAAGAATATTGTTTTATCTATTCTCTCTTAGTTCCTTAGTTGAATGTTACTGCCACTTATCCATCCGGATTGGTTAAATATTCCTCTTATTAGTGATGTTAGTTTCAAGGAATTAATTTCATCTTCTTCATCTAGCGCAGTATTTCAGGTGACTGCTTTGTTTTTGTGCTTCGTTTACTTGTTGGTAAAGGTTGCTGAATTCTGTGATATGTTTGTATAGTTAGTTCCAGAATTTAGATAATCACTTTTTACCTTGACATCCAATCGTGTCTGATACAATTTTACATTTTACATTTAAGTTATACCTGGGTTGATCTACCTCAGTCCCCCTCTCTTCGTGCTTGGCTTCGACTATTTTGAATTTCAACGGATATGTATCTCTGTTGCCAATAAACAGTGGTCTGTCCCGCAGTAATCAATGATAGATTTTAGGCCTCTTGTGTCTTGATGATATCTGTATTTATGTATATTTTTATGTTGATAGAATCCGTTTCATATTACCGTTATGATCCTGCTTCCTGTTCATGTATTACAGTAAGCCATTAAGAACATTTCACGCTGTTCCTAGGTCAGTGATTGTGTGGTTTAGCTGATCATGAAACTCATCCTATTAATTTCAAATGTCAAGGTTTACTGTATCTAGTCTCTTATTTATCATGTTCCAGTTAATGAGGCAGTTTTGGTATTTTTATGTACCATTGTTGAGATGCCTCTGCATACCCTACAAAACTTGTGCCCATCGCTATATATATCTAGGTACGTACTACTGTGACTCATCAATTTAATTCCCTTTTCTCTTTGTCTGAGATGCTGTCGCTATATCCGGTTTTATTTCTGCTAGTCCCTTTATAACATCTTCCATCATCCACACTAATCCCTAAACGTTCCAGGTTGCAAATCACTTTTTACTTTGTATCCGTCAAATTTTCGAGGTCTTATATTAGGATTATTTAGGTTTAATGGATAGCTAACCTGCTGCAAGAACCACCAGATTAGAGGGGCAGATTTTTTGTCCAAGGTTTTTCCTTTATCACATTTGATTTTACCGGTACCACCTATCTGGAAGGCACTCTCCCATTTGCCACCTGGAAAGGCACTCGCATTTTAGTTAATCATTTCATTGATCTCCAAAAGCATAATATCCGAAATTTATGAAGAATTGATAAATTAAAAAGGTTTTTGTTTTTCAATAAAAGAAATTATCGAAAACTTGCACTCCACAAAACACTTGAAACATATCAAAGGTTTCTAAACGACGACGCAGAAAAATCGAAGTCATTTATGCATTAGGATGAAGTGGGCCAATACATATTTAACAATATTCATACCTCTAATAGGCTTGATAAGCTGTTCACTCAATGACGAAGACTTTTTGTGTGGATATTCGGTAAGCAACCCTATTTTGAAAGGCGAAAGTATAAATATGTCATCTAGTCCTGTCCAACGACCAAAGAAGGTTACATAAACATCCATCTCGTACCTCATAGCCACGATGACCTAGGATGGGTCAAGACAATCGACCAATATTATTACGGAGGTAAGTTTTTCATTTTTCTTTTCATCTGCTGTACGCACGGGCTCTTCATTAATCCTAAAAAAGTTCTTTTTATTTCTGATAGAGAGATAGACAGATTCTATAGTTGACTGTGTTAACAAATATATTTATAACAGGTTCAAATACAAAAAAATATATACGATTAGATGAAATCTACAATAAATAGGTATAAAAACGTAATATAAAACATACAAAACAAATAGTTAAATTTTTTAGTCGTCTAAGCAAAAAAACACTTTAGAGGGCCTTCACTAAATAAACAATATCGTCCTTTCCAAAAGCGCAGTTTTCCCTTCCGAACACTTTTATTTGTTGCAAACATTAACCAGTGAGTTTCTCTAAGAGTTTGATGTTTTAAATAGACCTACAATGGACTCCATGCATTATCATTGCAAAAAACTGCTTGTTTTCTATCAGATAATATTATATTACACACAGTGAAATGGGTTCCAAACCGTAAAAATCTAGTTTTTCAAAGTAAAATTGTGACCTTGGAGAGACCACAGAGCGTTAAAGAACTATGCTCCCCGCGCTCAAAGCACTCTATTATGCCGGTGCAACTATGCAATAGTGCTTGGGTAGTACAACGCCATTTTATAAACCCAAACTAATTTGGATTTATTAAATCATTAGATTCAAAATAATAACGATTGAGAATGCATCATTTTTGCCAAAACTATCGAAAATAATGGGATAATTGAAATGGGTCGATCGATTTACTCAGTAAAAATCTATATATGCTCCTGTAAAAAAAACAAATAAATCTAGAGCTTCTGAATCATTCAAGGAAATAATAACCTACTGGACCTCAAGTTCTTATCTGAAACATATTTTTCTTGTAACGGTCAAATTTATGAACCATTATCACCAGTCCTAGCGAATTTATTTATAGAAGCCTTTGAGAAGAAAGCGCCGACACCTTCTGTCTAAAATCACTACGTTGATAATACTTTTGTTATTTGGCCTCATGGTCAAGAATCGCTCCTAGATTTTCTTAGCCATTTAAAGCTCTATATATATATATATACTATAATAATCTCTCATTCTTAGACACTCTGATCAATAGAAAATGAGACATGATGTATCATTCTGTTTCTAGAAAACCTACGCACACAGACCGATATCTTAATGTATTTTCACATCACTGTTCGATCCAAAAATAATCCGTTATGAACTCTCTTGTTTACAGAGCCGTAAAACTATCTCAATCCGAATCACTGAACCCACAATCTAAAACCCTTATATCAGCTCTTCTCCCTAATAATTTTCACATTACAGATATTAAACGTTCCATCATAATATTCACTTCACCACAGCCTTCCAAAGACATTGAGCCCGAAAGCCCACACTTGCCACTATTGTCCTTCCTTACATTCAAAACATCACTATTATAGCAAAAGTTCTTAGGAAATATAACGTCAAAACCAGATTTACCACTTGTGGAAAAACCTCTCAATAACTTCGATTTGTAAGAGGCAAAATTCCTTTTGAGATACCAGGATTAACATTGCAGAGACCGGACAAAAAATATCAACAAATATCAAAGAAAACACCAACCAAATTAAATAAAAATCTATGAACAACCAAATAATCTTAACCGCGATTCAAGTTTTTACTTTTCACCAATACGGGAGTTTAACATCCGAGAAAATGTTCATATCCTTCCTTTAGCTCCAGCCCCTCAAGTATGTTTATTACACCATCCTGTACCGCAAACAAAGCGCCTTCCGTTTCAGACCTTCGCCCGGTCGACTTAAGAAATGAAAATGTTAATCCTGTGCTTAGTTAACCAGTGTTAATTAACTGATAGTACTGACCATGTAGCGACTTGTGGGTGTTTAAGAAGAATGTTTGCTGAGATTGCTTTATTTCTATTTTAATGCGTTCTAACTCTAACTTAGTCAACGATTCTGACTTCTTATTAAGTCAGCACTCCCAAACAGAAAGGCACCCACCCAGACTTTTCGTTGCTGTAAACTATTCGAAGTAAAGGGTCATCAGAGCACACTATCATGCAGGCTACACTAAGGACCAGTCTGTTATGGAAGTTTTGTAGTCCAATCAGGCCCTGACCACCGGACGGTCGGGAAAGATAGAGCCTTGGTCTTGAGGAGCGGGGATGCAAGCTACGATTGATGGTCATTATTTTTCTCGTTGTTCGGTCCAGTTGCTGAAGTTCTGTTTGCGTCTACTTGACGACTGCAAATGTATATGCCACTATTGGGACTGCCATCATATTGGTTGCAAGGATTTTATTGCGTTATGTTAATTGGGAGCTCCAAATTTATTTAACTTTGGCTCTGTAGCGAGAGATAAGTGTGCTCTTTACGCTTGTAGCTGCCTGTAGGTGACGTTCAATACCTAGATATTTGTAGTGTTCGTCATGGCGCAATATCCGAATTATGCTGTCATCAACCAAGTCCTGGTCATTCTGAACCCTGGGATCTCTGCCATTATTATTATTTTATGGTTATTATTATTATTATTATTATTATTATTATTTAATGATTTGATTGCAGTGCATACACCCGTGTCCAACGTAGGGGTGCAATACATTTACGACAGCGTATTGAATTCGTTATCAAGACGCACGGACAGAAGGTAGATGATCCTTTCTTCAATTTCTGTGACTTAGTGCGATTTGCTTTTTCAGGTTTATCTTTGTCGAGACAGCATACTTTTGGAAATGGTGGACGGAGCAAGACGAAGTGACGCGAACCGACTTCGCAGAGCTGGTAAAAAGGGGTCAGCTGGAATTTGTAAGTGGCGGGTGGTCGATGAATGACGAGGCTACCACGAACTACCAGTCCATAATCGACCAAATGTCTTGGGGATTACGGAGATTAAATGACACATTCGGGAAATGTGCTCACCCGAAAGTTGGTTGGCAAATTGATCCGTTTGGTCATAGCAACGAAATGGCGTCAATATTTGCAAGTCTCGGCTTCGATGGCGTATTTTTGGGAAGAATAGATTACCAGGATAGAGCTTTTAGGACATATTATGAGACGATGGAATTCGTTTGGAGATCAAGTCAGAGCTTGGGCGCATCTAGCGATATCTTTACCAGCGTGCTCTATGACCTTTACGTTGCCCCCACTGGTTTCTGCTTCGACGTCGAGTGCGATGACCAGCCGATCATTGATGATATAGAGAGTCCGGAATACAATTTACATACAAGAGTGAGTAGAAAGGGTCTTATTAAACTGAATTGGTCATGTTGTGTTTGGTGCAGGCGCAGAATTTTACTGATCTCGCATTCCAAAGACTGCTTAGCTACTCAACCAGTAACGTGTTGATACCGATGGGAAACGATTTTGCATATCAAGATGCTGAGATGTGGTACAAAAATATAGACAAACTCATAAGATATATCAACAACAATACGTTTGGAGGCTATCAGTACAACGTGATGTATTCCACTCCGTCTTGTTATGTAAAAGCAGTTCACGAAGAGACAAAAGGGATTATTTATTCCGGCCTCAACACCTTCGACTTTTTCCCGTATGCCTCCAATCCGTATGCATTTTGGGTCGGTTGTTACACTTCCAGACCAGCAATCAAGAGATTTGAAAGAATGGGCAACAATTTCTTGCAGGTTTTTATTTTTCCAATTCCAATAACAGCAATCGAATCAATTGACAAAATAACCACTGACATAACCGACAAACGTAAATCTTTACGGTTTTCTTTAATTAAATATACTAGTAAAAATTCCACATGAAGAAGTTATTGTTGTGAAAAAGGTTACTTCTGTGAACCATAGGGAGCTTGGTCTTGTCATAAAGTTGACATAAGAAGAAAATCATGCAAATTTATGAAGTTTCACTTATAAAAACGAGTATGCGATTATTTGTTGTTATTTCTTTCCGAATAGCACCTACAACATTTAATGTGTGACATTCTTGTTTACAGAGCCGTTAAACTATCTCAACCCAAGTCACTGAACTTTACATCTGCTCTTCTCTCTAATAATTTCCATACTAAGCATTCCATTACAATATGCACCTCACCACAAACTTCCAAAGACAATGAGTCCAAAAGCCACTGACCACATTTCAAAAGTTCTTAAGAAATATAATGTGAAAACCAGATTTACAATTTGTCCCAAACATTCTGAACATTTTCGATCCATCAAAGACAAACTTCCGTTTGCCGAATTGCATTTGCCGAACACAACCAAGAAATCAATTCCTTCTGTGATAGGCTTGATTAGTTGTTAGTAGTGGAATCTTTTTCGATTTATCAAGTCTTTGAGATTTTGGGTTGTCCAATACATTTAGTGTAGAATTAATCACTCATCAAGGAGGAATTCTTAGCCCATTCATCTTTATTTTATATGCAAATAATTAATAAAGATACTAAAAGACTGTATTTTTTTATGACATAATAGCTGTGATATTGTGTTAAATTTCTAGTTAAAAAATCTATTAAGCACATTGTCTAGTGAAAAAAAATTAACTCATTGTCAACCTTGAAAAAACATCGGTGGTATAATTTACTGGATAATACCAACAGCCATTTCAAAACTATAATCTAACCTTCAACACAATAAAAATCGAAATTTAAGAGAATGCAAAGTTTTTGGGTAACTTTTAGAACGGGAGGTTGTGTTGGAGGGATCCAATTTGATCGCTGGCAACGTTTTATCATGGACTGACCTGATCATCGATTATTGAAATTATTCAAAAAGAATAATTATATTAAATTTTAACATATCACCAGTGCAACCATGCAAAGAAACTTTCAGATCAAAAAAGCTGCATACATACATATTAAATCCGTCTTGTAGATTTGCAAGCAGCTGTCTGCACTGTCAAACCAAAAGGAGACGGAAAAATTGAATAACTTGAGAGAAGCAATGGGCATTATGCAACATCATGACGCGATTACTGGAACAGAAACCCAAAATGTTACGTTTGACTATGCCAGAATTTTGGATAATGGTTTAAGTGACTGCCGGGAAGTAGCAAATGATGCCTTGCGGTAAAATTTCAGTACTTGGCGGATTAGCGTTGGCAAATCATTTCTCTTCCAGGGAACTTACGAAAGCAGTTCATAGTAAGTTCACTACGTGCCCCTTAACGAATATTAGTCAGTGTTATCAATCTGAAGCAGCCAAAAGCTTAGTTATTACTGTTTATAATCCTCTGGAGAGGAATGTCACTAAATATGTACGGCTACCAGTTACTGGAAGGGCATATCGCGTTAGAGATCCTTCTGGTAGGTTGTGTAATGAAATGAAATCTATAGTACCCATTTCGGTTGTAGGTAATGAATTGCCTGTCCAATTATTACCAATATCATCCGCGGTATTGAATATACCGGGAAGAGTTAGTGATGCAACCCTAGAGTTGATTTTCCCAGCATACGATGTTCCCGCCTTGGGATATAGGTCCTATTTTATGGAAGTGATCGAAGATGAAGATAGAGTGACACCAGTAGGCGTTAGCTCGAAATACTTCAGTACTGTAAGCACCAGTCTGCTGAAGCACAAACTGTAGTTGTAATTTTTTTATATGCAGAACATGGGCGTTGATTTCGATATCAACGAATTCGGATTTATCGGAAAAATCTATAAGGACAATTTGACAATGCAGCTGAAGCAAACTTTCCAAGCATACAAGGGTTCAACTAACAATTCCGAAGGTGTATCAGGGGCATATTTATTCAACCCCATCACAAGTGAGCCGGATTATATCATTGGAGATGCTGACGGAGTAGTATATAATGGCGAGCTAATCACAGAAATACATCAACGGTTCAACGCTTGGTTAAGTCAAGTGATACGATTCTACGACAACGAAAACTTCATAGAATTTGATTGGATCGTTGGTCCATTGCCGACAAAGTAAGCAAATTTTTCGAAATACCGGGTAACGAGGAGAGACGGAAATTATTTTTGTGTTTCTGAAATGGCTGCCAGAGGAAGTAACTGCCATAATGAATTTTAAAACCCGGTTAATTCAAAATTTTATTATGTTAATGATACATTTCCGGAAATAAGTGTCAGAAAATGGCATTTCCTAATCTATCAAACGTGTTATGAGTGGGATAATTGCGATCCCCCTATTTTTTGCAAAAAAAATGCACCAATAAAATATGAATAAAAGAATTTCAAACTGAAAAGAAGTTGAATTTTGGTAATCGTTTCGTTGTTTATTTTAGTTTATATTAGTTTTTTTACATTGCTACATTTTACATTATTACTAGGCTGTAATCCTGTTTTTAAATATTGGGTATTATTCATTAATATTGTGGAAGACTTTAGTCGGTACGATTTGTGATCGCATAGTCGGCTGGATTGTTGATCTTGCTTCCACTTATGCTTCAACAGATACTGTTCTGCCCTAAATATCTATGTGATCAATGCAAGACAGCTGTCACTAGTGATCACTAATATATAACTTGGAATATCAGTTGTACTAGTACTAGTAATTAGTACGCCCATAGTCACGTATTTTCCATGTAATAATAGATCAGGATGCTGGTAAATGATATGTGAATATTTAATAGGTGAATCTAAATAAAAAAATTGTGATAATTTGTTAAGTAAACTATTATCCGTAAACTCTGTCCATGCAATAAAAATTAAAACAAAAAAATCGGAAAATTAAAAAGAAATCATACCGTAGAAAATATGATTTGCCCAGAATAAAGATACAAGTAAACCATATTTAGTTTATATTTACGATGAAAATTGGAACTACTACAATCTGTATGTATAAGGTTGTTCGGAAAGTCATTTCGTTTTTTCCCTTCAGAGGACTTAATTACGTTTTTTCGAAACCAACTTCACACTTAAGCCGCATAACCATTATATGTCTTGAGAGCTGATATTGCAAGGCTTGTGTGTGAAAAAGTTCTATTAATTCTACGCAGTAGTTTTTGGTTGGTGCTCTTTTAAATATGGAGAGCAATAAGCAGCATTTTCGTCATTTTTTACTTTTTTACTTCAGAAAAGGTAAAAATGCTGTCCAAGCGAGAAAAAAATTAACGGATGTGTATGGAGAAGGCGTGTTACCAGTACGCCAGTGCCAGAACTGGTTTGCAAAATTTCGATCCGGCAATTTTGATGTCGAAGATGCACCACGGTCTGGAAGGCCGGTCGAAGCTGACAAAAATGCGATAAAGGCATTAATTGATGCAAATCGGCGAATAACCACACGAGAGATCGGTGAGAGATTAAATTTGTCGAATTCGACTGTTTATGGCCATTTGAAAGGCATGGGCCTAACCTCGAAGCTCGATGTGTGGGTGCCCCATGTCCTTACGAAGCGAAATTTGTGTCATCGCGTTGACGTGTGTGATTCGCTCCTCAAACATCAAGAAAATGATCCATTTTTGAAGCGGATTATTACTAGGGACGAAAAATGGGTTGTATACAACAATGTTAAACGCAAGAGGTCATGGAGCAGAAAAGATGAACCGGCTCAAAGCGTGTCAATAGCCAACATTCACCAAAAAAAGGTGATGCTCTCCGTTTGGTGGGATGTCAAAGGAATCGTTTTTTTTGAGCTTTTGCCGGACAATACAACGATTAATTCAGAAGTCTATTGTGATCAACTGGACAAATTGAATGATTCACTTAAAGAGAAAAGGCCCGAATTAATCAACAGGAAGGGTGTAGTGTTCCACCAGGATAATGCGAGACCTCACACAAGTTTGGTCACTCGCCAAAAACTTTTACAGCTTGAATGGGACGTACTGCAACATCCACCATATTCTCCAGATCTGGCGCCTTCCGACTACTATTTGTTCCGGTCCCTGCAAAATTTTTTGGATGGCAAAACCTTTACCTCAAATGAAGATGTCAAAAACCACCTGAACCAGTTTTTTGCCAGCAAGGATCAAAACTTTTATGAGAGGGGAATTATGTTACTGCCAGAAAGATGGCAAAAGGTGTCGGACCAGAATGGCCAATATATAATTTAATAAAATATTTATTCATTATACCAAAACTGTCTTTCATGTTCCCCAAAAAAAACGAAATGACTTTCCGAACAACCCAATATTATACAACTGACCAAATTTTCTTTGGTATCATCGCACCTTGCCTCACGGACATTAATTTTATTAAAAAATTGTTTGCACTGAGCCCACACCAATTCTATTTCATTAATTATACAATGCAATCTTATAACTCGACCCATTTCAACAATTATTTCGTCTCTACCATACAGAAAGTTTGTTTTGTAATTTTTGACAATTTTTAACAACTCATATTTCAGACAATTTTCTGGGTAACTAATCCGCTTACTTCGAATCCAATTCTTTTTTTGTCGATGCATGTGGCATCCTTGCACTAAGCCTAGAATAACGTCGTCCATTATCCATAATATTTAGAGACGGCCTTTCGAGTTTCGGCAGCAATTTTTCCAGAATGCGATCCTGTTTTGTAGTGGAACCTACTGTAATTATCCGGTAATTGCTGCTATGTCTATCGAATGAGCACCGGGGCATAATAGACAATGGTAGAACACTGTCAGATAAATGATGGTTTAGCCATTCGTAGTATACAAGTGGAAGCAGGTAAAATACTGAAGTACCTTCTGTCTTGGTCTTATTACCGACTATGCCATCGCAAATTTGCCAACTATAAGTAAATTTATTAATTGCTAACGTTTTAAGGCATACCCTTTGACAAAACTTATTAGTTCCTAATTATCGAGATTGTCATGAAAACATTTTTGCCGCCAGATGTTCTTATAGTAGTTCTTTTAGTAGAAATAAGCCTATCTGAAACTGACTATTGATTTTGATAAGAAATTACTGTAATCGGCTAACTTCGATAATGGATGAGGATCCCAATTTTGTATCTTGAATAATATGGACAGACGAAGGTACTTTTTCGAGCAACGGAGAAGTTAATTTGCATAATATGTTTTTTGGTCGCCAGTAAATCCTCATGTAAAGGGAAAGTTAATGGCAAAAATTTATTTAAAATTTTTTAAGAAAACATTTGCTGATTTAATTAGACAATAAAACACCTTTCTCGCTAAGTTAGGAGTTTTTTAGACCAGACTTATCCAAACCGTTGGTTAGGAAGGGGCGCTGTGGTTCTGTGGCCTTCTAGATCTCCAATTAATGTTCTGAACTTTTACGTTTGGGGTAGAATAAAACATATTGTTTATCAAACTCGCCCTACTAACCTCGAAAACATGGTTGACCGTATCCGAAATGCTGTAGCCAACCTGAAATTACTACAGCCGTATTAAATATACGACGCAGGATAAATTCCTGCATAGAAACTGACGTAAGGCACTTTGAACATTTATAAAGACTTTTGATTTTCCTTGCAATCAATTTTCTTGTGGTCCATCGTTATCATTGTTTAGTATCTAAATTGTTCGGATAGAATTATTAATTTATAAGCGATGCGTTAGGTTAGGATAAAGCTATTGAGATGCGGGTTTTACTGGTTATTGGGCTTTGTTTGACTATCTGCATTTTGCATTTGCATTTAATTTTTTTCAGAATTTGTTGCAATCGCAATCATCTCACTCACAACAGGTTTGATAGCCTAGGGAAGGCCTTTTAACGACTCCAAGTTTATTAAAATTCATTAAGCCGTTTTGGGGTATCAACATTTATTTCCGGAAATATTGGAGCACCTCCAACACTTTCCTTTTAGATGTGGAATAAAAAGCATCTAACAAACAAGATTTAAATTTCTCTCAGCTTTAAAACATTGTAAAACAAAATATTTTTTAAAAATGCTGGGAACGGTTTTTAAAATTCAAGATGATGATAATATCGTACCTCGCTGCCCCTACTGTCACACCCGGTAGATATTATATATTTAAGGAAATTATTTAAATTTCTAGCGTCACTCACGGTACCGAGGTCATAAGTAAGTTCACCACCAACTTAAAATCAGACTCCATCTTCTATACGGATTCTAACGGACGCGAAATGATGAAACGTATCCGGAATCACAGACCGACTTGGAATTTCTCCACCATCCTCCAACCACCTCCTTCGAACTACTATCCTGTGACTTCAAAAATTGTTATCGAAGATGTTGAGGAAAATATCCAACTGGCCGTTTTAACTGATCGGGCGCAGGGAGGATCGAGTTTGAAAGACGGAGAAATTGAATTAATGATACACAGAAATACTTTGGTGGACGATGTACTGGGAATGGGCGAGCCGTTGTTGGAATACGCTCATAATCAATCTTTAGTCGTTAGGGGGTCTCATTACGTTTTGTTTGATACTAAGAACAACATTTTTGGTAATTTCGGAGTGGGATCTTAGCAAAATGCTACCTACACTTCTGTTTTCAGAACAACGCAAAATCGCTCAGGCGAAACTTCTAGATTCATGGGTATTCATATCCTCGCCTGAAGAATATTCTTTGGAAGAATACAGACAGAAGTTTTCCATGGAAGTAAGTATACATTCGCGTGGAAGTAATATGCGTCGTTTTAGTTTTCAGCGCTACAAAATTCGTTACCCGACAACGTCCACATCTTAACCTTAGAACCTTGGAGAGAATCCACTTTGCTGCTGAGACTGGAACATATATTCGCCAAAGACGAAGACCCGTTGCTGTCGCAACCTGTTACAGTCAAATTGAATGTACGGTTTATACATTTGTAGATTTTTAAATTTGTAATACACGATTTACAGGAAGTTTTCGCGGCTTTCAATATAGTGGAGGCGAAAGAAGCTACTCTAGGGGCCAATCAATGGTCAGAAGAATCCGAAAGGCTCAAATTTGCCACTCCTGATGGCGAAGACGTTTTCACGGAATCTGAAGCCGGCATCGTAGAGTTGAATGGAGAGCTTAGCGTTTTATTAAATCCTATGCAGATACGCACTTTTATACTCGCTGTAGTATCCAAATAAATATTGTATGATTATCCATTTCAATTTATAGAGCGTGTTTCAAAACAAATCAACCAAAGAATGCCAGTAAATTCTTTGTATCAAACTATTTCGATTTTTTTAATAAACCTATGCCCTGAAGTAAAAACTTATGGATAGACAGGGTAATAAATGTAAACCTTATTTTTACCTGTTTTATTACTTACGTTCACAATTTTTCAAAAAATACACACATTTTTTTGCGAAAATGCAGTCATACTTTTTTGTGGATTCTGCGTGTTCTAACCTGCGTTCGAGATGTTTAAACTGTTAAGTTGGCGTGTACACAGGGTGTTTTCTAATTGCATGTCTATAATTAAGGAGCCGATTTTCTCATTTTAAAAAGAAAACTCCATATAAACATTTCAAAAATAAAATATATTTTTTTAATATCTGTAATTCCACTTTAGATATTTTAATGAAATCCGGCACACGTTTACTATATATCAAGAGACATTATTTAGTTTACCGCAATTTTTTAAAATACACCACGTCAATTTTGGCAAACATTGATGTTATGACACTGATTTATTTTAAAATCAAAATTATTCTTACAATCTGCAATTATTTCTAAATAAATCAAATTTCCTGATTTTTTTAAATCCAAAATACGGTTTTCGCTTAACAAAATAAAAATCTCTTCTCTGCATGGTCATTACCTAAGTAATTTCAACTCTGTTGAATGGATCTTTTTATCGGTCTCCTACTAGTGATTTTCATTTGTTTGTCCATTGTCTCAATTTTTCGTGTGATGCTATAAAAGGTCTTGAAAAAGTTGATTTTGTGGCGACATAAGTCGTGATATAAGTTTGAAAAATGCTTCTAAAATTTCAAATGTTCTTTTTTCATATGATTTGCATCAAACTATTTACGAAATTACTCGGGTAATGAATAATACCCATAGTACAATCGATAACATTTTTACCAATATTTAACGATCAATTTTGAACTCCCAGGTAGTGTGTGCACATGTTTCAAGCCATTTTCTGCAGTTGATTTAATTTCCTATTAAGATAAGGAACCCTCAGAGACCGTTGTTCAGTTGTTCTGTCCGAAGTGTCAAATGTTGACTGCCCTGTTTTAGGTGCTTTTGGCAATAACTTAATTATTATTTTAATTATTGTTATTCATTATTATTTTTAGATAATTTTCATTATGCTTTTTCTTACGTAAAAATCGCCTTTTCCCAGAAACCATCGATAAGTGCAGACCTTATTAATGAGAGTGCTAAGTGACTTAAATAGACAAAGCAAATTCTTTCCCAAGTCAAGACAACCTAAATAAATATAATTAAAAAAAAAACATGCAAAAAATGGCCGCTTGGCAAGTAAGAACTACAATCTAATAATATTTAAAGAATTGCATGGAGTAATATTAATAAACGTCCATCTACCATCTTCCAAACTTCCTGAGTGCTTTGTTAACTCAAGCGATCAAAGACATCTTGAGAGGCGGTTGCTGCTGAAGAGTTGAATCTTCACTTTATCAATACGTCCGGGAACTGTTGTTACATAAATCTCTATCTCTAATAATCTTTATCTTACCTCAATTACTAAAGCGGAAATGGTCGATATTGTTCTGGCAGTTACACAGAAGAATAGTTCCGGTAAATTATTCTTTCTTCACTGGTAAATATTTTTTTCAAAATATGCAGTTCGGTATTCGTAGTCGTAATAGTTTCTATGGATTTGTTGCCTTTATATCATTTAGCATATGTTGAGTCGTTCCTAAATTATAGCATAGTATTTTGGGGAAACGGATCATGTTCCGGATAAGTATTTAGATTGCAGGTTTTTCTCCTATTGTCAACTATTCCGTGATATGGTATTTTTTTGTGTGTTAATTGTCAAATCTAATCCTAGTAGCTATGAGCCACTTTCTTTCAAGTTTGCATATCATTTGCCTACTTCACGTAGCGCTAATGGTTTAAATACGGCGTAAAAACCAATTTTGTTCCTCGTGCTTTTTATAGCTTAAATGAATTTTTTGACTGTTGCAACATATTGTTGTAATTTTTTTATTTTAATGTTTAGTGTTTGTAATATAGAGTTTATATTTTTCAAATTATCCGATACCTAACATCAGATCTATGGAAATAAATTTGATTTGATTTTCATTTGATTTTTTTTTATTTTGACATATATACTCTTGTAACTGTGTATATACAAACTTTTCATTGATATTAGAGCATAATTTCTGATCCCAGATCAGATAACGGGTACTTCAGAGTGTTTTTAGTTTTTATCGAATCATTACGATTCGAATATGAGTCGCACTAACATATCTATAATATTATTTTTGATTGCTTTATTAAAACTTGTGATTTGTGTTCCTATTGAATCGAAAGTCCGTGAAAGTCAATGCGGATATGAGGTAACCACACATTTATTACATCGCACTTATTCTAATTGGTTCTCAATAAAATATCTCTACAGTCCTGCAACCCCAGCAAGGACGGATATATAAACATCCACTTAGTACCACATAGCCACGATGACGTGGGTTGGTTGAAAACTGTGGACCAGTACTACTACGGAGGTAACTCTAAATTGAAACACGTCATTGCAGATTTATAGTTTTTTCTGTGCTCCACAGCGAGAAATGAAATTTATAAAGCTGGGGTACAATTTATTTACGACACAGTGTTGGATTCGCTGCTAAGAAAAAAGAACCGCAGGTTATAATTTCTTTGTTACTGTATGATTATTTATCCTTACTAATTGTTTTTCAGATTCATTGCCGTTGAAACTGCATTTTTTTGGAAATGGTGGACGGAACAAGAAGAAGACGTACGAGAAGATGTGAGAAATTTAGTAAATACCGGTCAACTAGAATTTATCAGTGGAGGATGGTCAATGAACGACGAAGGCGTGACGAATTATCAGTCGATAATCGATCAAATGACTTGGGGTTTGCGGTATAATCCTTCCCGTAGGTGTCTTCTTAGAATATATAATGAGTATATTATAATAGAATACTCAACGACACCTTTGGTGAATGCGGTGTGCCCAAAACTGGGTGGCAAATTGACCCGTTCGGGCATAGCAACGAAATGGCATCCATATTCGCGCGACTAGGCTTCGATGGTGTCTTCCTAGGTAGGATTGACTTTCAAGACAAATTTCAAAGGCTCGAAGATAAATCTATGGAAATGGTGTGGCGCGGTAGCGAAAGCTTGGGTGGCGTTAGCGATATCTACACGGGGGTGCTGTACGATCACTACGGTTCCCCACCAGGACTGTGCTTTGATGTCCTGTGCGAAGACGACGCAATTATAGATGATCTCGACAGTCCAAACTATAACGTCGAACAGAAGGTGCATGTGGCATCGCTTATACATGGTGTTTAAAAAAAACGCGGCAATATTTAAGGGAGTGATTCCTCAGACCATTTTAGCAAAGTTGGTGGTCCGGAAGTGCTTTGTTTCCCTGATTTTTTTTTAATAATGGAATTTTAATTTAATTTAGTTGTTTGAAATTTAATTTAATTAATAACTTAATGTTAGTCATACCGAAAAAATTACAAAAATTATTGCAAGCTCGGATGCAAGAAACCAATCTTCCCCTCATGAACTGGCGAACTATGTCAAATATATATATTCGATTTCTTCTTCTCCTTCTACTTCTACTTCTTCCACAGGAGTGACGTAAACCAAACAGTTAAGGCCCCAAAAGAAAAAAATCCAAGCCATGCTGTATCTCATACCTCTCCATATATACATAGGAAAGGTGGTTTTGATGACTATGGTAAGTCTCTTTCAGTTCTGGAAATGCAGCATTCCATGGCGTCAAAATTTATATTCGACAAGTCCTGAACAATAAACACCAGATGCAATATTCTACTCTGATAGCTAAAAAGGATCGGGATACCCCCAATCTCTCAAACTTGACATCACTATGGCTATGGGTAAGATGTCCGGTGTGCTGCAGACGTGGCTCGCTGGCATGACTCAAGCCGCTAAAGAAATCACCAGGTGCAAAGTCACTGGTAAAACTATATACAGATAGCAGACAAACAGTTCTAGTACTTCAAGGACAACGGTTTATGTCACTACTAGCACCAGAATGTCGACAATGTGGTCATCCTTAGTTGGATTACAGGGCAAGCTCATTCTAGAAGAAATCATGACACCGACTCCCTGGCTAGGAAGCGATTTATCCAAACCAAGCAACAACCAAACAATACCTGATTATTTCCAGGAAAAAGCTATGGCCACAGGTATTCTTACAGATCATTGCTTACTTAACAAATTCCTATTCAGATTGGGTTTGAGCAGCTAACCCACGTGCAGGGCGTATGAACAGAAAAATGATAACTAGAACACATTTTGTGCGAATTTCCTCTCAAAATAACTCTGGGAGCTGTCATCACCTACGTGGAGTCACTACGCTTGGTGTAAAGCGTGTTCTGTCCAGGAGGAAGCACAATGATCATACTGAGGCCCAAGTGCTGTAGTGTAGACTATCTTCCTCCACTTATGGGTACAGATTGCATGAGGATTTCCATCAAACCGTAAACTAGCTTCATCGGTAAATATAATCGCCATTTCAACCATTTTCGGCTAAAGTCATTGACAGAACACAATGTGATATGGATATAACATATCGTCCTTGTGAATTTGACAAACAGTTCAACATTTCAGAACTTCAGCAATTTTTCGAGAAGAAGTACCTGGATCTTCATCAGTCATGTTCATCACATCCTCTTCGATCTCTTCCGTTCTTGGTATTCTTGGCCTTCCTGTTCGTCCACTTCGTTGTTTTACTGTAATACGATTAGAAAATCTTGCAGTGTACAACCGACTACCTTTTAATGCATTTTCATAAATGATCTGAGGAATCGGCATCTGAAATATTTCCGCGTCTCCTTTTAAACACTCTGTGTAGGAGTAGTCGTCAATAAGGATTATTTTACAGGCTATAACTTTTCTAATTGACTATGTTAACATGGCAGTCCCTAGTTATGCCACTACTAACCTGCTGGTACCCATGGGAAATGATTTCAACTACCAAAACGCAGAGATGTGGTACAAAAACATGGATCGATTGATGAAGTTAGACCTACATCGATAAAGCGATGTTCCTCTAAAGCATAATTTTTTTTTAGATACATCAACAGTCGAACCTTTAATGATACAAAATACAATGTCATATACTCCACGCCATCGTGTTATATCAACACGGTGTACAAAGATACTGGCGGGATACTTAATTCTCCATTGAAAACCGACGACTTTTTTCCTTACGGAACCGACGAGTATTCATACTGGACGGGATACTTCACTTCTAGGCCCACCTTGAAAAGATTCGAACGAATAGGAAATAATTTCTTGCAGGTGCCACTATGTAAACCTTTTGCATCGATTTAATAAATACTTTCGCTGGCCCACAGGTGTGTAAACAACTATCCGCCACAACAAACGCATTTTTCGATATCACCGAGAATTTGAACAACTTAAGGGAGGCAATGGGTATGATGCAACACCACGACGCTGTCACTGGAACCGAGAAAGAGGCTGTCGCGTTTGATTATTCCAAAATTTTGCATAGTGCCATTGCAGACTGCGAAGAAGTGACCCGTCAGGCATTATCGTGGGTCTCTTGCAATAAACAGATCTTATAATTAATCATAATCACATTACATCACATTATAAATATGTGCATTAGATATTAATTATTTCCTGAGTCTTGGAAAATGCCAATGCGACTCTACTTCTAACAATTTAGAATCCCACCGACATATCACTGTTCAGAACAATTATTTTGTTATCTACTCTATCCAAGATTATAGAAAAAAATATGCATACACAAATGAGTGCCCTCTTGACAAGATTATCGCGGATACACAGCCTGGTTTTCGTAAATCTTTTGCAACTGTCGCTGCCAGACTCGTTGAAATAAACTATTTTGTCTTATCATACTAGATTACCAGCTACTGCTGATACGGAATTTTTTCGCCCAAATTTCTTTTTTTTACTTTTAAGGTAGATAAACTAAATTAATCAACTCTTACTTTGGCAACAGCTTGTCTATAACAGTAAATACATCTAGCACCTTTTCTGTTACATAGACTCGATCTGTTTTGAAACTGCTTTACTCTTCACAAGCAAATGAAGTATATGATACAGCTACCAAGCTTAACGAAATCCTAGATGCTCTATTCGATATGTCTTCAGCTGGCCATATTACTCGGACCACAAAAACAGATAGACTATCCCAAAGGTCATCTAAAATTAACAATGACTGAGGTTGATATCGAGTTTAAAATAGAAAAAAAGAATCTGGGACTATGGATGGATACTAACTTACGATTTACAAAACATGTCAATTGGCTCCGTCAATACTCCTATGGCAGCTATTCAAATCGGGAAATAATGAGTTCCAACTTTAAATTATCCCTGATTTAGTTTATGGCCCGGGCTTTAACGGCAACAGATAGTGAGATTCAAGAAAGTTTAGAATTCTTGTTTAAGACTCTCTTACAATATCATCACGTTATGAGCAAACAGCAACGTCCTCACCTCCTCAAACTTCAAAAACCAATCAGCTGTATAAATTGACTAAAAAAGTTGTACTTTTACCTCGGTAGCACATAGCATTATTTCAAAGATCTTTTTAATATAAAGCTAATAAATTCCAAATTCCAACCAGTAAAAAGCATTTATTTTGTTGATGAGGCGGATTTTTTACTATAATGTTTCTTGATTGTTTAGATTGAGTGTTCTGCTTCCTCTATATAAAAAAGGTTTAGTTTTGACTACTTTGACTGACACATTGCTTCGTATCCTTTTTTTCTCAATTTGTCATGATTAAATTGTAAAGTTGCTTGCTTCATCGATAATAAAGCAAATTATAATAATAATAATAATAAACCCCTCCTTGTTTCAGTGAGCTAACCCAAGAAGGTACTGACTCCTTCCACACTTGCTTACTGACGAACGTCAGCCAATGTGTCCACTCAGAAAACATGGATAGGTTGGTGGTAACAGTATACAATCCGTTGAGCAAGCTAGTTACGAAATACGTAAGATTTCCGGTAGCCGACGGTTTGTTTGTAGTTAAAGATCCATCTGGTAAGACGATACTAATTGGCGGTTGGACGGTGCTATTCGAGCAATTATTTCAGGAATCGAAATAACCCCTCAACTCATCCCAATCGCAAAACACGTTAGAAATATTCCCGGTAGAGATAGTATAGCGCTGCAGGAACTGGTTTTCGCTGCAAGCGATATTCCGCCGCTAGGATTTAAATCTTTTTTCATAGAAAAATTTGAGGGTGGTGATAAAGTTTTACCTGCACAAGTCAGCGCTTGTTACTCTAATTCAAAGGTGAGGCGATGTGAAATTTCTCCGTATCCATCGATTTTAGGTGATATTAACACTTTATAGCATGTCGGAGTTGAAATAGACATTGAGACGGGTCTCATCAGTGGTATATCCGCAAACGGTATCACGTTGGAGTTGAATCAGACGTTTTTTTATTACAACGGTGCCAACGGGTTTCACGGAAATAGTTGGAGGCCGTCCGGAGCTTACGTATTTAGACCGGCGTATGAAAATTCCACATCCAACATCACCGACCGTGTCAATTATACGGTCTACACCGGACCAGTGGTTATGGAAATACAACAAGAATTCAACGACTGGATCGGCCAGACGATTAGAATTTACGAAAACGAGAACTTCGTTGAGTTTGATTGGGTCGTCGGACCAATCTCGCTTGAGTGAGTCAACAAACTTTTAGTATTCATACTTCTATCTAAAAATATTCTTCTGCGTCTGTTGTTGATAAATCAAACTGGCGTTTCGCCGATCATTATGTGGTATTCTTCAGGGTTTAACTGATATTGGCTCGCATTCTACCCTGTACCCGCTTATATACTGTTTGAGGGAGGCGGAGCTAAAGGAAGGGTATGAACATTGCCCGAATGATTGATTCCTATATTGCTCAAAGGTAAAGACCTGAGTCGCGGTTAAAACACCTTATATCTGCTTTTCTTTTTCTAACAATTTTCAATTTAGAGATATTAGGTGTTCCATCACAACATTCCAAAGATAATGAGTCGGCAAGCAACCTTAATGCATTGTCACATAACCATCCGCCACACAAATGATCCGTTATTCGAATCACTGAACCCAGAATAAAAAAGACACCTTACATTAGAGATATTAAGCGTTCCATCACAAAAGACCAAGACACTTAAGAAGGTAATGAGTTCGAAAGCAATCCCAAACTTGCCACTGTGGTCCTTCCTTACATTCAAAACATCACTTTTCAGATGTCAAAAATTCTTAAGAAATATAACTTCAAACCTAGATTTACCACTTGTCCAAAAATCTCTCAACATCTTCGATACGTTAAAGATACAATTACGATCGAGATACCAGGAGTTCACAGCATTCCATGCATAGGCAACAAAGACTATATTGGAAAAACAGGACGACAAATATCAACTAGGCTAAAATAAGATAAAAACCCCTTAAGAATGCGACAAATAAACTCATTAGCAGTTGCTGCACGCAATCAAATCAATCAAAATCAAATCAAAACTAACCAAACAATCTTAACCGCAAATCAGATCTTTTCCTTTCACCGTTTTATCCCTGCCTCCGTCAAACAGTAGGCGAGTACAGAATAGAATACGAGTCACTTTCAGTTAAGCTCTGAAGAATCCAACAAGATGATTGGTGAAACGTCAGCAAATTTTATTTATTAGCAACCGACGCAAGAGGAATCCATTTCTAAATAGTGTTACATTAGTCTGGAAATTTCTGTGACTTCCAATTAGTACAATGCCAGCCATTACCAATCTTCCTGAAAAAAATTCTTGAACATCCACGTTTTATCAGCACTTTAGCGATTTTAGTTCCACTGTAGATCATTGGCGCTAGTATCGCACTCCTGCAAATGTCCTGAGATGTCTGTTGGACGTTGTGACTACCTTTTGTACTTATGACTTCTCTCGTTCTGTTAAACCGGCAACGCAGGTGAACGAACTTTTCCGATTTGAAACAGTAATTTCTTTGAATTTGAGGGAAATGTATTTGTTTGTTATTCATCAATTTTGTATTTCCATCTCCCTTTTGTAACAATTTTTATCGTAGAAATAGGCTTTTTTATTTGACTAAAAATTAGACTTTTTTTAGACAAAAAAAAACAGAAATTTTTAATATTTTATATTTATTCAGAGCCATATCATATCGACTTAAAATTTAAAAAGCAAATTCAACAAATACATCCGAACTGGTGGATAGGTGAATCTTATCTATGACTCTGCGACAGAAACGAAGAAGAAATACAAATAAACTAACGACAATAAGTTGTATTAGTATAACTATGTGCGTGAACATACCGACTGGACTGGACTGGACTGTGATCTGATTGATAATCTATTGCGACACTGTCTCGGAATACACCCAAAAGAGCCCAAAAAAATAGAAATTGACAATAATTTTTTTATTACCAAAGTTTCTTTCTAAAAAGCACAACAAATGAAAACAATGCACATTCAATAGCCTATTGGATATAAAACGCTGTTTTTGTTATTAAAGCATTGAAAACAAAAGTTGATATTGCTATAGCTTTCTAAGAAACAATGGTTTTAACTTGTGTTTAAATTTATTAATGCTTTGATTTCATACTTCAATGGCGGTAAGTAAGTAAATAAACTTTCTTATCGCCCTCTGTCTAGCATTCTGGATTATTATTACGATCTAACAAACCTTAATAAATAAAATATTCAAGTAGTCTATCTGGCCAATGGAGATGTTTTCGCGTCCAGCATCATATTTTGTCAAAACTGTCTTTTTTTTTTTGGTCCAATAATTTCGTTCGGTTTCGATTTCAAATTCTATTCTACTTTCAATAAATAGCGTCCTATAGTGGTCTACCCGTTTATTAAAAACATACATCAATAATTTTCTATTACATTTCCCGCCTTTTCTTAGGCTAGGTATAGTTCTCTACGCTTCAGAAACTTTTATTCCTCCCATTTGGAGTTGATAAACTAACCGCCTTTTATGGGGTGTGGAAATCACTAGCAGCTTCCTGCAAATTTATTTTAGGAGTAGCAATTGTACTAGACATTAATTTTAGATTTGAAGGCGGCAAAGAAGTGGTAACCAAATTTTCAACCAATTTAGTCACGTCGTCGACATTTTACACCGATTCGAACGGACGCGAATTGATGAAACGAATCAAAGACTTCAGACCTACATGGAATCTCGCCACGAATGAAACCATATCTTCCAATTATTTCCCAGTGACATCCCACATTGTTGTGAGGGACGTTGAAAAAAATATTGAGATGGGCATTTTAACAGACAGAGCTCAAGGAGGGACGAGTTTAAGAGATGGTGAACTGGAATTAATGGTACGTAAATAATTTTGATGAGTTGTCATTATAATACCTAAAACAGGTTCACAGAAATGCAATAACAGACGACGGTTTTGGTGTGGACGAAGCATTGATTGAATTAGCATTCGGAGAAGGTTTAGTGGCGAGAGGATCGCATTACATTGTCGTAGCTCCTATCACTGGTGCGAACGATAACGGTAACTAATAAATATATTATGCCATATAAAAATTAATATTATCACTAATATTGTTTTCAAAGCACTGCCTGAAATTTGTTTTCTACTTTTTTCAAATTCCCTGCAACTTTCCAGAACTTATTTCTGTATACTCGAAATAATTAGATTTTTTGATGGTATCGTATTTGTGTGGCTGAACATTTTCCCTTCACGTACTATACTAAATTACATCTTAATAAGGTTTTAATACACGGGTTGGGTGATTTCTAATTGATTGTCAATAATGAGGGTGGTGATTTTTGGATCCATTTTAAAAAGAAAACTTCATATAAACATTTGTCCTAAACGGTTTACCTTTTGAGATACAAGCTGAAGTTTTCAAAAATAAAATAATTTTTTTTAATATCTATAATACCACTTTAGATGTAATGAAAAAATAAAAATCTCTTCTCTGCGTGGTCATAACAATATCGTTAATATGACAGCATGCACAGAAATTGGTTTTTACATTTCGGTGAAAACCGTACATAAGAGATCGAATCTGCTCATAAATGAATGCAAATGTCTTTTTCAGTGGCGTGCTACTGACTGTCAATGAACAAATAATATTTTGGTTAATTAGGTCGCCACGGCACTGGTTAAATCGAGAACTTTTTTTTGTGAAAAATAAAGTAACTATCTAAAACAAAATATCTAGTTTTCAGTTACCAACTAGCGTCCTTCAGAAAAAAAAACTTTTACAGTTTTAATGAAATAACAGAACATCCTAACAAGAAGATAAAAAATAAACGATCCTTATTTACAAAAAAAACACTACCTACTACAAGCATTTTTTTAAAAAAATTGCCTGTTAATAAACGAATAATAACTTTTTTGAAAAAAGGTAAAACATAGAAACTAGATAAGTTGTTGAAAGTGTCCCCCACCTTGAAGAATACATGCTTCAGCTCTTTTCCTCATATTGCCGCTCACTCTTTGAAGTATATATCCAGTGTTTCTTATTAAATTGCAGAAAGCTCTTATGCAGTCCTTCAGCTCCTTTACAGTGACCGGGGTGCGATAAACCAGAATTTTAAGATGCCCCCATAATAAAAAGTCCAAACCATTTAAATCTGGAGGTCCGCCGTGACCTATCTATTGGTTATTAAATGTGTGATTTAAATATTCTCTTTCTTCAATACTAAAGTGAGCAGGCGGTACCTCTTCTAGAAATATTGCCAAAGCCTCTTCTAAAAACCGACGATAATTATGGCCATTTGGCCTTTCTGGCAGAAAAAAGTGTCCAATTAAGTAATTCTCTACAATTCTAGCCCAAACATTTATGAAAACTGTTCTTGATGTTTAAATTCCACAAATGCATGGGGATTTTCATCGGCCTAAATATGGTTATTGTGGAAATTTCTGATTGCATTTCTGAAAAAGTTAGTTTTATCTGTAAATAGTATTTCTTAGTCAAACAAGGGATAATGCACATTTTTCGTATAAAAACCATTGACAAAAATTAACACGCAAGGGAAAATATGATATGGGTACAATACAAAATACTGAAAAACTTTCCAAACCAAGATTTGCAAGATTTTGAGATTATTTCCAATTTTTCAATGTAGTAAGTAAAATGGAACCGCCATTAATGACATTCAATTATAAAACACCCTGTATCCCCTTAAGTGTTCGAAATCAGTTTTTAATTTTTTTCTTTCTTTCGACTACAATTAAAATAGAAATTGCCAACCAGTCCTTACCAATATTGCAACTACATTGAATATTTTTTTCTAGTGCACACTGCGGCTACCTTAGAAAGAGAATTGGCGGAACAAAAACTTTTGGACTCGTGGGTATTTCTAACGCGGCCCGAGGAACTAACATTTGAGGAATACCAGCGGCAACATTCTATGCAGGTCCGTCCCCTCTAAAGCTATCCCAGAAATAGTACGATCGATTTATTTTCAGTTTCAAGGATTAACGACAACTTTGCCTAGAAACGTGCACATTTTGACGCTGGAACCATGGAGAGACGACAGTTTTCTATTAAGACTGGAACACATTTTTGCCAAAGAAGAACATCCTATTCTTTCCCAACCAGCAGTGATAGATATAAAGGTATAAAGCACGGCATAAAAACGGATTATGATCAATTTACTATTCTATTATTTTAGGATCTATTTTCCACTTTCACCATTACATCTATCAGGGAAACGACCTTAGGGGCAAACCAGTGGTTAGAGGACAATCAAAGACTAAAATTTCAATCATTTTTAAATCCAAATGACGGGGAATCACTAAATATTGACGTATCCGATTTCATTATAACTCTTAACCCAATGGAAATACGCACTTTCGTTGTGAATATTATAAATCGGCATTTTTAAATAAACCGGTCTAGCGAAACCAAATGTTTTTATTCTTGTAAAAGTAAAAAATAAAATTTAATAGATATTAATTTTAAGTGAAAAAATTGACTCATGGCATGAGAAAGATGAAAAGTTAAACTTTCGGATCCAAATATTTCAATCAAATGGAACCCCCTGTATATTATAGCATTTTTAGATTGGAAGACCAAAATAAATGCGGGTTCTATTAAGCTAGCTATGATACTACTCATTCGCTAATTGAACAAGACATTATATGCAATATAATATTAAAAGTTAACCATAATAGAACCCTTTGAATCTCAAAATGTAAACTATTTGATATCCACATACTTTGACAACGGTATTCTGTGCCGTAAAGCGTGAATAACCCTGTAAAGTTGTAAAAGTGAACTCCAAGCACACGACATTCCGACCGTGATTACAGACGCCGGACGACTGGAATATTCGACCCCCATCGTAACAGCAGCCACTGCGTTGTCTAAGAGTAAGCACATCACCCAAAGGAAATTATTAAAATGAAACCGTAAAAAGGGAAAATATAAATAAGCAACCGCTATAAATAATGGAAGTTATATAAATTATTAGTGTGTATAGTGTGAAAATAATTTATGGATAGTTAGTGACTTTAGTTGTTGACCGTCGTGTTTAACGAACCCAAATATAATACAGTTCGTCCCGAAAATGCCTGAAGTATCAAAGCTATATATGTTTTTAACTACCTATTCATTAAAGAATTTCTGAATTATGCGTTCATAGATTGAGGATCACAAACATTAAATAAAACGAACTAAATAACATGAATAAATTTACTTACAAATGACACTACGAAACATGTCGAAATTAGTATCTTATCGGTTGTCTTCGTCATTTCGCGTTCGCTTTTTCTCACATTTTAACCATTTAGCTTTTCTGTCTTCTGATATCTTCGTGTTCAGCAACTTTTTAGTCATTTATTTATTTATTTATTCTTATTCTCAGATTTTTTCTTTCCAACTCCAGTATTGTACGTAATTCGTAGGCACTGAGGAATACTTTCAGCAAAATGCAAAGTGATATTCTTAGAACCGACCACTACGTGACAATGGACCTGTTTTACTTTTTTTTCTATAGCCTAATTTTGAATCTTCCCCTACGATATATATATATTTTTCATCAATAAATTCTTCTTTCAGACTTTCCGATATTTTTCTTATGGAAATATTCGGATTTTGTGCAACTTTTAGTGAAATCCTTAAACTCCTATCTGCATCTCTTCCCAATGTTTTCTTCTTGCCAATGTGTTAGGCTGGATTTTTGTTGAAATTTTTCATAGACTCAATGAAAGGTTTTTGTCTGATTTTGTTTTGCTAAACCTGTACCTGGTAACTGCCACTGTCAGTTTTAAACAAATATTTTATTTTTGGTGGCGACCTACTTCACAGCTATAAATATAAGATATAATTATAAATTTTTAGAATATTATTTTATTTTTTTGAATATTGCTTTTATGATAAAAGTGTATATTACATAAGAAATGTACAGAATTTGAGGGGACTTTATTAAGCGGAAAATATACAGGGTGTTTCATTAAATAGCATATAACTTATATCTGTCTGCGACACCGTACAAGTATAAAAATATACCTTGCCAGTAACTTACTATTTTTTGAACAACTTCTGTATTTGACCTTTTTTCCCCAAACGTTAAATAAAAAAGTTATAGCAGGGAGACATTATGTATGATAACCCACGAAATTAAAGTTTGGAGTGGTACCTCGATTTTTTGAATGACTTAAACTACAGCTGCACAGAGTTTTTTACAATAAAGCCCTTCCTCATAGACGGCATATAAAAATAAGCCGTCCGTTTCACGGTTACATTTTCTCAACCTTGACTTTTTATTAACTTAATTTTAGTGATAATCATATGAAACTAGGTTTCCATAGTGGGTAAATTTAACTTTTTATATACCTGTATTTATTTAGCCTCGGGTAGCCATACTCTAAGGCTAGCTGGCATTTTCTAGCGCCTTACGATTTTTGAAGTTAAAAAACTTCAAAACGGTTCATCTTGTCAATAATCAGACCGTCTGAAAAAAACAATTGACCAGAAGCGGCCCTCTTTAGCCAATAGAAAAGGAATTGTCTTTCAGGATACTGCATATACACATCGATAGCATCTCGCCAGAAGCTCCGGGATCCTAAATGGGAGGTTCTTGAGTTGCTGTTCTATGGCAAGTAATTGTTCTGGTGAAAAGTTTGATTCAAGAATGATACAGGACTAATAAAATTGCCTTTAAAAAGGCAAAGCGTTTAAAAAAATGTATACTAAATAAAACTTTCAATTTCATTCAACAATAATTAATTTCTTTCTTCCTAGTGGTAGTGGTGAAAATTTAATGGTGTTCAAACGTCTATTTTCTTCTCCTTTGACATTTGTAATAACAAAAAAGTGATTTTCTGAGAGTGACGGTCTTAACCCGCCATGCCAACTTCGTATCTACAATTTTTTGAAAGCCATCGCAACCTAACAACTTCAATTTATTTTATTTTATGGCGATACGTGGAGTATCTGCTGTCTTATCTATAAGATAGGTACTTGAACTCGAAATTTCATCTAGTTTCATAATATCTGTATTCCCAATAACAATGTTTACGAAAATTATCCTATATGTATTTCTGGTTTTTCGATTGTTAAATCAATGCTCAGGTTCTGCTAGTGCTGTTTCAGAAAACTGCAAATATCAGGTATATCACAACGAGACATTAAACAGTCACTATTATATTAGCGAATTTTTAGTCATGTCCTCCCATCAAAGCAGGCTACGTAAACGTTCATCTTGTACCTCACAGCCACCTTGATGTCGGATGGATGAAAACGTTGGACCAATACTATTTTGGAAGTACTTTATAGAATTGACGTATATCAACATCCCTAATCCTTTGCATGATTGCAGCTTCAAATTATGTCAGCTCGTCGGGTGCGCAATATATCTTCGACACGGTAATGACCTCGCTGAAGAGAAAGACCGAGAGAAAGTATGTTGTTTAGATGAATCACCACTAGTGTACTTTAATTAATATTTTCAATATCAGATTCATGTTTGTGGAAACGGCATTTTTCTGGAAATGGTGGAATGAGCAAGAGGAAGCTGTTCAAAATCAATTCAAGTCGCTAGTAATCGATGGTCAAATTCAGTTCGTCGGTGGCGGATGGACAATGAACGATGAAGCGGTCACTAATTACCAGTCCATTATTGACCAAATCACATGGGGATTGAGGTACCCCTGAAATAATAACTCACTTAAAGTTTCATAAAGAGCTCATGTACTGTCTAAATTGCAGGAGGCTGAATGACACTTTTGGACAATGTGGAATACAGCGAATAGCCTGGCAGATCGACACATACGGTCATAGCAGCGAGATGGCTTCGATTCTAGCAGGAATCGGTTACGATGCAGTTTTCTTGGGGAGAATTGATTTTCAAGATAGAGTCAAAAGGCTGAAAGAGAAATCCATGGAACTCATTTGGCGAGGCAGCCCGAGTTTAGGTAACAATATTAGAAATAAAATATTTTCGTCTAAAACCGCATTGACTATTCAGGAGCGGACAGTGAGATATTTACACACATTTTGCTCGACCATTATACAGCACCACCCGGGTTTTGTTTCGACATCAGTTGCAAAGATGAGCCCATTATAGACAACCCTAAAAGTGCGGAATATAACATAGTCTCGAGGGTAGGGCGTTCATAATTCAATTTTTCACTAAATACGCTTAATTATACTTTACTCCAACAGGCAATCAACTTTACAACGTATGTTGACAATGCGCTACAAAGTTCAACGAGCAATAATGTATTTTTACCGATGGGAGGAGATTTTGCTTACCAGGACGCCCAAGTGTGGTACAAAAGCATGGACAAATTAATTAAGTATGTTACCCAAGTATACAAGGGGGAATTGAAATCGCATCCTGTAATTTAAAAAATGACACTCACGGTCGAGGAACAAACAGAAAAAATACTCGCTCTATCGTTTATCGTTAAATAAAATGCATATTTCTACGGGATAATAAATAATGACAGCGATAAGCAAGGCAATAAGGCGCTGTCTGGTTGAAAAATCATACAACCCCGCGTTTTCTAAGTTCATATATGAAAAAAAAAATTTAAAGGACTTACTATTTGAACTACACTTTCTTAATACATTTTCTCTCTCTCTCTCTTCTCTCTTCGTGCGATTAGCGATCAGAATTTTGTATCTTATTATCAATTATCAGTTTTCTGAGGTGTCATCTGCGAATGCCAGCATTACACAAAGACCCAGGTTTCTAAATAGCAGAGTTTCTGTATTGGCTTTTCGAACTATGCTTTCCAGAGCGATGTTAAAGTGTAGTAACAACATCTCCCTGCTGGAGCACATTGTTGACCGCAAAGAAGATTGAGGTTATTTCTCCAACTTTGAATGCACTTCTCGATCCCTCCACGCAAGCCCTGGCGAGCTTTGGGGTATCCAAGGTTCGGCTATAGCATTCCACATTTCCACCCTTATTATACTGTTACATTATATTTCCAGCATTTCTCCATTAACTGTCTGATCGTAAAAATCCGGTATATTGTTGTAGGAGGTAAGTTTGTCCAACATAAGAGGGGAGAGAACTTTATATATATATATATATATATATATATATATATATATATATATATATATATATATATATATATATATATATATATATATATATATATATATATATATATATATATATATATATATATATATATATATTTTCACGTATTGATTCACGGATGGAAAAAACTGCTCGAACAGTGTTCGAAGTGTTTTTTCGGAGCGCGAGCATTGAAGATGCCAAGTGAGATTTTGGCGAAACGTCTGCAGGATTCCAGTCGGAGTTCAACAAGCGAACGGATAATATCCCGGAATATAGTGTCATCACATTTTTCCATCCGTGAATCAATACGTGAATATATATATATATATATATATATATATATATATATATATATATATATATATATATATATATATATATATATATATATATATATATATATATATATATATATATATATATATAATCATTATTTTATTTCCTTTCTTGTCTATGGATATTATCACGCTTTTCTTCCAACTTGATGGTATTTGTTCCTTTGTCTATACTTCACGGATCATCTTGTGAAGAGCTACTACTAAGGCAGTCTATTGGTATGGTATAACTTCCAGGTGCTTTGTTGTTTTTGAGAGTAAAGGTTGCCTGCTCAACGTCATGTCTTCTGTGTTCAAGAATTTCCTGTTCCTGTTGCCTTAAGTCAAGCCTGTCTATTCTGTTTCATACTGTTGGACTTTGCAGGATTCTCTGTTGAACCATGTTCACTTTCAGCTCTCTTCCACGCCCATTATCAGTCATGATTATTTCTTGGTTTTATTTGTATTCCCTGAGGTGTTGCTTGTGCTCTGCATTAATTTTGTCCTGATTGTTTCTCGTATTTTGTCGACATTTTGACAAGAGCCACATGTTTCTGTTTTACATTTTCTATAATTTCAGAATTAAACCAAGGAAGATAAGACCTTTAATATTGTCTATATCTGGGTACCGTCTGAGCAAAAATATTATTCAAGACCACAAAAAACTCTAAATGCTTGATTATATTCAGTCATATAGCTATATGCTGGTCTTACTATGGTAAAAAATGCAGTAAAAATGCCGCAATTAAATATTAACTTTTAAATTTTAAAAGTTTGACTTTTCTAAAATTGAAGTTTCATTCCGCCTTTATACAATGCAAAATTTGTAAAGCAAACCAACAAACTTAAAATCAATATCGATAGCGGGGTGATAAATATCAATTTAGGACAAAGGCGCTGCATTTTAGTTAGTCACCTGTTGCAGTTTTCCGATAAAAAAATAATGCAGTTTCCAAAAAAATATATCAGGACGAGTCGCAAGAAAATTCTTCAGACCCGCGAGCACTTCTATTACTGCGCACCGGACAACTTACGACAACTTATAAGCGACCCTGTAGAGAATTCCAAGGACCAATAATAAATTTCCAGATATCTCAACAAAAATGAAGTAAACGGCAGGTGGTACAATCTGTTCTACTCAAGTCCATATTGTTATCTAAATGCGCTTCACAGTGCTGTGAATGGCACGCTAACTACACACACCAAACAAGACGACTTCTTTCCCTACGCAAAAGAGGACGACTTATATTGGACGGGACTTTACACCTCGAAGCCAACTCTGAAGCGGTTCGAGAGAATCGGCAATAATTTTTTGCAGGCAAATTTTCAGCGTTTTAGTTAAATGAGTGAAACTGTAGTTCCTCCTGTAGGTGTGCAAGCAACTGTCAGCGCTAACCGGAGTGAGCGGCGAAGGTTCAGAAAATCTCCGCAAGTTAAATACTTTTAGAGAAGCCATGGGGGTAATGCAGCATCACGATGCGATCACGGGCACCGAAAGATCCTACGTTGCGCAAGATTATGCCAGGCAGTTACACGGTGGTATCGCAAATTGCGAGCAAATCACGAACGATGCTTTGACGTGGGTAACCAAAATCACATCCGAATGGTAAAGGAGTGCAGATGTAATTTTAGGACACTGACTAAAAACGCTGATGTCGTCTTCAAGACGTGCTTGCTGAGTAACATAAGTCAGTGCTTGTATTCGGAGAACATGGAACAATTGATAGTGACCATATACAACCCGCTCAGTAGACCAGTCGACAAGTACGTAAGACTGCCGATATCCGACGAGGTGTTTGTGGTTAAAGATTGGTCCGGTAAATTATTTCCGGCTGCTGTTAACCAACTCCGAACAATCACATTCCAGGCATTGAAATGATCACTCAAGTTCTGCCTATTCCAAAGCGAGTCCAAAACATACCAGGACGGCAAAGTTCCGCAACTAGGGAACAAGTTTTCCTGGCACGCGACGTTCCCGCATTAGGATTCAAATCATACTACCTGGAACTGAACAATCACTCTCCATCAAATTCTGAAGAAGAACAAATTCGCAATCGTATAGGCTCAGAGGACGTGGGTGTAAAATTAGATTCCAAAACGGGGCTTGTGATTGGTGTGGAAATGAATGGTGTTGCATTGGATCTTAATCAAACACTTCTGCACTACAACGGCTCTAACGGATTTGGATATGCGGAAATTTCTAGAACCAGCGGTGCTTCCGGTGCCTACATCTTTAGGCCAGATCCACGCTGTCCGGTGGCTACGGTGACCAATCACACCAACTTTAGCATCTACACTGGCGACTTTGTTTCGGAAATACACCAAGAGTTTAACGAATGGATCAGTCAAATCGTTAGAGTCTACCATACCGAACAATTTGTGGAATTCGAATGGCTGGTAGGCCCCATACCTACCGAGTGAGTTTGGTGGAACTTGCTAGCTCAGCCACTAATTGAGTAATTTCAGTACACCGTATGGAAAAGAAGTCATAAGCAGATTTTCTACAAATTTGGAAACGTTTAAAACTTTTTATACCGATTCCAACGGACGTGAGATGGTAAAACGTATAAGGGACTTGAGATCCACTTGGGATTTATCCACCAACGAGTCGATAGCTTCTAACTATTACCCAGTCACTTCGAAAATATTAATTCGAGATCCTGATAAGAATATTGAAATGGCTGTTTTGACCGACAGAGGTCAAGGTGGCTCCAGCATGCATGACGGCGAATTGGAGCTTATGGTGAGCCTGCACGATTTGTTGGTAACTGTTTTGCTTAAACGAATTCTAATCATTAGATACACAGAAATGCAGTTATGGATGATGGTTGTGGGGTTAATGAAGTGCTAATCGAATGGGCCTACGGTAAAGGAGTTGTAGCCAGAGGTTCTCACTATCTTGTTGTGGGTCCAACTACAGACACACAATCGGGTAAGCATTGATAAACGCTATTAAATTGTCCGTGCTTTTAATAATGTTTGCAGAACAAAATGTGAAAGTTTTGGAGCGACAAATTTCCGAAAGGAAACTTCTAGATTCCTGGGTGTTCTTTTCGTCACCGAACGGCTTAAATTTTGAAGAGTATCGAGAACAACACCTCATGGAAGTGGGAGGTTTTAGTTTTTAAAAATTACTGTTTGATCAGAGGTTTATTTTAGTTTCACGGTCTGACGGGTTCTTTGCCTGAAAACGTACACATTCTCACATTGGAGCCGTGGAGAAAGTCCAGTTTCCTTCTGAGATTAGAGCATATGTATGCGGAGGGAGAAGACACCTTGCTGTCCGAACCAGCTATCGTTGATATAAAAGTAAACTTTTCTTATAAATTCCATGCTCCAGCTAAATCAGTTTTATGCAGGATTTGTTTTCAACGTTCAAGGTGACCTCCTTGAGGGAGACGACATTAGCAGGCAATCAATGGATCGATAATCGAAAAAACACAAAATTTCGAACAATATCGGAACTACTCGACTTATCGCAAGATGTGTACTATGCCTCCGACGGTTTCAAAGTGATTCTAAAGGCGATGCAAATACGCACTTTTGTTGTGGAGATACAACTTGATAGGAAAATATAAAAATTGGTATTTGGAAACTACTTGCTTTGTCCATTCCAACAACAACATATAAAATAGAAAAGGAGAATGTCAGGTGAAATTGTCAATTACTATCTAGTTTTTTTCCATCCAATACCTAAAAACTGACGCTATAACTATTTGATATTTTTCCTTTTAAAGTTAGAACCAACCACATTTTCTTGTACCTAGAGCTAAAAAAAATTTGGATTGTTTCTTAATAACTTTAGCGTTCTCAGTACTATACTTCACAAATTGTTCTGCAATCTCAGATACTTGTATAGCTAAGGATCAGTTCAGTTTCGCAATCAATAACCTGATCTTTTTGGGACTTCCTGCTGTGATAACCGCGACCAAAGTGCGTTTTCAACAAGTCAGAACAACCCGTTCTCGGATTTGCAAGTTGATTAAACCAGTAAAACCTAAGCTAGAATGGAGTGAAAGTAGTTTTTCTCACGTGAGAGTACAGTTAAAAGAGTAAAATGTATAATTACCTAGGTAGATGATACAGACACTATTGAAAGTCCTTTCAATATGCGCATGCGCGGTCATTTCCAGCCAATAAAACCTGTCATTTCAAACCAACCAATACAACCTGGCGATGTTGAACAACTAACATGGCCGCTGACAATTCGGCAGGTTTTAATTTAAACGTAGCAGTTTTAGGACAGTATTTGCTCAAAATATGTCTAGATCTCGTCAAATGTTCTGAGAAAATAAGTTAAGTGTGTGCAGATGGTTGCTTAGAAAAAAAATGGCGGAAACTGCAAGTTCAATCATTACGCGCTACAACCCTGGGTGGGCTAAACAATTTTTTCCCAACTGGTATGATGTTCCATAATCAAAAGAGATGTTCATTTTAGGAGGTCTGATCTGATGTTGTCTCCCCAACACATTCTAGGACGTCCGAGTGGCCTTTTCCCCATTGGGAGCTCCTCACACGTCTTCCATGTGGAGCCTTTCTACATGTCCTGCACATCTTAATCGTTCGAGGTCTTGCGTTAATTATTTTAGATCGGATGAAAGTGGGAGCTAAAGATTCTTCTGAGAATTTTTCATTCAAAACCTCTGAGTTTTTTTCCTTTAGTCATTCTCCACGTTTCGCATCCATCTGTTATTGTGGGCTTGATAATTGTTATATATATTTTAATCTTGGATGCTCTTGATGTTTTTGACTTTTGGCGTTTTGTGCGTATGTGCAGCGATGTCGTGGTCGTGGTTATTCGGCAAGTTTGGTTATTTGGCAGGAAGTGCCGCAAGTTGAAAGTATTGATTTTTACGTTTTGTTCTATTCTATCTCTTCTTCCCATTCTGTTTAGCACATGTATTTCGCCTGTTCTTCGTTGATCTTTGGTCCTACTTTGTGTGTTGCTCCTTCAATATTTCTAAAACTATCTTTTATAGCTAGCAATAATTTGGGACATTTCCAGGTTAGTAGTTCGGTTTTTATTCCTATTGCTCTCACAGCTTTTTCTAGGAGTAGATTGAAATGTAATGATGAGACGGATTCACCTTGTCCCTGTATATTCCCAAACTGCTGGATTAACTGTCGTTTACTCATACACTAGGCACACCTCTCTCCATACAAATCTTGGTCATCTGGATGAACTTTTTGGTATTGAAAACTCTAGATTTCGCTTCTCTCAATGTTGTCATATTTCTGTCGGAAGTCTATGAGGAGGTTGGTTATGTACTCCCATCCTTTTTCTAAGAACTGTCGTAGTGTCAAGAGTTGGTCTACTGTTGACTTGTATATATATATATGTCCTAAATCCAGCTTGATATTCAGCCAGGATGTTTTCGGTATAGTCTGTAATGTCAAAAAGCCATTTTTCGATTATTATTGTATAAGTGCCCCCCCCCCCTTTTGGTTAGTGAAAAATTGGTGAATAACGATATTTGTGAATCTGTTTAGTTTTATCAAAGAAATTTATCGGAATAACGAATATAATATGGAAGTGCATGCAACTGAAAAAAAGAAATTGAAAAAGGGCGAGAATGCTCTTAAAATTCTGCTCGTTTTTCATTAGCACCCTATATTTTTTTATTTCAAATCTTATTACCAATAAAAATATCGGCAGTGCCAAAATGGATGTGATATATGTAATATAACAATAACTGTAACCTAAGCGTTCTCGGTTGACCATCATGATTATGAGAGTTAAATTTCTAGAACTCCCGCATAATTTCTATAAAGGGGAGAGACCATCTAAATTTAGGAATTTAGTGTAGAATGAATGTTGCGGGCGTTGGGGTCACATAGTAAGGCGGTGATTTATAATAAAACTGTTTTATAATAAACAATATTTAATAAACAAACAATAACTCGTATTATATAAGGAAAATAAATAACTTAAAACTTGGTATTAAGTAGATTAACTTAGAAGTCGAAACGTGGCCTAACGATCAAAATTATTTTTAAATTCACAACTAAATGAGCGCAGTATTTGGAGCATGAAAATAAAAACGAAAGAAAATATAAACAATACAGAACGAAATAACAAAACAAACGAAACGAACGAAATTACAAAACAAACACAGAATACTTTTCGTACAAATAAAATGGTAACTTAACTTAACATTCTTTGGTTCCAACATAATTAAATTAACAGAAAAGCTATTCTAAAAAGGAAACAAAACATACAATTTAGTTAGTCTAGGAACTCTATGGCATCTTTAAATGGCATTTACCTACTTTGAGGACAAGTATTTCATACTTATCAATTTCTAGTGTAACACTGCTAGGTATAACGCGAATAACAAGTACACTAAGACAATAACATTAAAAAAAAATAGAAAATCTTTCTACATTATAGTAATACTGATTCCAAAAGGCACGACTGCTTTTGGTTTTCTTTATCACATTGTTTAATACTTACATATGTCCACGCAGGTGAAATTCAAAAAATTAAAAAAAAAACAAGAAACAGTCTTACAACATATTCTATTCGTCTATTCGAAGATTCTCTTGTAGAGAGGTCAATCTAATGATAAAATTCGACAAGTAGCTGTCCGCAAAGTAGCTTGGCACGTAAAAGTCCACATCCCTTTTTAAATTGAGCACCTCCTTAGTGAATAAATTTAAATAGTCGCTAAAACAAATAAATTAAACATTTTTATAAAACACGACTGCATCTCGATGACAGTGCAGCTAAGTATATGAATTAACTTCATAAATAATTGAAAAGCAACATTTAGCAGCTTCAATACTAAAAAAAAAGCTGCGTTTTTCCTTTCTATATTGGCCACCCTGTATTTGATTTCACATCCATTTTCGGATATAGATTCTTATTTCTCTAATCAAACTAAAAAAAGTCACTTTATTGGTTAATGTTTTAAAGTAACACTGAATTCGGGTTGAATAACTTTTGTATTTAAAATGTAACGAATTTTTAAATTTGAATTTATATGACTCGAGCGCCATCTACCTTGGGATATATCAAACGTCTAGTAAAAAGTGAATAGCGCAAGGAGTTTATATCATTTTACAACTCAAATTTATTTTACATCAGTACCGTGGATAAATGACCAGAACCCTTTAACGGAAAATTTGAAATTTGTTTCTGGTTCTTGATGCTTTGAAATTGTAGTAAAATCTTTTCAGGCTTTTATTTTTACATTACAATCGATGAATAATATGCATAAAAAAAAATCAAAAGTCCAGTTTTAAAATCTTAGAAATTCCAAGTAAAAAGGTAACAGTAAGTTTCGGTTAGTTTCACGGAATCACCCCCATACCAGAAGTGGTTGACAGCCTAGGGGTAAAGAGCAGTAGAATTATGGTTTACACTCAAAGGAATTCGACAAATTGAAACGGTAATTTAAATCAACAAAAATTGATTTTTGAAGAAGTCAATTAATTTGGGTATCTAACAGAAATTTATAAATCATAAAACATATCACTAAAATCACCATTGAATCAACAACTTGCCGTATGACAGACAAGTGATATCCTCCCACTGCACCCTGAAGGTGTCTGTAACTAGTACGTCAATCCACTTCGTTTATTGAGGTTTTTCAATCTTTTTTTCAAATAGAAACCATCTGCTTTTATAATCCTATATTATTTGAAATTAAAAATTGAGGCTACTTTGTATTCGGTTATAAATTTTGAATATTTATGGTTTTCCAGATATCGCCGTTTAATTTTTTTACTTGGTCTGCTCTTAACGTTCAATTAACCTGAGTTGACCCTGACGACTGGCGAGACTGGCGCGGCGTAGAACAACAAATAAGTGTTAAAGAAATGAAAAATTCTTTAATTTTAAAGTACAAAAAGAATTACTTTAAGACACAGAGGTATGCTCTCTGTATCAATTCTTCAACTGACACTGGCTACGCAAATGATTTCACTTTCAACTTTCACACTATAGATTTATCAGCATACTTCCAATACGTTTAAAAGCTCTTGAAAGTAGTCCATCAGCTCTCCGAAATAATGCCGATTAATAAAATTATATGCCCTGACCAGTTTGGATTCCGTAAATGTCAAAGCATAGCATAGCAAAAGTTTTTAATTTGCTGTTGTGTTACCCGATAACACTAAAGCATTTGACACTTTAGGCCACTATGTATTCATATACACCTCTGGTTTTTTGAATTACTACTCCTTTCATTAATACAGTGGAGAAATTAATTATTTGTTTCCTGCCAGTAAAGTGAACAAAGTCGTGAATATGATAAATGAAAAATTAGGGATTATTTCAAAGGTTTCCAAAGCACATAATAGAGATATTATGACCCTATGTTTAAAGTACACTTGAATTATACTGCATTAAAGATAACCGATTCGTGTAGAAACCTAGGACTCATTTTTGGTTCAGACATAAGATTTTCAACACATGTTTCTTCACTTGCATATATAAGATTTAAAATAAGTTACCCTGTATAGTAGATGTCTATTCTAAAAAAAATCACGATCTCAACACTAAATATTACCTGACCAATTTCCAATTTATGTGGGTGCTGCCCGACTTTCCAAAAAAATAGTAAAAAAACATTTTTTGTTTTGGAGAGCGATATTGCAAACGAGCAGAGTAAAACGTAAATGTGTGTTTCCAACTTATCTATCTTATCTAGATTTTTTGTTTTTAAAGATATCCAATTAAATAGAAAACAGAAATGATATATTTGTAATTGTTACACCCTATATATATTATCGCTATTCCAAACAACACGTTACTCTGATTACAATTATATTTATAATATATAATTATATCATATTTTATTTCACTTGTTTTCGAGATAACAGCAAAAATAGGAAATTTTCATATAATTTCGATGAGTGCTGTTAAACTAAAATGTTTAGTCAGTGAAAGAACCGATATGCTTCAAATATAGTAACAGAATATCACGGTAACCGATACGCTTCGCCAGTATATTAGACTTTACTCCAAATAAAACAGAAAGAAATTTGAAGAAGAAGAAACCACGGTGTTAAATATCAAAAAAGTATATCAGAATAAACGTTATTTCAGTGAAGAAAATAAAACATGGACCAATAGACCACCCGATTTGTCCTGTTTTTCAGAGCCTACCAAAAGACAGGTATTTGTCGAAATTCAATACACTAAGATTTTAATGAATTTAAGGATTCTAGAAAAAATACTAACGTAAAATAAAACTTTTTTTAATTCCTACAAAAAAATAAATAATCGGAAAAGTTGAAATGCGCGTATTTTCCTTTGGGGTATGTAATACGCCTCGAGTAGGGGTGAAAAATGCCCCACATACTCAGTTGCACTTTTCGGGCACCATCACACGTCATACATTCAAGCCAGTCCACTTTTTGATTTAGTAATGTAATAATACTCGTCCGACTGCAAGTTAAAGTGCTTTGAACAAGAATTCACGGGAGAGAGGTGACGTGGTTGTTTTCGTTGTGAATGTGAAATGGACTGGGATGATATTCTGGCTGTACGGAAATATTCTGCAGTTTTGAGGGTATAGTTGCCGATTATGTCACCCCTCATTTTAAAAACGTTATTATAACCGATCAGCATGGTTTTGTCAAGGGAAGGTCAACTGTTTCGAACCTCCTGAGTTATGAACGTTCGCTGTTGAGGGCCTTTGAGAATGGGTATCAAGTAGATGCTATATATACTGACTTCTCCAAGGCCTTCGACAGGGTTGACCATGGCATTCTGGTAGGGAAGCTCTCAGGGATGGGAATCTTTGGAGACTTTCTAAATTGGTTTAGCAGTAATATAACTAGCCGGAATCAATCAGTTAAAGTTAAAAATTACATTTCGTTAGAGTCTATTGTGACGTCTGGTGTCCCAGAAGGGGGACATCTTTCCACATTCCTTTTTTCCTTTTCATTAATGACCTAAAAAATATTTTTCGCTTTTGCCAATTTCTTGCATTTGCGGACGATTTAAAGCTTTTTAAAGTTATAGCAGACTGTGATCGATTACAGGAGGACCTTGATAGGTTTTCTTTGTGGTGCAGACAGAACAATTTAACTCTTAATACAAACAAGTGCAAAATTGTAAGCTTTAGCAGATCCAAAAATCCAGTAACTTTCACCGATCATTTGAACTCTGGATCGCTCGAGAGACAGAACCTAGTTAAAGATCTTGGAGTTTGGCTTGATTCGGAGCTCACATTTACATATCACATTGATTTTATTTATTTAACAGAGCTATTTGATTGCTTGGGTTTGTTTTTCGGACTTTAAAGGGTTTTCACAACATCTTTACGTATTGTGCGTTTGTCGTTCAATTTTAGAGTATGCTAACTGTGTCTGGCAACCATACTATGCAATTCACAAGGAAAGAATAGAGCGTGTGAAGCGTAAGTTCCTTAGAGGGATAGGTTTTAAATTGGGAATGTCATTTGAGGATATAAACTAGGAGGAGATTATGAAGCTTTTGAATCTGACATCTTTGGAGAGTCGGCACATATTTTTTGACATCGCTATATTATACAAAATCCTTAATAACTTGATGGATTCACCAGATCTTCTGGCATCTGTTGGTTTCATATTTCTCCTATTAATGCAAGAAATAAGGCTCTTTTTAATATTGATTTTCATAGGACCAACTATGGCATTAACTCGCCTATGAATCGAATGTGCAAGCTGACAAATATTTTACTCACAAATAACGAGCATATTGATTTATTTTCTGACTCTCTCAGTAGTTTTAATTGCAAAATAAAGAAGATTGTTTTTAATCAAAACTTGGTAGTTTAGCAACTGTAAGTGTTATTTGTAAGTGTTGGTGTTACTATTTTTCTTAGGGTAAACTATATCGTAAAGATAATGTAAATGCTAAATGCGTAAATAAAATTTTTAATTTTTTAATTTTTTTTAATTTTTCAATGAGCTTAAAGAAATATTCCGCGTCACCCTGTTCATTCCTCTGACCCTAGCTACAGAAAGTCCTTCTGCTTTATGAACTATATCAATGGACGTAATTAAATGTATGAACGACCACAACTGGGCGAACATCTGACGACGAGTAGTGCAACTTTTGAACACTGGGGTGTATTTACGAATTTTGCCCTAGATACACATTACGTAAACTCCGTAAAACCCAGTTTTGTTTGAAATCTTTAAATTGGATATAACGAAAATAATAATTTAAAAAATATATACATATATCGAGCAATGAAAGCTCCTTCACTACAAGAAACAGCTCTAATAGACAAGACATAGACTTGACTTTACTAGACTTCTTTTGAAACATCAGGTGCAATTACAGGGCCAATCAATCAGTTAAGAAACAATCCGGAACTAATATTAAATAAAAAAAAAGAAAAATGTGTTAGAATGGTGCAATCAACTATTTTTGTCCTATTTTTGAAAATATCTCGAAGACTAATGGAGCAAAATATGAAGTGTGTTATATAATCAGAATAACATGTTCTATTAAATACCGATAAAATATACAGGTAGTACAATTAGTTAAAAAAAAACTTAAATAGGCTGATATCTCAGAAAACTGTTAGTGTTTTGACTTATGTCATATAGGAAAAAACTTGGCTGCTAAATCTACATCGTATATTTTTTTATTTACTCTGATATCTTTAAAAACAAAAATGTATCAAAACGTTATCAAGGTACATTGGAAATACGGTACAGATTTACGTTTTACTCTGCTGTTTTGCAATATCGCTGTCCAAAACGAAATTAAATATTGTTTTTTTACTATTCCTTAGGGAAGTCGGTACCTTTTATATTTTGTTTTCGAATGTCAAAGAGAATGTCGAAATCAAATAAATAAAAACAATGCGCGCTTATCTATTAAACGTAGGCGTTCACCAAAACATATTTTCAAAAAGTTTAACAAAACTGAGATTTTTACCATCCATTTGCATTTCAAATTACACGATAAAGATAGTATATTTAACTAAGTGATATGCAAAACTTGATTCTCCTATTTTCGAATATTTACGTATATATAAAAAGCTCCTAATCAAACTATCGTAACCAACTATAATTGTCCATATATTGCATACACAATTATCATGAATTTGATCCAGATACTAGTTGCAGTGTGGTATTTCACCTTACGCGCACATGCATATAAAATTGTATGGGATAACGATGCCGTCGTCGATTTCAATGAAATTGAGGAATACATCAGGTCAGAGGAAGCCAGACTCCCCAATTGGATATTTATATTTCCAGGTGGGGTCAAAATGCTAATAAGGAAATAAAAGAGTTGTGAGAATTTTCCGGCTTAGTCAATGACAAATTTTAATCTTATCAGGTACTAAATGGTGTGGACCTGGAAATATATCAGAAAATGTCAATGATCTTGGTACAGAAAGGGACACTGACAAATGCTGTCGGACTCACGACATGTGTTCTGACATTATCCCTGCCCATGAAAGCAAACACAACTTAACTAACCCGAGCTTTTACACACGGTAAGAAAATACGGTAATAAACAATACAAAAAGCAACCGGTACATTGACCGCATGAGACCAATAAGTTTTAATTTGAAATACTCTATTCTCAGCATGCTACTTGAAACAAAAATTTACAGCTTACACTGCGATTGCGATACAGACTTCTACAAATGTCTAAAAACAATTAAAACTAGAACGGCAACCAAAGTGGGACACCTTTACTTCACTATTTTAGGAACTAAGTGCTACAGATATGATTACCCAATCATCGGATGCAACAAATACACATTCTTTCCGTAAGTATTGTGACAATTTTTTTTACCTCCTAAGCAGACACGATAATTTTTAGATCTCGAAAATGTATTGACTACCAACATGATCCGACTAAAAATAAGGTGTACCAATGGTATGACGTACCTAATTTTTGAATTCCAATCCGCTGCAGTTTAAAAACGAATTATTTATGTTGATATCAAATATATTTAACTTACAATTCAGGTCCGCTTACTTTCTTTATCGCAATAAAGTCCGGCCTGTTAATAACTTCGGTGATAAAATTAAGCTTTACCTCCATAAATGGTTTGTAGAGTCTGGGTATGTATTTCTCCATAAGATTGAACATCAAAAAACCGTATTTTATGACCATTATTGGATTTTCTGAAACACAAGGTCTAGTTTACAAATATATAACATAAACAATTAGTACCATGCCAACGTGTATATTTTTCAAACAGCAATTTCCAAATATCCAAAAACATGAATGAGTCGCTTGGATAGAGAAATTTATAGCACTCTAATATGTAGTGGAGTTGCTCTTCTTTATATCTTTTTCTAACTGAAACCAAAGAATTAAAATATATGAATGAATAAACATGTTATGCGAGTTTTACATATACGCTTCGAAATGTTTGCCTGCCCCTCTACGTTGAAAGGAAATTCAAAATAAGAATCGCACTTGGTGCAGTAACCCAAAATTTTCGACTCTAATATTTCTTTTCTGGCAGTCGCAGCTTTGCAGACTTCGCAGAGATATGGGTTGTTGATCTGTAATATGACTGCATTATTTAGTAATAAGAACTTGACTGAGAATTTATTAATTACTTCCAAGGCCTATAGACAGCACTTACACAAATCAGTAAAAAATAACCAAGTAATGTAAAAAAGAACTCATCCTACATCATAGAAAGACCATACCACTTTGGTTCTACTGCAGCATGAGTGTATAGGAGATAAATTTTAAATTACCCAAATAAAATTACAAATATAATACAAGATAATATAGAATATTAGAGTTATATTGTAGGCTGGCGAAAGCTCTGCTGAGGAAGGACTGATAAGAAACACTATTGATGTTATAAATATGTATATCACTATGTTTACTAAAAAAATGAAAAAGTGTGGGATGGTTAAAAGGTTGCGAATTTCAATATTTGGCAATGATTAGAAGAGGATGTGACAAGTACGCCAAATATTTCTCTTAATAATAATTTATTAAATACATTACAAGAATAACAAATGGCAAGTTACATCTGTTAATGAACATGAATTAACGCAAGATACAACACATTCTAATAACATTTATAGAGAGCAACATAATTATCAGATAGACATATACTAAACATTGAAACAAGAATAGCTACAACATTTATTTGGGATTAGAATGAGGGAATGCTTTAGTGAGATTGATTAAAGGTTTTCCAAATCTTCGCATATTGCTTGCCAACAGCTTTAGAGCTTTAGTAATATATCGGTATTTCATTCCCATAACATTGAGCACTACAATGTTCAAGTACCTTGGGCTAATAACAGGGGGCTGAATTACGCCACAATTAGTTAGGTGCATTTTAAAAAGAAAACTTCACATGAACATATATCCTAAACGTCTTAACTTTTCAAATACAATACAAACAACTGCCAACTCGCCAGTGCTGAGGAGACTGATTTTCGCGAAGAATCTGATTTTTCTCCACATGTTGTAACAGCTGGTTATGAACAAGTTTCTCCAAAATTTTTGAAAGACAACGAAGGGCACTAACTGCCCTTAAATCTTTAAATTCTTGATACTCATTAGTTTTTGACAAGGGTATTATGAGAACTTTTCTCCACTCAATACAAAAGATAATTATTTCAAAATAAACGGGCAGCAAAGTTGTATCATGGATATATTTAAACCATCAGCACCTTTTGACTTAATTTAACACTTATTATGCTTAAAATATCAATTTCAGAAAGCACTTTACATTTTATAATGTACTCTTAACATTGTTTGTATAATGCTCAATTATATCTTTGTTATAAATTTGAAGTTATGGTATTGACTATATAAAAAAATATATTATAGCGTCAGTCTTAATTTAAACCTCAGTTAATTTCATTTTTCTTCGTTTCTACTAGTATAGAATAATTTTTTAGGTCTTTCCAAACATTAGTACTTTTATATATTCACATATTAATAAAAGTTTTTTTTTCCATTTTTGATCGCTACGTTAGTTAAGTTAATGTTCGTTTAGTGAGTAAACTTACAATGTATAATCCTATATGTAAAACACTGCTTAGGTGATTGATTTAACTACTTGAGTGTATAATATTATTACTATATTCCAATTTTAATTGCGTATTGAAGTTCTAAAGTCTCTAGTTAAAAAAAATAGGTTATACTTGTCAAAGAAAGTCAATGCTTGTGTATTATCAAGACATGCTGCATAAAACATTTGCCATGGCTTGGAGTCAACCATAAATTATGAAATTTGTGTCATACAAGTACATTTCATATTAATGTAACATTTTTGAAACTTCAAAAAGCGTGTATGCAATATTTATTTACAAAGGAGCAAAAATGATACTTTTGATTGTGAATACGTTTTAAATAAAAAATTTCTGACAATCTACTCACCCAAGCTCTTTCATGAATGCACAACGAACAATGGCAGGTAAATCCAAATAATTCTCTTGTAACCATGTCTCGATGTTGAAGCTTAGAAAAAGCACTTAATTCTTGATAACAAATTGTTATTTCTTCGCCTGTTGTAATTGGTCTCATGGCTTTAATTATAATTCTATTACCATAAGGACTAAAAAAGACTTTAATTTTTCTACAAACTTTTTGACAATGGAAGATATAAAATTTACTAAACAAACCAATATGCAACATTTTGCCAGAAAATGGATGGCGATACACAAAATTAAACTCACATTACTGCCGCGTTTGGTGAACAAGAGTGATTTAGTAATGCCACTGTAGGGCATATGGCTTTTCCAGTGGCGCCAACCACATTGAAACAAAAACCAACATTTACATTAGGAAATCTCAGTAGTATGGTATTAAGCTGCGCTTGGCAATAATGTTTCACTAACAGTCCACCAATGTATTTGTGATATGTCTTGTGACTTTCTGCCTCAATCCTACTAAATAGGCGGGTCCGATAAATTAAATAGAGCAGTGTTCGGGAGGATAACTGAAATAATAAAATATTCAAAACACAGATAGATTTATTAGGAGGTAGACTGACTTCCAAAATTTCATAAACTTTTTCGACAGGTAATGAATTGAAGTTCGACTTTAACTGGTAAATGAAAGCATAGTTATTGTCTCTATTTCCATAACATCTAGAGTTAGAAATGTCTGTATCAAAATTTACATGAATTCCATACAACATCATTCTAAAAGCCATATAGCTAGAAATAATACAGAATTAAAGGGTGGAAAATTTTACAACACTTTTAGCATGAAGATACCTATAGTCTGTTTCCTTCATGGGCCAATAATGTCTCTGAAATCCATCACATTCATATTGGTGGAATTCATAGTATGCTTTGCTTTTGCAGTCTTCTGAACAGAACAGAGTTATTTTACAATCACTACATCTAAAAGAAATCAACAATCAGTGTCTAGTAACTTCAAAATAAAAATTATATAAATACATACATGAAACAATCTGAACACAAATTGGCGCAATAATGACATCTGTATTGCAAATGTTGATTTCTCACACAACTGCAGCTAGGATTAACTTGGAGCACTGTAGCTGGCTCATTAATAATAGTCTCATATCGTTGTATAGGAACAGATGCAACTAAATGTCTACCTTTCTCTGGATTATCTCTGAAATTAGAATCGAACAAATGAAATAAAATTTGGAACAATTGGTTCCAAACTTCAATTTTTTACCTTAACTTGACACTATTACTTGCATATAAAATTTTCGTGTTAACCTTTTTCAGTGGTTTAGCTTTGAGATTCTGAGACTTATGCTGCAAATTGCTTGTTTTAACCATTTTGTATAACTCACAAGGAGCGACAAAATCAAGATCATCAACCACTGTAACATTAGAGCAGAGTGTGCTGCCAGAACTTAAAACAAATATTTAGAAAAATTATTTTATTCATGGTAGTTTCATGTACCTACAATTCAACCTGCATATAAACATTTTACATGATACACTAGGATAAATGTGGTAGTAAAACCAATTTTAGCACTGGTCAAGTGCTTATCGGAATAGAATTTTGAAAGTGATATTAAATTATGCTAGGTTAACGAAACACTGTTGTAAATGTCGATTAATTTTGCGGCATAGTTTTTATTTGGTTGAACCCTTCAAAATATCTGTTCTCTGAAGCTTTGGTATTTGAATTGATATTTTTATACTTTTACATTTGCACCCAAAAGACATTTTGTCACACACATGCATGTGCTCAATGATGATCACTGACAGAAAACAAGTAAGAAAAATATCTTGTGCAATATTGGGTTGTTTGTTTTGCTCACAATACTATCACGTATGTAGGATCAACAATCAAAACCACTTACCTAACTGCCGTATAGTATTTATTGAATGCATCAAATTCATTCTCATAAAATTTTTTACCTCCTAACACTTTAGATACCGATTTAAAATTTAGTAACATAACTTCTCCCAAATGTTTCGCCGGTTGGACCTTTCTTTCATTTTTTGTCTGTTTGGGATGGATATCACTAAATCAAAGTTAATAAATACTTGAAGACGCAAATTTTAATATGCTTTCGTTTTAATACCTTTCGTTTGGTAACTGTTTTGTATCGTAGTTTAGTTTTTTAATTTTCTTATTTTTGCTCGGACCCATATTATACCTCACTATTTAAACCACCTTGAAAATGGTACATCAACAGAATCAGAAAATTGTTCACTTTTTAGGTTACAATTTTAAATTTAAAAACTTGTTAGGAATAAAGTAGGGCCACAGTATAAATTCATAACGGTGCTGTAAGGTAAGCCATAGCACAGATATGAATAATACGTAATAAAAAAGGGCAGAAACAAATATATATAGGATTGTCTATAATAGAAATTGGTTTTAAATATAGTTTTACAATAGGCAATAAATTAGGACTGTTGTATAGACCAAGCCGTTTGCATATGAGCGACAAAACGTTTATTTTCAAGTGAAGCGATCGGTAATTTGATTGGCACAATTTGACGATTTTGACGGTGCTGGCGGATATGTATTTCACAGATCTCTATAAGCAGAACTGGTTGTAGTGAAATGAACCGAATCGACTGGCCCTACTCTACTTCTTCTTTATTTCTGTGATGATTGCACAAGGATCATTCGGCCATTTATTGCCAACTGCATCAGTAATGAAAATGATGGATCGTTTTAATGAAAAGAATAAAAACATTAATGAAAAGTTAACCAATTAACACGAATTTCCTTAGCAGCAGTGACCAAATAAAGCGTAATTAAAAAAAAAAAAACAATTAACATTGGCCAATAGCAGTAAAAGAAAAAACAATTAATATTTTAAATTGAAGAATAAAGTATAATGCCGGATTTTTTAGCAGAAAATAACAACTGCGGTCAAAATATATTGCTTTTAGTTGCAAGGGGCAATGCTATAATAGCTGAGTTACTTAGGCTCAAAGATTACATTCCAGAGGTTTACAGGTGCATGTAATGTATAAAAAGTATTAATTCGGTAATTGTATCATTTATAGGCTTGAAAGTAAACAAGAGTTACAGAAATATGGAGAAATTATTCAGGATTTTGATTATTTCAGAACTTCGGAAATTCAGGAACAGAAAATTGAAGATAACGAGGTTTTGGTAATTCTTCTAATTAATGAATTCTTGAGAACTGTAAATTTTTGTAGACTTTACGTGAGTTAGATGAACAATTTCGGGACAACCACATTGAAATAATAAGTAGGTTTTACTTAGTATTTGAGAGCATACATACTTACATACTTGATTTGAATCATTATATTGAAGAATTGGAGGAAGGAATTTATATTCATCAATCGTTGGAGTCTGTTTTTCTTGATTCTGAAGGAAAACAACTTTTGGTTAGTTAGATTTGAAGGGTTAACCACTGTCTCCAATTTCGTAGAATATTGTATTATTGAGATTTTGCCTGATTTCACATTGCGCAGGTAAATAATTTTAATTAGTTATCGCCATTCGATAGCTACCAAGACTCAAATTAAACTTCAATGGGAAAATAGGAGGGAGGAAGGAGGAACTTTCGTTATTATCCCATGGTAAGTAATTAAAAAATTTATTCCAATATTATTTCGGAAAAATTAAAAAATGTTAAAAAATATTGGTATCTTAAATAAATTATGCATTAAATTATTATTTAGGTTAACAGATTAACCAGGTATGATGGAAAGTAAAATTTTAAGTTTTTTAAAGCTTTTTCCAAATTTTGCATTTGTAAATGGTTTTTAGATGTGCAAAACAATTGCGGTTATATTCATATGTTTTTCGTTTTTGGCATGATAACAAAAATTTTAATGGACTTTGTATAAAATTTTTAAAATTATTATTTCAAATTAATTAACGCCAATCCTCTTGAAGTTTAGGTTCAATTGAAAATGGAAAAAATTAAATTAACACTCAAATAATCTCAAATTAAATAAAATCAAAACTCAATATCTGGTTAGTTCACTCTAAGTTGTTTTTTATTTTTAAGACTTTAGCAATACCGGTAAATTACAAAAAAAAAGATTTGTCAATAACTAACTAGAAAAAAAAGCAGAAAGTGCAAATAAAAAAAAATTCCTTTTCAAAAAAACATAAATTTCTTCTAAAAAGTCCTATATGCAAAAGTTAGGAGTGTGTATTCTTAATTAATAATTGTAATAATATATCCTTTATTTGCCAAAAAAAAAGACAATATAATTTCATGAATTACTCTTAAAATCAAATTTTGACAAAAAGGATCCACTCTTGACTATAATAACCGTTCGCTAACACCTTTCTAAAAGAAAAATGTTAGCGAGAAGGTTCTAGATTCGACAACAGCAAACCTGGAAGCGCGCCAATCTATCGAAAGACTATTAATTGAAGAAGAAAAGAAATTAGAAAAAAAGGATGTTCTGGTGGATGTTTCATTCTCTTTCTCGTTATGATGAATTTGGGATGCACTACACATTTAAAAACCATCCATAATTTTTAGAAATGTTCGGAAAAATTAAACACCCCAAAATACCAAACTAATCGGTGGCCAATTAAGAAGTGCACTTGATTCTGTATTGAAACTCGGGGTGAACAAACTTATGACTAATGGCCGTCAGGGGTCGTAATCGCATTCTTGAACTTTAAATCCCGTTTTTTGAGAAATGAAGTTGTATTAAAGATATCGAATAGTTTTTTCTCTAACAAATTTACAATGATTAAACTGATTTTGTCAAACTTGGAGTTATTGAAAGGGGCTGTCTCTCTTAAGTCACTTTCTTTACTGCAAGTCTTTACTACAATTATTTTTCCAAATAAGGCCGAATGCTCATCTTAATTGGCCAGCCGGTATATAGTTATAACAGATGAAAAGGATTCAAATTCATTAAGATTGTTTATCTGAATTCTGAACACTCAAAGCATATATTTATTATTCATGACTTCCTGTTTGGTGCTTACGGTCAAATAACTCCTACATATTGTTACATTTACATGCTGCAATGATATTAATTGTAATTGAATTATCACCACTCAGCGTTGCAGAGACGCATAATTTCATTTTCATTATTTAACACAATTCCAAAGTGATTCCGTAACTTTGAGATTTCCACAGTGATTTCCAAGGTTACATAGTATTGAAGCAGTGGTTAACCTCTCTGTGAAATTCTTTATAATCATTAGGTATCTGAGATAATATGTTTTTAGTGTGAAGCTTTGTATTTGTACGGACTAATGCTCTTAATGGTTGATGCATATGTTGAAGGCTCAGTTAGGGAAAGGCTACTGGTTTCATATTATCGATATACTCCACAAAGAAGTGACACTCAAAGTTGCATTGATGAGGTATGCAAGTTGCTCAGAGATACTGGTTTTACTAACCCAAAAAAGCCCTTAAATTATCCAGAAGAATATTTTAAGTATGGTTCCTTCTCTTGCTGTTTTCATATTTTAATAACACATATTTGCAGACGCATAGACATAAATAAAACATTTGTGGATATGGTTATTGGAAGACTAAGATCTGATGACATTTATGGCCAAATATCAGTGTATCCCTTACCGAGGCATAGAAGCACTGCCTTAGCTAACCAAGCTTCTATGCTTTATGTGTGTTTGTTCTTTTCAGCAAATATCTTACACTCTCATACAGCCGTTATGCGTGAAATAGTTGACAAATACTTTCCCGACAATTTTATTATCTCAATATACATGGGTTTCATAGTAAACCTAGCTGAAACATGGGATTCATTTAAAGCTGCCAAATTGGCATTGAATAACACTCTAGAGCAGATTAATATTAAAGCCCACGCAACTACCTATGGTAATAATGTTATCGAATTGTTGAAAACTACGAATAATATGTTAAAAGAGGGAAATGTGACCAAAGAATCCTTACTGAAAGATATCGACAAAATTGTTAATGTTTTAAGGGAATGTAATGTGACTCTTAGGTGGTTAATACTCCACACAGTGATCAAACCAGGAAGCACAGATAAAAACAAAAGGATAAAACAGTTGCGTGATGTTATAATAGCTGAGTCTAACATTGAACAATCATATTTATTCAAACTACTGTTAAACACAGCTCAGTTTGAATTGGTTACCAGGGAACTATTTAAATCCTTATTTTCTGAAAAGGAAAGTAAATGGGAACTTTTGAAAATTGAAAGTCACAAAAGTCTAACCGAGTTATCTGAAGTGTTTAGTGGCACTAAGCCGTTAACGCGTGTACCAGAAAATAAAGATCTTCAAAAATATTTTGCCAAAATTGCAGAGGATGTGACGTTATTAAATAAAGATGAGATTAGCTCCTCCAGAATTCTGGCTCAGCTGATTCAGGCGTTGGAAGAAGTTCAGCAATTACATCAACTTGATACAAACATGCAGATAGTTCAATTTTTGTCTGAGACCCGCAATGATTTACACCAGATGATTCGAACTATGAACATAAAAGAAGATGTACTAATTAATTTACAAGTGATTGGTGATGTCAGCTATGCTTGGGAACTTATAGATTATTATACTTTCATTATGCAAAATGGCATTAAAAAAGAACCGACTTTGGTAATCAAGCTGCGAGCTGTATTTCTAAAACTAGCCAGTGCATTAGAACTTCCACTTTTAAGGATCAATCAGTCTCGCAGTGAAGATTTAATATCAGTTTCTGAATACTACAGCCATGAGCTTGAGATCTATGTTAGAAAAGTGCTTCAAATAATTCCAAACACCATGTTTGAGAAGCTCGCCAGAATTATTACAATACAGACGTCGGTTATTAAAGAATTGCCTACAAGAATAGACAAAGATAAGCTTAAGGATTATGCTCAACTGGACGAGAGATTTGAGCTTGCTGAACTCACTCATTCGGTTGCAATTTTTAGTCAAGGTACGCGTTTTTATATTTTAATTCTTGAGAATTGATTGTATGTTAACTATTTGGATACGGTGACTTGTTGGCTAATGTTGTGGGATTGATTACCTACAAATTGGCATTCAAAAATATCGTCAATCTGTTTATTCATTTATAACGACCCTGTATCTAACGAAGTATTTAATACAGGTGATGAACATTTGTAGTCATTCTGAAAAGTTGATTTCGAAATACAGATTAAAAATGAACGATTAATGACCCTATATTATTGTTTAGTTTGCCATAAATTTAAGGAAAAATAAAATTAATCAAATTGGTAGTATTATTTATTCTGTAACAATTTACGAAGTTTATGAAAATTGTTTTGCGGTTTTTCATAATGTTGTTCAATCTTTAAGAGAGTTCAATATTGAATTGAAATCCACACATTTTTTTCTTTTTGATGTGTAAATGGAATATCAAAATATGGTTATCAAATTTAGTCTTCTATAAAAGCTTTATTTCTTTATAAAGTGTCATTTAATCTTCAGGTATGCGGATGATGAAGAGTTCTTTAGTAGGAGTAGTTCACTTGGATCCCAAAAAGTTGCTTGAAGACGGGATTCGTAAGGAACTAGTTCAATATATTTCACTCGCGATCCACAATGAACTAACATTCTGCCAAAAATCGAAACCAGATGAATTGGAGATAAAGCTAAAGTCGTTAGGTCGTATTATGGCTGGTTATAAAAGATCGTTTGAATACATTCAAGTAATAATTTGTCGATATATTAATGCCAGTCATTGATATATTATTTTGTAGGATTATATTAACATAAACGGTTTAAAGATATGGCAAGAAGAAGTAACGCGCTTGATCAACTACAATGTCGAGCAGGAGTGTAATGGTTTCCTTAGAAACAAAGTACATGCTTGGCAAAGTGTGTATCAAAGCAGATATGTACCAATACCGATTTATCCACCCACAGAAGGTAGCGAGAACTTCATCGGAAGATTGGCTAGAGAAGTGACGCGATTAACTGATCCCAGGTAACATTGACTAAAAAAAACATACTGATAACACTTTATCCCAGTATTTTTAATGCTTTAATAATTGTTTTCGTAGCTGTTTGTGTTAAAAAATTTCCAAAAAAAGATTATTTTTGAGAGATGGAAAGTGTGCAAAGAGATATAAATGTGATATTCAATATTCATAATTTTTTCAGGTGTTCAGTATATTTGCCGCAAACATGCACATGGTATGATATAAAAACACATAAACCAATATTTAACAAGGAAACTATTGCCCTCATCGCCTCTGCTATTGAGGTAGCAGGTCTTGTAGGTCTGGACAGACTTTATTCTTTCATGATCATCACGTCACTACAGAAAATTATAGGTAGAATGCAATTTTGTCTAGCTTATAGTGAATTTGCATTAGAAAATTCTACTTTCAGGGCAATTAGAGAATAAAAACGCTAAAACTAGTGCATGGTATAATGTTATGGCTACCATTCAAAATGATTTAAAACAAAACCCAGAGGAGCTGCAAAATCCACAAAGAACTTATCAAAACTACATTAATCGTACTACTAAAATTTGGGGCGAGTTTTTGGAAAAAATTTTAGCTGTGGGTCAGCTTCAGCTTTTAAGGAATTTGATAGCATTTCATTTGAATAAGTCTTGTAAATTTAATGCCAAAAATTTGGAAGCCTCCATGAATTCCCTCAATAAGTGAGTTTTACTATTCCAAAATTTGCATGGTGTTTCATTAACAATTTCATACAACTGGAGATACTGCGGAATGAATAATGCCAGCAAATGATATCTATTAAGGCATTTTTACTTGACATGTTTAATATCCATAAAACTTTGATAAACTGCCCACTAAATTTAATATATTAATATTTTTAATAATAAATAATTTCGGAAAAAGTTGTTGCTAATAAAAATTACAAATATATTAAAAAATTAAATACTATTTTTAATTCATGCAATGATTTTTTTCCACAAACATAAAATTCAACAACTTAAAGAAGCCAATATTCTCAGCTGCTGGTTTGGGAAAAGGCCACTTTGCTCAGTTTTTTTAGTTGAATTTTAGTCAATTTTGCCAACAATTGTCAAAAAACTGCCATTAATTATATAAATCACTTAACAAAATAACATCTTAACCATTGAACGTCGCAAAGTGTGTACAATTTATTTTAATATGACACACGATTTTTAAACATTGCTTTTGCTTTTATTGACAGATTTAGAGGTCAACGGAATAGTATATTTTTTGTGTAAACTAGATTGATTATCTACCACTTAGTAGGTTGTACCTAGCAATATATATTCTATAAAAAATTAATTCAACTTAAATTTCAAGGCCGTGCATTTCTTAACCTTAATGTCATAGTATCATCAGCTAACATATATCCTCCATTGCTAGTGAAATAACCTATATATTTTTATATTATTTGTATATTTAAATAATTTTATATTTTATGATCATAAATTATTATGTTTAATATATAATATGCATACCATTAGCAAAAATGTTACCATCATAAAGTGAATCTTTACTGCCAACAAGAAAACAAATCCCTAAAAAAAAAGCACCGTCACAAAAAATGATTATTTTGTTAATAAAAATGCATCCTTGTTAGTTTTTTCTCTGAAAACATATTTTTATGTAAGTAGGTACACTCTTAGATGTAATTGCTGATTTGATTAAGTAATTTAATTTTAGATCATTGCTGCATGACATGACAACTGACAAATCATCGCCCGGCGAAAACTTTTTGCACAAACTCTCGGAACTTTTCGACTACGCCGGCTTAAACGAGCCTTTTAACAAAGTCTACGTCACATGCAGAAATAACATCGATTACTCTTATTCCATGTTCATTTTTGTAGTGGCTCACATCCAAAAAATGTTCCTGCCACAAAATTTTGGTATCTATTTTGAGTGTTATAGTTACAAATATTGATTTTAATTTATTTTTGTGCAGGTAACTTAAGCAAGCGTAACGTGGACCAGTTAGACGGTGTGTCAGTTTCGATAGGGGTGCACACAATATTAAAACAGTTTCACGCTGATATAAACAAACAATTTATCAAATTAATGTGCGACTATGTCCTACAGTTTATCAAATTCAATGGGTCAGCATTTAAAACTGTAATAATATATTTTTTTAATGTTTATTTCTTTAGGAATAAAAATGTCGAACTGCTGCCAGAGGTGGTGATAATGTTAAACTTTTTAGAATGTTATACCGACTACTCAGAAAACTCTCGGAAGTTTTACAGAGAGTTCTTGCCGCAAGAAATACTACATCTTCAACAATCGTTATTTTCTGGCAACCTATAGCAATACAAGATATTTTGGTCGAGCAGACTGAAAATGTTTATTCGGAATATGGAATGAAAAATGTGATATCCAGTTATATATCTATTCTTATATTAAATGTTTATTATAAAAGTTTTATAATAATCCTAATTGTTAGTCTGTGATTTGTGTCAACATGGCAGTTCCTTTAAGTATCCAGTAACTTTGGGGTTGATCAGAGGACAACAAAACAGCGACGACGAAATTCGTGCTATGACCTGTAGTGGATAGAACTCCAGCTCTAATAGATGTCTTATAGAGAGGACAGACGTATCTAGGGTCGTTATCAAGCGTTTCAGTTGTAGGCAGCAGGTGTATCGTTGGAAATGAGGGATTTATTTCCCCTACAATAGAAGTTAAGTGTTAGATATTGAGGTAAGCAAAAGTTTTGTCCATCAGTGTAGCATTTTTTCTATGTTGAAGAATTGTACTACCTGGTTTCGGATCCACCAGTTTCATATCCGCCATATCCCAACGTCCGGCATCCATGTACAACCCATGAATAAGCACACCATTAGTGGGCGATTCTAAAGGTTTATACAAATCCAAATTCTAAAAAATAAAACTTTATGATCCTCCCCGATCCATTTTGATTATAACCTCTTTGCCGCCTTGAAGATCGTGGGCCAATTTAATGTCCTCCTGTTTTAAATTGACCGGTTTCACGATGAATTCGAACCGGAGCTCATCGATAGGCAGTTTGTATTTGCGGGCGTGCGTCTGAAGAGTTCCGGTCAAAAATCCTTGGGGAAAATAGAATCCGGATATCCAGTATGATGTCGGATGACCCGATCTCACCCAGGTCTGAAAATTTAGAAGCCATATTAATTAATCCGAAGTTTTGAAGATGAATGTTGTTCACCCCTATGAAATCCAGTCTGAGAATCAAGTCCCTTATCCAACTTCCAAGGCTCTTCAGCGAATTGTATGCTCTAGATGACCACATTTCAGGGACCTGATTGTTCATAAAAGCCTTAAACACATCTTCAAGACTTTCGGACATGACTATTAACCCCTTGATAGCTTTTTTGAGTTGATCCATGGAAGAATGTATCAATTGCAATAGATTGTTATACCTATCGATTTCCTGCATCAGTACCGTCGTTAAAGATGGTAGGCGACCTTTGTCATCGATCTACAACAGCTTTGCGTTAATAATAATTATTAGCGCAGCTGTGCAGTTTTCACTTTAAACATGTAAATATTGACGTCATCCGTTAAAATTTTTGGCTGAATTGTTTTAATTACTCTATCTGCCAATTCATACACTATTTGATCTCTTGACTTGCCTTCCGCACCGATTTCAGATCTCGGTTGACATTCCATAATGGTCCTAACAATTGTCTGCGTTTCTTGAATCTAAAACAGTATTTTTCTTTCGTCTTTTTTTTTTTAATTTTAATGAAATATTTCAGTTGAGGCGTTTATTGATTCGGCGCCAAAAAGAATCTAAAACAGTATTTTTCTTTCATCTTGTTTTTTTTTTAAATTTTAATGAAAGATTTCAGTTGAGGCGTTTATTGATTCGGCGCCAAAAAGTTTCTTAGAATTCAAAAAGCCAAAATCCATTGTACAAACACCTATAATCTGTTCTTTATTTAAATATACCCTGAAGTTTAATAACAAATCATAAAAGCTTTTGTATCCCGTAAATATGAAATATAGAATTTATTGAGTGAATCTCAGAGTGAATAACAACCATAATCGCTGCAATCTAGTATTCAGGAAAAATAGTTACAAAGATTCATGCCACTGACCCTTTTTGCCGCTAGTTTTGGGCAAAATATTGTAATCGCAAGTAAAATTTAAAAACATTTAAATGAATAAACTATAACCGTGCGTTTGAAAGTTTGTTCATGGTACAAGTACTGTTTGGAATATATGTTGAATTTCAACCAAATAGGACTCAGCTGCCAACATAAATAGTTTTTGGAATCGATGCACTGAAAATTACATGGACTAAGTAACAATAACCATTGAGTTGGGACCAGTAATTCTGGTTGGACCATCTAAATTCGCGGCACAGTTTGAAAGCAAAACACTTATGACCATATAACTCAGTAGACTACTTGCAAATTATTTATCCGACTGGATCGTTTAATAGATATCGCAGTTAGTCCATCAGTCTGTCAGCCACTGTTTATCGTCGGACTTGACTCTTGTCATTATTATCATTATTAATTAAGAAAGGATGAATATTATTCATTGTGTAAGTGTGTGATGTGTTAATGAGGTTTTTGATTTGAAACTTACCTGAAACGCTATATTGGCATTTTCATGCATGCCAAAGATCTCGGGTTCCTCGATCAGTGGAAAATCGTCTATAAAGTTGCGATATTGCTGCAATTTTTCATAATTCGGACAATAATAGATTCCCGATTCCGAATACTTATAGTCCTCAGTCAATATCTGAGGCGAGAAAAATATTTTGAGGATTGTTTTCAAACACCGAAGGTCCCAGTAATCAGTAACTCTACCCCCATAGGTGATTTCACCTAAAACAGTTCAATACGTATAGGGGCGCTAAGTAACTGTCAACCATCTATGTCATTTCGGAACCCTTTTTATCTGTAATGTGTTAAATTGCGTTAGGTAAAACTTGTAGTTGGAACCCCTCCGTTTTGTGCTTTGAGTGTCACTATTAACTGTATGTGTCAATTTGGTGTCTCTTTTACCTGTAAGATACTCCAATGCCTCCCAGGGTATCGTTCCGTCCGCGCAAAACATTTTCAACGTATTAAAGGCAAACTCACGATCACTGTCGTTGAATTCGTAAACGATGTTCCAGCCGAGCGGTCCGAACTTTTTTCTTTCCTGTATCACACCGTGAAACATGCAGATTCCGAACAGTATAGCTCTCCATTTCTGCTCGAGATCTGAAAACATATGTGTGCGTCCTCTAATTTGTCTCCAAGACATTAAGTACAATGATCTTCGAAGAAATCCTCCTGCATGTCTGCAAAAGACCTTTTGACGTTGGCCTTCAAGCCTTTTGGGGGTTCATTGGTAACTTTGACTGAGTTTTGAAGCACCGCCACTGGAAAATACTTTGACGGCATCGAACTCATATAGAGACGAAATGCTTTGTGCACTTTGGCACTGGTTTCGGCAATTTGCAAAACTATCCTTTCCAAAACCACCATCCAAGATGTTGCCAGATGGCAATTCTATAGGAGCCCCGCTCAATTAATTTCAATTTAACTGATTTACTTAAAGCCTTACTTGAAGGAACACCCAATCACCAGTATCTGTTGCTTCCTGAATCATCATCTCGGCTATAGGACCCTGACCTTGACCCAACGAGATGGATTTAACTCGGTCCTTGAATCCCATGTCATTAGCGAATCTTTGGAAGGCGCTAAATGGATCCGATCCTGTGCTTAGTATAAAAATTAGGGGTACCGTGTTTGAAGTGTCGTGATATCTAAAAAAATTATTAATCTGTGGTTTGTCTAATCCAAAGCATTTTAAAGTGCTGCTATTCGTTAACCAAAACTTCGATTGTTTGCGCTACTTTGGTTACATGTTTGTAGCGATCGGATGCTTTAGTGGATTTGAAACCTGATTGTAGTTTAGTGTTTATCATTTCAGGTGGTTACCTATTGTAGAGTTTAGATGAAACGGTGGGGATTGGCACATATTTGAATTACTGTTTACAAATCTTCTAGATCCCTCCTGTATCGGTTGTTTATAAATCACAATTGCTGATATTACGCCAATTATCCTGTTGGCTTCTTCAGAGCTTTACTGAAACTGGTTCGCATTCTACCCTGTACCTGCTCAAATTTATTGTTTGAGGGGGCGCAGCTAAATGAGTGACTTGAATGGATAACTGATTTTGATATTCGTGAAAGGTAAGGATCTGAGTGACGGTTGAGATTGTTTGGTTGCTTACAGATTTCTATGGATTCCCGGATTTTTCTTTGGTAGAAGAATTGATTACATGCAACAATTTTGGTTTTATCGAATAAGATTTGATGTCCAGTTTTATCATTGAATTAGAAACTAAAAATCTCCTATACTTAGATATCATTAGAAAAGCAGACTCATTGTGACATTCTTACACACAAACTTACACACACAGATCGATACCTTAATGCATTGTCAAATCACCCCCCGGGTCAACAACTCTCTTGTTTACAGAACTAAAAAACTATCTCAACCCGAGTCACTGAACACAGAACTACACCTCATATTTACTCTTCTCTCTAATAATTTCCCCATTAGAGATACTAAGCAAGACTCAACATCTTCGATCCCTCTAAGACAAAAATCCGTTAAGATACCAGGAATCTACTGCATTCCATACAAATGCCGTCAAGAATATATTTGGAGAGACGAAAAATATCAACTAGCAACATGAAGGAGCCTTAAGGCTACGACAGGAGGTATTTACCTTTCCCGAAAATGAGAATTGGTCATCCGTGACAATTTTTATGGCTTCCTTTAGCTCCGCCTCCTCAAACAATATATAAGCAGGTCCAGAGTAGAATCCGAGCAAGTTTTAGTTAACCTCTGATCGATTGACGAAAAATTGGCCAAAAATCAGTAACAACCGACGCTAAACTATCTCAACCCGAGTCACTGAACACAGAACTACACCTCATATTTACTCTTCTCTCTAATAATTTCCCCATTAGAGATACTAAGCAAGACTCAACATCTTCGATCCCTCTAAGACAAAAATCCGTTAAGATACCAGGAATCTACTGCCTTCCATGCAAATGCCGTCAAGAATATATTTGGAGAGACGAAAAATATCAACTAGCAACATGAAGGACCCTTAAGGCTACGACAGGAGGTATTTACCTTTCCCGAAAATGAGAATTGGTCATCCGTGACAATTTTTATGGCCTCCTTTAGCTCCGCCTCCTCAAACAATATATAAGCAGGTCCAGAGTAGAATCCGAGCAAGTTTTAGTTAACCTCTGATCGATTGACGAAAAATTGGCCAAAAATCAGTAACAACCGACGCTAGAAGAATCCAGAAGATTTATAAATAGAGAACAAATTTCCTTTGTAGGCGTTTGTATTATCGTAGCCTGCGCAAATTTCTTTGCAAAATTATTTGAATTACTTTTGGTAGTTCAATCAACGCAACTTACAACAGGTTCAAAGAGATCTGAGGACTTTCGATAAACGCTTGTCCCAAATTAACTTTTACATATTCAGTGATTGCAAATACTAGTTTCTCCTCCTTTAACGTTTTGATTAACATCAACTTCTCGAAATCATTCAATTTCCCATCCCAATTAACTTCGCTCGGTGGTGAATTGGGTATCACTCTAACAATCTTAAATGATTATTGTTTTAGGAAAAAAAATCGACTTTTCCAAAAAATGGTACCAGACGGAATCCTCCTATGGTGACGTTAATAGATTTGACCATTTCCTCTGGCAGTTGTCCAAAATCGGTGAAAGTAGTTTCCAAGTAATTGGCACCCTGCCACATAGCATCTGTCACCGTCGAGTAGTCTGGTTTCTTGTCGACCTGTTGCCTGCTGACCGGCCCGCGAAGCAAATAATTCCACTGTTTATCGTTGATATCACCGTTCGCTTGCAAAATTGCCACACAAAGCATAAAACTGAACACTAACTTGTGTTTCTCGAATAATCCGCGTGATGTTATAGTGTAAACGGCCCGGGTAATATTCGTCAGTAACGTTTCAAGACGCTGTTCCAACACGTTACTCTTTTCGCTAGTGGTAATGACGGTACTGAACACTTGGTTGAAATATTTGAGCGAATATTGATACATGGGATCTATGTCGGCTAGCTGAGCAACGACGAAATAAAGAACCGCTCCCCGATCAGCCACCCTACGGTATTTTTCCCGGGCAATCGAGATTTTCTCTTCGGTAGCTTCGGTCTCCTTTAGTCTAGCCGCTATAATTGCCGACGTTTCCTTGCTCTCGTTCAAAGCTTCGATGAGCAACTCATCGTCCAGTATATTTCCCTTCGAGTGATACAGTAGGTGTAGTATTTTATCCTCGATCGATTTTAACTGTCCTTTGTCGTTGTTGATCTTCACTACCAGTTCGTTTCTTTGACTCTCCAGCTCTGGCCTTTCCAAGCTTACCACGTCGCTGAAACCAATCCGTCGTTAACCATGGTATTGTTCCTTGGAATCGACATATTTACGCCAATAGTTGGTCTTCCAGTCCCGAAGGCGTAACCGTGAAATTTACGATGGTGACTTGAATGCACACTTCCGGAAGATAGTGAGGGTTCGCAAGTTTCGACGTGATATACAACCTAAAACCTGGATCGTAATCGACATCTGAGTCTCCCAAACGTATCAGAGTTCTTCCGCCCTAAAACAACACCGCAAATGTGCATCTTTCCCACATCTCTATTTCATTACCTGAACAAAAGTCTGCCTGGCTAATATCGGTGCCAGGACAGGATCCAACATTTCGCCGACCTCTTCCAACAACACCGGCATCCCTATTCGTATCGCGTTTTCCACAATCCTCATGAAATTGGCGTCGGTTAGTTTGATTACCCTGAGATTATTCTGAGCCTCCATTTGTCTGATCCAGCGGTTGGCCTGTTCTTGCGGATCGATCATAAGCGGCCAACGTTCTCCTTGGGTTACCATGATCGCATTTTCGGTAGAGACTTTGTCACGAGGCAGACCACATGCATTCCAAATGCGAATATCATAAGGATCGGCTAGGATATTTACCAAACTGTAAAAAACCAATATCGTAGTATGGACAAAAGTACAGACCTTTGAAAAAGTATAGATTCATACACATTTAAACATTTCGTTTAAAACCAACTGAATATTTCTGAAAATAGTTCAGTTACATAAATACTACACTCAATTAAAAGTGTATTTTTTATTTAATAATTGTGAAAGTTATAAACTCACTGCTTATATTTATCTCTTATTATCTTAATATTTCGTCCAACCACCTTTATTTTTTATAACTTCCACCAGTCTTTTAGGCATGCTATTAATTAACTCCTTAAGTGTATTAGTGGAAATTTTGGCCCCTGTTGATCGCTGCATTTTGGCTTTTCCTGATTAATTCCTTGTTAATATCCCCCAGACGTTCTCTACCGGATTTAGGTCTGGACTAACTACTGGCCATTCTGATAACTGGATACCAAAATTTTGAAACCACTATTTTGTAGTTGCAGCTACATGGATGGGTGCGTTGTCCTATTGAAAAATTATGTTTTCGTCTTCAGTCAGCGTAATGCTGGTAGAAGGTAATCATGTAACATTGCTTGATAACTAACAGCAGTCATATGCCTATCGACAAATGCCAATTCGCTTTTTAATGAGGGACATATACCAGCCGAGAGACCATAACTGAATCTCCTCCTTTAATTTTTCGAAACATAATTCTCAAATCGTTCCAATAAAACTGGTTTACTAATACATTTATGATATTTAAAATGTTTTGATTCAGCTGCCCACTTTCTCACTAAACTTTGATCATAATTTAGATTATATCTACGCATCAGTGCTTTTGATAACTCTCTTAATACTGCGTGTTTTACGGTGGAGGAAAACCGACGAGGGCGCCCTGACCGTTTTTTATCATAGTTTTCGATTCCAAACTTAAAAAAAAAATCACAACACTTTGAAATCTGCCAATAATGTTTGTTAGAGCTCTTAGTGTTTTTCCGCAGTTTGTTAACTCAAAAATTCGCTGTTTTTCACTTAATATCTTACCACGCGGCATATTAAGAGGCAAAACAAAACTGAACCGATTATATTAAAAAGTCTTGATCTTAGCTGCCAAAAATAATAATACACAAAACACGTCTTGCATACGATTGAGTTTATAAATATTCACAGTTTAACTCGTCCCGCTCGAGACAAATGGGCGTGGTTTCAGCGTCAAGGTCAAATAAACTAAAACATCTATTTATATGTGATTTACATTTGTGTAATAAAATATTGAAAATATTATAAAAATATGTTTGAGTCTCCGACTATTGAGTTGAATCATCCGAATCTTACCTGAAATTTTCTGTAGACGGAATATTTTGCTCGATACATTTAGCTTCCCATAAATTAGTTAACTCGGTACGGTAAACGTTCGTAAAGGCGCCTTGATAAGCAACGCAGGCTGCGGCCATGAGCACATCACCAACGCAGTTCTTCAATTCGGTAGCGAACCTCTACAAAAGAAAAACAACAAAAACGGTGCACCAAACCGACCAGTGGCGAAAACCTTAACGCTCTCCTCCCATCGATGCTGCTCGTCGCCAAGAGCCACGTTCAAACGCCCCGCCCTATTGAGCCTGGTAGATGTCAACTGTATGTTATATTCCAGGGTCTCCTTTTCGGCAACGGTGGAGGTAAATTTCGCCTCCAAATCCGCTATGACGGCTTCAACTTCAGCCAATTGTCGTTGCTTATCTCTCAGCAAAACCATAACCGCGTTCAGTTCCTTTTCGGCAGTTAGCAGTCGTTTTCTTTTGGGCTCGACGATCCTGTATACTTTGGCGTACATGTCTATTGCTCTGACCCACATACACAAACTTTTGCACGCTTTTGACACGTTAACGACCTTTTCGGGCACAAAATCGGGATGCTCTACGTACGGCTTCAATTTTTTCAACATTATGTCACTGATGTGATCTTTGTCGTACTCTTGAAGCTTCTTCAAGAAGTGCGTGTCGCTCAAAACGACCCTGGCGGACCCCCAATCCGGCCTAAAATAAACAGAATAATTTTCGATACTCTATTATAGGTCTATAAATACTGACTTCGCTCCCAAAAGTATGCAAACGGACTCCATCACGAATTGGACTAGCTTGGGTGGTTTTTGAAACACTTTCACTTCGTTTATGTCGTTTTTGTTCAAAGCTTCCAAGGCTTTGGTTGCGGCCTCTAAAGCCGGTAGTGCCGTGTCCAGATCCTTCTGAGCATCGTCCGCTAGGGCTTGCGTCTCATCAGCTTTTATCTTCGCAATTTCCTCGTCGGCTTTGACCGTAACCCTCACTTTATCGGCCTGTGCTTGCTCCTTAACGAGGTTCTGCATTAGCTCAGCCACCGCAACGGATTTCTGAGCCAATTCCGGTTCCAATGCTATCAGAGTCTGTTTCATGGAGTCGATGAGCTCGTTTGTCTCGTAGAGTTTCTAAAAACAGATTATCTGAAGTGACTTGATCTTAACATATATACACACCAATACCCGTAAACCGTTAGATACCCGATCACTGGTCTCGGAAATTTTCGATTTCCTTGCACCTAGCATCTTTTTGTAGAGTGTTATCAGCTCCAAGTAACTGCTAGGCGTTGTATAATAGTACCGTCTCATCTCGTGGTAAAATCGATCTGTCATAATCTCGACGCTTTCGTGCATGGTGACGCAGACTCTCGCCAAGCTGTCACTTAACGTTTGAGGAGCGATATCCTCTAGGCTGCTTTGGGCTACGGAAAGCAGCGCCTCCTGGGGCCATTTCTCGAACCAATCGATGGTGCAGCAGTTCACCAATGATGGAAACATTCGGCATCTGCGTCTAAACGCGTCCCCAACGGGACTCATGCAAAGCACTAGGCGTAGATTGCTGCGCACTCTACTGATGAAGAACTCGTAGATGTGGTCGCGGGTGTCTGGAAATCCGGCGGTTTTGGCAGGCTCCCGACACCCTATGATCACCTTCTCGTATTCATCGGCATCGAAAAGATTAGGAACGTCGCCCGAATTTAAAATATTGTTGATGTCTTCCAGGAAGTCTTCCTGAACGATCTGAGTGTCGGTAAAAAGGAAAACTGAATCCATGTTTTCCACGCCGGCGTGGACAAACATATTTCTCAAGTCTTCAAAGAACGCGGTGTGGTCGTAGTTCCTTACCAATTCTATTTGGAAGCACCTTCAAAATACCATAATTGTTGGGGCCTCTAAAGAAATGTTTGCTAGTACCTAAATCCGTTAACGTGCGAAGCAAGTTTGGTCAAGCTTTGTTTACCCATACCCCCAACTCCAACCAGCAACGCATTGCCTCTTTCGGATCGCAAAATGCGTGCTATCCGTATGCAATGTTCCATCGCTTTCATAAAGAATATAACCTTCATGTCCTTGTTGTTCATCAGATTGTAATCATCTAAATAATCCTACGAGGGTGAACGAAGAATGAACGATTGAACGATTATTGGTAGCGTTCCTAGCTGTGTCATTTATACATATACATAAATACATTCTTATATATTATTTGGATACGCTGTCGCATCTAATTCAAATTTAATTGCATTTATCTAACGCTAATATCAAATACAAATAATGGCGCTGCCGTAATTTTTTTGCAAATGTCAAAACTAATATTTTTTTTAGAAAAATTCAAATAATTTTAAATTGTGCATCCTAACAATCTTTGTGATCTATCGTTGACTCACTATTTTCGACTGTTTTAATATTGTCAAAATCACTATATTCTGAGATTTTTATGCTTATGTACTTTAATTTCATTATTTGCTGGATGACTTTGCCCTCAAATTCCCATTTGAACTTTAATGGTGCTTTTGATGTTGTAATACATTCACTTTTTTGGATCGATATTATCATACTGAATGATGTTGCTCATGGAGTTCCTTGTCTTTGCCATATATTTTCTATGGTTTGATGAGGTTATGTGGAATTTACCTGATGTAAAGAACGCGAATAACGTCCTTTAGGCGCACTCGATCCACTATTTTTCCATATCAATGATCAATGAATATGCTAAACTGTTGTATTCAAATTATTTTTCTATTATCTCTCCGAAAACCGCGTCTGTGCATGATCTGCCTGGTCTAAATGTATCTAATGTATCTTTCCGATTAAAATAACGTATTTAACCTTCCAATTAATACGCATATTACAATGGCCGTTGAATTACCAATCGCTTCTTCAAATCGGTTGTAAATGAGGCTCAAGTAAAACTTGAGAAATAATGTGGAACTCTGGAAAGCATTACTTCACATAGAAACCATATTTACTACTTGTCCAAAAATCTCTCAGCATCTTGGGTTCGTTAAAGACAAAGTTCTGTTTGAGATAGCAGGAATTTCCAAGTATGTGCGGCAAGGAATGTATTGGAGAAACTATTAATACTTAACGCATTTTTGGTTAAAAACTTGTTTTTTCAGCCAGAAGCGTAGACTCCAGGAGTTATTATTATTATTATTACCATAGTGTTTATCCTAACTTCTGAAACCATGATGTTAATGCCAATCCAGTCTTAAAATTGATTCTCCTTTTTTTTTGCAAAATGTATACTTGTCAGATAGATCTCTTGCTACATAACTGTTCTCCAGAAAAGTGAAAACAAATAGCTAATTTTTCGCTGTGAAAGGTATACGTTATTTGACCTCATGGTCAAGAATCCCTCCGATGTTTTTTGTAGCCACTTAAACTGTATTCATCCTAACATACGTTTTATTATTGAATTAGGAACTAATAATAATCTCCCATTCTTAGATATTCTTATCAATAGAAAATTAGACCTACTTAGACCTTCAGAACAAGGAACCTCATTTTTATGGAGGATTTAGTCTAACAATCTTAACAGTTGACATTTTAAATGATCGCCAGAAACTCATAAATAACAATGGCATCCGTGGAAGAGTATAATTGTGAAGTTGATGAAAAGTACACACTATATGAGACTTTGTACTCACAGTTTTAGTGACAATCTTTAACCTTTACTTAAACCCAATCTTATACCCTTCGTTTAGGTCCACGCCCTCAAGTAATAAGAACTGCTCAAAATATCCAATTATCAATGATTATGATAAAAAAACATCGGACTTTTAGATAGGTTCCACGTTCTCCACATCTCTCAGTTTTAGTTTTTTCTGCTGCTTTCTATAGAAAAAAATCACAGCGAAGATACGAGTGATCGCCAAATGCAACATTTTAAACCTTTAGTGAAATATAAGTGCAACAAAACTCACCTCAACGGATTTTCAATAAATTTAAAACCTGAAAAGTTGAAACATTCCGTATCAAGTCAACGAAATATTTCCCATGTTTTTTTTTAAATTTTATTCTTGAATGTAAAATATCTAGTTATGCACTGACCAAGTGTGAGGAAAGTGTCACTTTAAGACATCATCAATATTAGTAATTCTGAATTACCATTGAATAATTTTCAGATACTGAAAATAATTATCAACATAAGTAATTGAGGGAAAGAAATTATGAAATTTAATAAATCAATTTTTATACGCCGCAGCCTCAATTACTTGCGGCATATTCATCCAACAATAATTAACATTTTTTGGCACTCACTTGTAAAATATTTTTGACTTTGTCAACATTTCTCAATTCCTCGTAAATGCGATTTTCTTTAGCTGCCCCAAATTGCATGAAATCTCCAAACAGCAGCACTGGAGGATCTTCAATCAAGCCTTCTTCTGGTAGCTGCAATACCGCCGTACCAAAATGTCGAGCGCAAATGTCCTTCATTAGGAAGTAGAAGTATGACTTGTCTTTGACGTTTATTAATCTATGAACAAAAATGCATCTGAGACCCACGTGGGGAGCAGTTATTGAAAAAAGGGTCGCAGATCACTTTAAACTCAATTAAAATTCGGTTTTTATTGAAAAATGTAAAGGGTGATCCATAATTCAGAACAAGGGACCTCAGTTTTATGGAGGATTTAGTCTAAAAATTTTGGCAGTTGACATTTAAAATGATCGCCAGAAACTCATAAATAAATAAATAATAATTTGATGAAAAGTACACAATATGAGACTTTATCGTCACAGTTTTAGTTATTCTAACTCTGCGCTTTACCACTTCATATGACAAAAAACGTAACATCTTTGTGTTTTTGAAGTTTTTGAAGAAGCAGATTGTCAATTATTTCCTATTGGTTTTATTTTATTAAATAAAAAAAACAACTAACGAAGCAGCGTTTTAATATATTTTTTCTTAAAAACGTCCCTTTTTCTGCCCTTGTAATTAGTCTTAAAACTGATCCTTAATTTTGCACATTTTAGTGTTTTGTGATTTCTGTTTTGCCTATTATGACTTAAGTCAACTAAGCTATTTATGCTTGGCGCATTTTCGTTGAAAACTGTTTTTTTTAACCAGAAGCGTGGACTCAAAGAGTTATTAATGTTGTTTGTCCTAACTTCTGAACCAATGACAATGCCAATGAGGTCTTTTGTTACAATTGGTTTTCCCTATATTTTTTCTACAAAATGTATACTTGTCGCATCTCTCAATACACAACTATTCTCCAGAAAAATGTAAATAAATAGGTACATTTTGCGTCGATTGTTTATAAACCAAGCTTGCTGACGTTTCGCCGATGATCATCATGGCTTCTCCCGAGCTTAATTGAAACTGACATGTATTTTACTCTATACGTGCTTACGTATTGTTTGAGGGGGACGGAGCTAAAGGATGGGCATGCACATTGTCTCAGATGACTGATTCTCAAAGATAAAAAGGTTATTTAGCGTCATGGCCATGAATCCCTCCGAAAATTAGAAACTAATAATAATCTCCCATTCTTAGATATTCCTATTAATAGAAAATTAAACCTAACATTCGATGATTCTGTTTACAGAAAGCCTACGCACAAACACCGATACCTGCATTGTCAGATCACAATCCGGCCCGAAAATCATCGGCTATCAAATCTCTTCTTTACAGAGCCGTAAAACTATCTCAACCCGACTCACCAAACCCAGAATTGAGACCCCACACTTCCCAGTTTTGTCCTTCCTTACATCCAAAACGTCACTATTTAGCACTTGTCCAAAAATCTCTCAACAATCGTCTATCCTTCGAATACAAAATTCCGTTGATATATCGGGAGTTAACAGGAGGACGCAGGAGGAATGCAACAGATTTGTAAATTGAGAATAAATAACCTTGTTTGTAGGAAGCTTGGGTGGGAAATATTGACAAAAATGTTTATCTGTTTTTGACTACGATTTTTTCATCTCGAATATTTTATGCAAAAACGCATACTCACGAAAAATAACAATCCTTTCATAAAGCGGTCCAATATTTCTATAAAAGATTACTTGAAACTGATTAGACTAAATTAAAAATTAACGCGGAATTTTTGACATTATTGTGGCTTGCTCTATTATTGTGTTCATAGCAGCATACTCTTTGTTTGAGAATTTTGCTTTGTTTGTTAAACTTGCCAACTATTTTCAAATTAAACAATCAATTATTAACAGTATCGATCGTTAAGAGTACGCATTCCAAAAACAAAACCCAATTTATGGCCACTATACAAGCCATTGTGATCAACCATACATTTGTTAATTCACTAATATTGTAGCAAGCATTCTTCTTTGAGGTCTAAAATTCCTTGAGTCGAACTGTTGTAACTGTGTTGAAGCAAATTTTGTTTAATGAGATATATCGATGGGCCAAGTTTGATTCTATCTATCTATATCTTACCTATCGTGGAACACGCGCAAGCACTCGTGGTAAAATAAACGGTACATTTCGCTTTTAATCCTGAGAGTTCCGGCGTCGGCTTGTGTTACGCCCTGTATACACTTGGAAAGATCCCTCAGATTGAATACGTAGTGCGACTTGGAAGGAGTCGGCAGCAAATCGTCAGCGATTCTCTCGTACACGTCTACGGCAGCGTTTACTATCGAATCCCCAAGATCCCGAACTTCGTTGGAGAACGTCGAAAGAAAGCCTTTGAGGATGGCCTGAAGGCAAACGTTTTAATTTTTGGTATGCTAATACCTTAGTTCATATACGCGACATATCTGACTTAAACTTCTGTTCAAAATTTTTGATTTGTAGAAATTTGTAGAAGCATTTTAATAATTTTAAAAATTGAGGAGAAAGATATTTGGGTTAAGTTTTTTTTTTTAGTTAAGCAAGCTGATTTCCACACTGACCCAAGTACGATTAAAGTTAAAATGATGGTTAAGGCTAGAAACAACGTACAGGGTGTCCCATTATAAATCCCACATTGAAGTTTAAATTACTAAAGTTGGATCATCTTTCCTAAACTTTCCGATTTTACAATCAAAAATACAAAATAATAATTTTATCTGTCAAATTTTGTTAGGTAGACATTTTGTTTTTGTTGTTTATTTGAATGTGTCAATCGATTGCATTGTTTCTCCTGATTAAAATTAAAATATCACACATTTTATCTTAAGAATGCAAGTTAATGAAAAACTTGATGTCTTATATCTTCAACGTATTGTATTGAATTGCAGAAACTAGACGCTTAGAGGTTGAGAAAAGTTCAACAAAGACTCTTGAGTTTTGCCTCATTTTATTAGAACGAATTCAAGAATCACCTAATTTTATTCACAAAATGTTATAATGCGGCCTCTTCGCCTAATTTAAAAAACACACATTTCTGAAGCGAAAATCCCCACAAAATTTTGCCAAATAAAAAATCAGGTCGGCAGTCTATAGAAGTTTGGTGCGGAATTATTTCTTCTAGACTTCTGTGACCCTGTTTTTTCCAACGAAGTGTGACAGGCGACCGATTTTTCGATTTCCTTTGATTTAGAGTTAAAGAAGAGTGCCGTGCTGTGATTCCAAATATAGTATGTTAACAGGACGGGACACCATATCACAATGTAAGAGTAAAAGAGTGTTTGCAAAATACAATATCTGGCCTCCTAAGAGTCCAAATCTTACTCCCCTTGAAACATTTTTATGGGGAATCATAAAATTGAGAGTATATAGAAGAAGACCGGTAAGAATTTTGAAAATACAAAACAGAATACGAGAAGAAGTCGAGGCACTAAACGGGCAACCAGAACTTCTTAGAACGAACTAACGTTTTCGTGTATGCGTGCAGATAAATGGTGATAATCTTTATAATGCAATTTTTTTGTTATAAGTAAGGTAAGTAATACGTATTATACAGTAGAACATCATACAACAAATAAACTCTTTTGCAATATTTAAAAAAAACAGTCAACAGAATAAATATATATATATATATATATATATATATATATATATATATATATATATATATATATATATATATATATATATATAGGAAAACTTTATCTGAAGAAAACCCTATCGTCAGATAAACAAAACATGCAATAAATCCTCAGCTCTTAATTTTATATCATACAGGGTTGGTCAAAACTAATGATTTACAAGTTAAAAAAATGGTGAAAAGTGCATATTTTTTTAAATGGAATGGAGATTCTAACAGCAAATTAAAATCCCTTTCGAATGATGTTGCCATACACCTAAATCCTTTGGTTTCTAAGAAAAAGCAAGTTTTCAAATAGAAAATTTCACACAGAAAAATGAATCTAACTTTTACATTAGGTGTTCTCCATTGCATTCTAAACACTTTAAAATCCGTTGAAGTGGACTGATGGTAGTGGCATTCTTTATTTCTCATTGATTCTATTTGTTCAAAGTTCTGCACCGTTGTGAAATTGACGCACCCAGTAGGTAAAAATCTATAGCCGTGAAATATTGGTTATTAAATAACTCGTATAATTCGTGTGACACCTCTTCAGCCGGTGCCCCATCTATTTGATACCAATAGTTTCTGGAGGCTAAGATTCTCAGGAAAATCACTTTACCACTGTTCTTAATATTTGAAACTTTTTTACAGTACCATCCCCAATTCAGTAGCCCATCCCCTTCCTATTGGACAAAAAGACATGTTATCAAAGTTTACAGAATTTCTATAGACTTTGGTATTATCGGTTCTAATCGAAGGTAAACATGTCACCGGTAAATACCACAAAATTTTTTCTAAATTTGTTTAAACTTTTGAAGCACTTACTTTAAATATCGACTTCAAAACGAACTCATTGGGAGGCGGAAATAGCAGCATGCCAAAGTGCCTGACGAATCTGGGAGTCAACGGGTTCCGTCCGCCACCGGGAGGTGCGCAGGCGCACATCACCACGACGTCTCGTATTTCCTTCCAAAACAGTTTTTCCCTGTCGTAAAGTCCTCCGTGGTCTATTAGTTGTCTGATGAGTTCAATTGGGGGCTGGGCCCCGTACGTCTCCAGCCTAGGCATGTTGACATCGTCTACGAATACAATTACTCGTTTGCCCATCGGAGCCCCCAGGAGAGTTCTTTTCTTCCTCTCCAATTTCAATTCTATCATTTCTTGCGTACGCACGCTGCTGGTCTGGGCTGAAAAGTGAATCGTCGCGGGCACAAACTTATCCGTACTTCCCAAATGTTTCAAGACGTGTTTCGCAATCACAGATTTTCCCACCCCCGTATACCCTGTGATCATCACCGGATGCCCGATATCGATCAGCCGTTCCATGATGTACGCGAACTTAACCGTATCTAGGGTCGGCACTAGAGTTTCAAAAAATTGAACGTCTCTGTCGTAAATAAACTGCGGCATTATCCTCTGCCAGGGGTTCAGCCTACGCGCCTGGACATCCATATACAAGTACCAGAGATCTTGTCCAGGGGGAAGTCTCGCGTCTTTAAAGTCATCAAACTGATTTTGAATGAATACTTCGAATTTTTCTCTACCCTCCTCCTCTAGGTTGCCACCCAATCCCCAAATGTAAGAAATGACAAAAGTCTGACACAAGAAGTTTCGGACTTTGCTCTTTTCGCCAATCTTCTCCATGGCGCCGGGCATGGTCAAGTGACTTTCAAGAAGCGAGCATATCATCGCCGCCTTACTGATATCCACCTGATGAATCGAGTAGTCGCAATTCTTTTTTATAAAGTTAAAACCGGGCTCGACAAATTCGAAAAGGCTCAGTACAAATTCTTTCAGCTCGTCGTTTAATATTTTATCGTCGATCGTCTTAACCCAGGATTTTACGTACGGTAACCATTTCAGTTCGTCAGGGTCCACGTATACCATACCACATCTAAAAACCGTTAAATAAATAAAAAAAATTATTTACGTTTAAATTGGAAATTCGATTTCGTATAACCCAAATGAGTTTTTAAGGATTTGAAAATATATAATATAAGGTTTAGTTTTCAAACAACATACGCAGTAAATGATTTCGCTTCCGATTTATTCTGTTTTAATTTTGTAGTTTTTAAAAAATCATAATATGTAATTTTTTTATAGCTTGCAACTGATTCTAAGCAACTCGACAAGTTTGAACGATTATCTCGAAGATGCTGACGATAAGATTACGGTAAACAAAATATCCATATAAGTCACCGGAGAAATGCAGCCATTCGAAATCGGTACAAACATCGAAATTACTGAGAAGAAAGCCAGCAAGATTCAAATTACACCTTGCCTTATCTAGAGATTTCGCACAAAAACGCAGCACGATAGAACACTTTCATTCGAATCTTATAAATAGAGGAATAATGGCAACTCGAACTTGACGATGTCAAATATACGGGCTTCATCGAGACATCAAAAGTATTTACAGGGAGAATAAACCTTGATAGGGCTGTTAATTTTAAAAATAACGAATGGTCTTTGATGGGAATTCTATTTGAAGGGGTAGCATTAAACAATTTCACTGAAATATTAAGGCAAGAGCTATGACTGGGCACATTGAATCATCCGAATTTTATATCATTATTTTCCGTTTAAATTTTTTATTAAATTATACAGATTTCTAAAACGTAGGAAAAATTAAGCTCATAGGTATTTGTAGGTTCTTTTCCTAACTTACTTACACTTACTACTTTCTGAGCAACCAATTAACCCAATTAATTAAATGTAAAACCATAATAAGAAACAATGAAGTAAATGAAATGAAATTAAACCACAATAATGATACTTTTCACTTTCAGATTTGGTTTTACCAGCAACTATTAATAATTAATGTCACAAATTAGCGGTTTACTGACCTACTGGATGTAATCTCTATTCCTAATGCTACACTGTTAAAATGACGGGCTGTATTAAATTATTAAAAGAATTAGTTACCGGCTGACGGTTGCCGGGGAAGCATGCGATAAATCTCCGACTTCGAAGATCATGTGCACATACGGAGTTAACTTTATTCTCTCCGAATTCGCGAGGCATAACATCTTGTTATCGTCCAGAACAGTGTTTAAATTTTCAATCCAGTTCGCGTCGACTGGCCCGTCGCAGACAATCCACTGATGATCTTCATTGGAAGCCTTAAAAAAACTCATCCCAATATATTTTTTAATATCTTAAATTCAATAAAAGTTTGTTACCTAATGCCAATTATGACAAAACAATGTAATGTTCGCTATAAAATAATCAGTATATTTACACTGAAAACAACTCATAATCCACCATATTAATAATTATAAAAACTTTAACATTTACAACTGGTAAAAATTACCCTGGTTTTCGTATGTGACGTACTTCGGCGTACGATTCAAAGGAATAAAGCTGAGCCACTTTATGAAATTGACGATATTTGTGGCATAGCCAAATATTTCAAATAACTCCTTTCTTAGTTCCTCAGTGCCTTGAGCCTGTGCTTCATCAGGTTCTAATTAGATTTGAGGTTAACAAGTAGACTCTTCTAATCACATATTATAATATATAATGCAACGTCTCATAAACGCCACTTTAGTTACTAGTTTGGAGCGAAGATTTAATAAGCCAGTGACTGGAGAAATGATATCTGCTATAATTTTTCTAGAGCTCATAGTTTCTTTTAGTAGATTTTTGCAAAACAGCACGAATACATTCACTCAGTGATGTGCGTCGTGCGCGTCAGAATTGACGAACGTCAAAATAATATCTGTTGCTAAAATCTACCAAAAACATCCCCTCCAATACCTATGACTAAGGTATTGTGTAAGGAGTAAAAAAGATATCTTTTCAAATTTTATGGCCACCAAATATGTTAAAATAATTGCAGTTTTTCCGAAACCTGCCCTTATTGCATGTATTTATTTATATTCGTGTTTCATAAAGAAGATCATTATTTTTTTTTAAAAAACTTCCACAAGCTACTGTAATACTATTTACAAAACTTCTGGATTGCTCATGAACCTGTTGTTGTTGAACTTGCAACGTTTCGCCAATGATCTTGTTGGCTTTTTAAGACCTTAACTGAAACTATATTTCAGAGCTTAATTGAAACTAAGTTGCTCTGAAGAAGCCAGCAGTATGACTGGCAAAACGACTCGACAACAACAGGTGCAGGAGGAATCCAGAAGTTTTGTAAATAGTAGTATTGTTTTCTCTAGCTGTATAATCGTTTATCTACTCTGTTCACCTAAATACTCAATTATACATCCAGATAACGTTCGGAAAGTGTCATTTTATTACGTCAGTTTCGTTTCCTACGGATCCCACCCACTTCGGACATTTCCGGGATATTACCGCTCGGGTTTGGGTTCAATCAGATGTTTTCGGAGATTTTACCACACGGCTTGAAGTTTGACGTTTGCCAATTACACCAGAAACTAACGGCCGTAGAAAAAGTATATTATGCAACACGTTCGGTAAACTTTTTAAGTCACTCGTTGATTAAGCACTGCACTACGCTCCGCTCTTGCTGATAAACTCAAATGCCGTTGCCACACTTGTTGCATATCATACTATAGAATTCATCTTCCCATCAATTCATACATGGGAGTCATGAACATTTGACAAACAGAATTGACAAACTTCAAAATTCAAGCAGTTCAGTAAAATCTCCGCAAACATCCGATTGCTCCCAAACCCGTGCGGTAATATCCCGGAAAAATCCGAAGGCACTCGGATCCGTGGGACAAGAAAATCATGCGATGGCGTAACGCTTTCCAGACGCTAGATCGTTGTATAATTAGGGATTTTACAGAAGGGAGTACAAAAAAATAAATTCTTAACACTCTATATACGCCATAGTAAGGAGAAGGCGATGGCGAAGTGTGTTTAAAAAATCCTACAATTTCTCTTAGAAGCAGCAGCGCCGCATCTCTAAAAATATTTGTCACCGATAGTCTGTTGGACATAGAAAAATCAACATTTTCTAATTTTTTTTACTAATGCATCTTCGGAAAAGGTACCTGCACAACCGCGCGCATCATCATTCCCATCAAACCGTCTTTCCACTCCAATGTAAAGGGGTTGATTTCCCCGTAAAGTTCGCCAAGGGTCACTGCTTTCGGATTAACGACTCGCCTGTGGACGGGTCGGTAGTACTGACCGATATGGCCGTCAGTGCTCATCCTCGTCAGCGCTCGACTCAGCGTCTAGGTGTGGGAGTGGGTAACTAAGGCGAAATCGTCAAAGTCTAATTCACTTACGTTTAGAATTTCGGTTTTGCCCCCTCCCGTGGGCCCCACTACCATTACGCCCCAACGTACAATCATGGTCTCGTACAACTGAATAATTTTGTGCACCATGCAAGTCTCTGGTTGAAGATTGTTTTCGACCATTACTTTGACGATGGTTTCTTCGAATACGCCGTAATCGGACACCGGCAATTCCAAACCGGGAAAGAGGTCGCTCAAAATTCCCTTAAAGAAAAATGATCAGCTCGTCAACAAATCAACCGATGGAGGCAGACCAAACCGCTGCAGTATTTCAGTGTAACATAATTGAAGAATTAACTAGTATTATATGGAATTCATATGCGACTAATAAGAGAATAAACAAGAAATTTATACACTAACGAAAGGTTTTTTACAGAGGGACCCTACGAAATAATACTCTAATTATTTTTAAAACTATTTTTTCGAAATAAATTTCCTCAGTCTGTGGAACTTGCAGGCACACTGTCTTTGGATTTATCCTGCATGAGATATTGACTCTATCTTATTGACTTCTATAGAGGTATTTAAGATGCATGCAGAGCAAGTGACCCTTAGTATCAGCGGTACTGGAGAAACCACTAGCATGTTTGACGAAACGTCAGTAGGACAAAGGCGATACCCGACGTTTGAAAAATCCAGGAATGTATCTGCAATTTCTACAATTTTTTATTCTTGTCAATTCATTTATTTTCATCAAAATTTAAGATATTTTAATGTATTCCTCGGATTGCTTTTATAGTAACAACTAAAAGAAATCCCAGTTCATAGGCCCAAAGCTGATATCGATGTTGAACTTAATTTTCAAAAACCTGAAGAAGTATTTTGTCGGCTACTTCGAAAAATTATTCAAAAGATATTTTCTGTAGCAAAAAGAGGTTTATAAACACAAACAGATTTAAAATCTCATTTTTAACCAATGACTTTCCAGCACTGAGTTTGAATTCCGCTTTTTTACATTAATATTCTCTCAAAATTGTCTAGATCTCGTTCAGTGTTTTGGGAAAACCATTGTTATAAATTATTTTATCTAATAGCTATATGAGTTTGATATTGTGGAATATCAACAACTTATTCAAACATGTATGATTATTTCACAATTTCTCAAATAGCTAATACTAAACTCGCAATTTTATAAGTTCGCAGTTATTATATAAATAATAGAATACAATCCGTCCTTCTTTGCTTTGCATTCGGACCAATACGTCACTCGGGTGCCTTCAAAATTTTAAAAAAGGAAAATGTGAATCACCATTTCATACAAGTAATATCGGATGTATACCATCAAGTATGACTTGGAAATTATTGGAAATTATTGGAAAGCTGCGTAAAACAATATATAGAATGGAAGAAATTAATTTTCAGAGGACAATCTACAACGGCTACATCACCTTTTCAATTAAGAAACGTGAGCAAAACAGAGCAAATCGAGCATATTTAAGATTGCAGTTAGACCTTATTAACCTATACAGTAGACACGAGTAGATGGCACCAAGACCATGCAAATGGAGAACATATTAGAAAATTAGATATTTCTGGAATAAACACGCAAACAGAATGAACAATGGCAGATTACCAAAAAGAACAATATACTAGTCCGGGGCAAATTCAAAGGAGGACCGTCGAGGAGATCAAAAGAATGCTGGATATCCTCGTGTGGAGAAGCTTTACTAGAATAAACAGGCGATAGCCTACAATATGAGAAACCGCATTAAAAGAAGGAGAATTATTAAATTCTAGAGAAAAAAAATGTCAGCAAAGATTTGCTGTCCAAGAATAATAATTAATTTTTACTAAAAGTCATCTCATGACATGCTAACGGAGAGGCCTGCATAGGAGCGCAGAGATCATGACCAATCAGAGCGCGTTTAAGGAATTTTATCCGATAAGCAAATTTTTTTTCGCTGAAACTGACTCATTAAAGTACCATCGTATGCGCTAGAGCGCAGCATCGAAAGATATATAGAGCCAAACATTTGTTTATTTCTTTGGACGAGTTAGCAACTTGGTTGCGTGGTTTACTTTTACTGCTATTTGGCATAGTTTAAAAATATCAATACAAATTTGTCAATTGCATTAGGTTTTGGAATTATGTGGAATCAAAACTGAAATATTGCTGTTGAATGTGTTGGACCAAACCTGAAACAAAATGGCGTCGTCCGCCAAAAACTTGGGCAAGTTACTGTCTCGTAGTGCCGATATGAGCACGACGTCTTCATTCCGATCAGGCGCTGCTCTTTTCAGTGATCCAGCCATGACCAATACGCTTTTTACCGCTCTCATACCAAAATCGTAATGATCTTGTTGAGACAACTGCTCGCTGCACAATTTGTACATTTGAACCATCTTTTGCGACAAATTTTTCGACGATTCGAAGCCTTCGGAGTACAAAATGACCTCGGCGATGAGAGCTGCAAGTGTCAAAATGGCAAATATTCATCGCGTTTGGATCGACAGTTACCGTAATCCGGAACCATCATCGCTATTGGTCTGAACAGGGCTTTCAAATTGTCCGGGAGTTCCGTTCGTCCAGCGTAACCGGGGTTCATGGTTATGAAAGCGGCGCACCGTTGCACGAGCTTAATTTCTCGACCCTCGAATATAAATCTGCGAAAAAGGCATTCAGTAACCTCAAAGCCCAGCCATAATTTTTTGATTTATAATGGTCCATATTTTACCCTTCTTAAAACTGAAGCACCTTCGTTTTAAGACCCTTAAAACGTATTTTATATATATAATGATTTTTTTGCAATTAAATCATTTTTGCATTTTTTAATCCTACCTTAATTTTCAGTTTTTTATTTATTTGTTCTTGAAAGAAGTGTGCTTGTTTTTTTTTATTATGTAGATAAAGTTTAGGAATAAACGGAATATTCCTTTTAAAATTGAACGAAATATGTGAGCTGTAGAATATGTATTCGGTGTATAAGGATTTATAAGGATTTTACAGAGTAAGCCCAACAGTAAAAGTTTTATAATAGGGTTTTTAAGCACGTCATAATGCCTTTTTAAAAAACATTAAGTAACCAATACTAAAGGTTTATTGGACACAACTTATATCGCCAATGATTTTCTTATAAAACTATGAAAACTGTTAAAAGTTGTGGTTTATTATAAATTCTTTATAAATATCCCTTAGTTGGGGGCGATGCTCACCTCGAGAGTTTTGCGGCTTTGGCGTTCCTTATCGTGATCAGTTGCTGAGCAATCACCGAAAGCACCTCGATATCGATCCTGTTAAATTCATCGAAGCAACACCATGCTCCGGACTGGGCCAATCCGGAGAAAAATCTGCCCATCATTTTGTAATCCAAACCTTCGGAACAATTAAACACCACGCATTGGATGGCCAGTGCCTTTGCTAAATCCTTGGTGGTTTCGGTTTTGCCGGTCCCCGCGGGGCCGGCCGGCGAACCGCCTAAATCCAGCTGTAGCGCCCCCATGAGGCACAAGTAGCACTTATCAGTTAGGGGAGTAATAACTAGAACACCCGCTGCGCCCAAGTATTCGTATCCGTAAACGTATGACGCACTGGACATTTTGGTGACGCAATCATCCAGATTCTCGTACCAATAGTATCTGAGCACTTTTAGCCATTCGAAGCTATTGCTGCAGGATTCGACATGTTAAGATCAACGGAAAACGCCATTTTTTTAATTCATACTACCTATCGGTGACGTTGTTTTTGACTAGATTGCTCACTGTATCGCGACCGTGCACGTCTATCGTAATTAGAGCTATGAGGATCGTTCTGGTTACGGGGTCCAGGTCGGTTCTGATTAATGCAGCCAAATCGTTCAGATCCTAATACAGGATAACACAAAAATTGGTCCCGAAAATTCAGCGACTGATTGTAGATATTTTTAAACAGCTGATTCGAAAAATGCCCCCAGATTTTTGCAGTTCTAATTTTTGAAATACATGTTAATTGATATTACTTATAATAAAGGTCAAACATAAAGAAATAAACATATACTTAATGGTTACAATATACAAATACACCTTGAATTGTCTCATGTCCAATTTTCATAAACTAGGTTTACCGGTCCTACTTAATCCGGTGCTCTTAATTACATTATTACTTATTTTCATACCTATCTATATGTCCATCTACCTGTACTTAATTTTGCATATTATTGAGTTTTCGAAAGTAAAATTGTGCTATAATTTTAAGTAAAACACTGAACTACGTTTCGTAAATATATATTGAACCGTTGTCCGTTAATATTAAAGGCATAAATAGGCACAAATGGATTGATTCCGGTTCTGCAACAAGAGCTGTAGTGCACTCGAAACAAGTGCCAGAAGCTGTTTGCTGAATTACTTTCATCCAGACAAAATTTTGTCTTAAAGGAGATGAGGACCTGCTGCCTTTTTTTGCTCAACAAAATAACCTGGTATTTTGCAACAATTTAACTCTTAGAAAAAATTGGTATGCCTAAATAAACTCCAGACGATCGTCTTTTTATTGACAGTTCAAAACGTAGTTTAAAATATTCTCTTCTACAAATATGGTTCAATTCCGGTCTACTATTTACCATGTAGGGCGTATATGAAACAATTGCATTAGTTTTGAAAAAAAAAAAAGAAATACGAAGTACGTCAGTGGGCAATTTGCGTTGATTTAAAAATTGTAATCTTTCTCTTTTGACATTAGAGTTGCTGCACAAAATATTATTTTTTGTGTCTTCGGCCAGCGGAGATAAAAATGAGTTCTGGGTTAATAAAATAGGCCTTTAAGAGACGACTCAAAAAAAAATGTGGTCAACGATATTTCGATTGAAATTATCAAGTTGGAGTTGAGAGTATCACGGAAAAACTAAAAGCTAGTATGGTCCTGAAATAAGGCAACGTGCTAAAGATCCGTTTGTGGAAATTATGGTCAATATTCTCAGTTATAACATGTATATAAAAGTCCACTATCTCCATAGCCACCTAGATCGGTTTTCAGAAAACTTAGGTGGTTGTAGTGAAGACCAGTGGTAAAGATTCCATTTGGATATTACAGATTCTGATGGACAAAATTTGAGGGATAGTTTTGGATTCTCCACCCAAAAATTATACTTAGGAACTATTGAAAATTCGCGGACAACAAAATGCTTCTTGGTTTGTGTAATAATTACCTCAGTGACAAAATTAGACTTACCCCGACACATTTTCTTTCATATTGTTGCAATTTCTTGGGCACGTTGCTTTCGCCGTCGAGAATTTCGTGCACGCCTTTGGCCCACATTATTTGGGATACGGCTAAAATTATTTGATTGGGGTGACTAACCGCCCATTCCGTTCTTGGTTTGGCCACGTAATGATTCATGGCGACTTTCATGCATCTTCTGAGTGATAAAACCATAGACTCTTCAACTTTTCCCAGCCAATCTTCGACATTGCCTCTGGCTTTTAGGCCTTTGCCGAGTTGAACTCGTTCTCCTTCTGGACTTATCATTGCTATAATGTCTGTTGTTAAGATGATAGTGGTAGATTTTCTAACTTCGTTTCCTTCGTCCAACGGCTTGGTGCCAAATTCCAACGAGGCAATGGCGTCGAAACACTTTCTCAAATGAGGTTGGACGGCATGAGGATTTCTGTAATGGAACTTATCTACCGTACGAAATTTCTAAACATCCAAAATTCTACCTGGTTTGTGCCAAAATATCCAGTAGTTCATCGTTGGACAAAAAATAAAATCGAGGAAACGCAACCCTTTTAACTTCCAAATATGACTCCAGGCATTTCATTATTTGCTCCAGCAGTCCGTTATTTCTTTGTAACGTTTCCAACAGACCTGGTTGAAGCGTCGCGTCAATAGCGAGTGGCATCTAAACACCACTAATTAAAGAGAAAATTTTGATTTATTAATATTGAAGGAATACCTTGGCCGTTCTCCTCATAATTTCCTTCCACGATTTGTCCACCACTACAAAAAGTTTTGCTTCGTTGGGTAGTTGCCTTTGTATATCAGGCGCCGAGAAAATAACTTCCAGGTATATCCAACTTTGCTGGCATGTCATCCATTCGTCCAAAGTTCTCGAAAACAGATCCAAATTTTTCATCCAATCGTCAACTCTAGATTTGATGGGGCCCACATGTCTGGAACTCGCAATGGTTATAATATTGATATTACTTTCATCTAGGACCACTTGAATGTCCTCAAGGGAACCTAATATATACACATCCTTCGCCTCCTTGTGTGGAATAACAATGTATTCCAAATATTTCCACGAGTCTTCAACCTAAACACATTTTACTTATACGAGGATTGTATAAAAATTTGTAGTGGACGTACCCTCCTCAACAAAGCCTCTAAGCTGGCTTCGCTACTGGCTTGTGCCGATATTTCCATCAACTCTTGATGAAAGCTAAATACGTTTAACTGTTCAAGCATTTCCAAAGTGATTATCTCTTCCGGTTTAAATTTGCAATTCAAAATATTTTCAACTTTTATCCAATGCCTGGGCTTCATTGCAGGATTTCTGAGATATGTTATTACGGGAAGCTAAAAAATCTACTTCGTTACATGTGCTCTGCAAGCATATTTTGCTGCTTTCTTGCCTTATCCTTCATCAAAACCACTTCGTCTTTCAATTTAGGTACGACAAGATTCGGTGGGAGACCCTTTTCTAATTGGGTAATGTTCTTAAGATTTCTAGTGGTGAACAGATTCATATCATCCGTATTTAAAGTGTTAAAAGCGGAATGGTACCATTCATCGACAGTTTTCGTCCAGGAATCAACGCTTTCCCACAGAAGCATACGCAGCTTTATATTATTCATCACCTCATCTAGAATATCGAACCTAAATACTTCCAACTACAAGAAAACATATCAATGTCAGCTCGTAGGTAATATCAAGGTGTATTTTACCCTAAATTGCCTCTGGTAGTTTCTAAATTCTGCTGCTCTTTTTTGACAATTTAGCAAACGCTCATACAAATCCGTTAAAAATTCTGTGATTTCAACAACGTTAGAGGTGATGTCGTATAGCCAGGGTTGCTGGAATGAACAACAAATTACCTCAATCACACAAGTATTCTAAAATGGCCCCAACCATGCATTCATCATTAATGCGCCCGGCTTCTGAAATCAAAGCGCTTATCTCCTTGTTTAGTTGCTCGCTGAACGCTTTGGTAATTCGTCCTGTGTCTTCGATCTTTTTGTCGATCAGGTTTCTTAAGTTTCCTAACGATACGCTCAGGCCCAAATAATTCGACATATCCTCCGCCGAAACCGGTAAAGTGAACTCCTCTATTATATCGTAAAGTTCCTTGCAGTAATCCAGTTCGTCGTCCATTTTATCAAGTTTATCCGTCGATACTTCGATATATTCGAGATGCTTCACGAAGTCCGTTGTGGTTAAAGGTTCTTGAAGAAGGCGCGCTTCCGTTTCCTCAACGTCTGTCATTAACGCGTTGATTTTGTTTCTGCCTATCCTGAAGTTAAATAGTTCGTTCATAACTCTTCTGGATACGACAGCCATCTGGTTACCATGGGATAACATCTTTGACGATTTCTAGTAATCTTTTAGGTTCCGGTAAGACGGTGTCTTTAAACTGGTCGAGCATCAAATACAGTAGCCCCAACGGCTGTTTGCTCACCAACTTTTCCACGGTAGACAATTCGTCATTGTATCGCATGCACATAGTGCGAAAATTCTCTATCACTAAAATACAAAAAAAAGTGTTCGTACCCGCTCGAGATGAATGTCAATATTTACCAGTTTCATTCTGTACGTCGCTCTCGTGAATATTTATATCCTCTGCAAAAAAATGTCTTATAAATTCCAATCTGTTGATGTACAATCGTGCTGCGTCATAATTCGACTTGAAGCAATCGAATATTTCGCATTTGCTTCGCTCCAGCGTTTCGTCTTTAGATAGATAAAATTCCAGGCTGGGTCCCCAACTACAAATTCTGTCCTCGACTTTTTCGTTAATGACCGGTCTAAAATACGTCAGCAACAATTTGGAGGGCCCGCTATTTGCAATACTAAACTAACGTGGTAAATGGAGAGTAAATTGGATCGGCTACAAATGGCTTGTATTCGTTGGTGTGTTGTTCCCACAAGTCAAATAACTGCTTATAAATGTATACTGTGACGTCTAAGGTTGGGTCTAGGGACATTTCGTGGGGTTCGACGAAGACGTTTACTATGAACAGCGGGTACTGCGAAAAAGAATTTTATTTAAAGTCGCAGACTGGCGGATCAGTTAAATGAACGTTAAAATATGAGAATCAGGTTTAAGTGATGCTTATTTTCTGCCATTGCCATCCAAAATCTTTAAATGGTTTAAGCCGGTAGTCGTTTAAGACAAACTAATAAACAACAGCCAAATTGAATGCGGTGCTTCTATCTCAGTGGAAACCAGTCTAGACACTCAGACACGCACTTATTACGCTGATTTCTAAGTATCGACTGGCTCGTTTATTATGAGATAGTACCTTATATCAGAAGTTGTAAAACTATCAAAATGACAAAAGTTACTTAGATTCACTTATACTTCCAAACTGTTTTATTGTTATAGATACAGGGTGTTTTTATTTTCGTGGTTATTTGAAATGGTACACATTATTTTAACTCACTAAGTTTCTCCAATATTTTGAATTTTTTGTCAAAAGTGACATTTGCTCGAATTCTCCGAGCCTTTGTTACATATGAGAGGTTGATTTTCTTATATAACAGGATGTCCTTTAGTGGTTTGTATATGTGATATTTGTATAAAATACAAACATCCTGCGTATATAACAACATAACATTTTAAAAGTAGTTGTTGTTTTGCAAAATTTTAAACGTTTTTGAGATAATAAAAGAGCCAAGTGTTAAACATATATGACAATTGTTTCTGTCCCTGTTTTAACAAAAAAATATATTGAAAAAGAAACTTCGTGTGAGCCCAGTGATTTTGACGTTGCCTACATTATGAATGCTTGTAGAATTTTCTTTAAATGAAGGGTCACTATGTAAAGAAGCCACGACAAACACCGCCGTCTTGCTGTCTTTGTTCCTTAACTCCGCAATTTAATATTTCATATTATTTCATAACAAAAAATAAATTATAGATTTAAATGCAGAGGCATACACACGATAAATGGCTATGAGTGTAAGAATGCTATTAATGTTTTTATTTGGTAGTAGGCATTTTTAGGCCAATAAATCAAACCGTTCTGGTTATCTATGAATATATTCTGTTATATTGCGTCCTGCATAATTTCAATTATATAAATAATAAATACATATGAAATAAAATTAGTCATCCGCGAGTATAATTAATGGTTTTACGTTATCCCAAGTTTTTTTTATAATTATTTCTCGCTTCAACTACATGACTAACAAATTCTTTACAACTGCTCTCTGGTCTAACTTTCTTTTTAATTCGACCATATCATTTCTATCGGATTCACATCGCCGCTGTAAGGTAATCTAAAGGCTATATTACCGAATTTTACTATGACCTCGTCTACGAAATAAGGTTTATCATACGATTGGGTTCTTGAAACTTCAACTAATTGTTTTTTTGTATAAGCAAAGGTCATGCTGACTAAAGAACTTTTGCAATACCTCTTTTTTTCTGCTGATCGTTGGTTCTTTTTTTAGTTAAAGCGCTGTGAAAAACTAATATTATCATAAACTATTACGCTGCCTCGTGGAATTTTTAGAAGATATTTTTTTCCGTATTTTCAAAAAGTTCATTAGTCATGTACTGATGGTAGTCTAATGAGCAGCCTTTATAGTTTTTGGCTGCCAGTAAATCGATCATTTTCTTTCCTTTCTGTTGCAATGATTCAAGTGACGGAATGTGATTACTCTCATCCATCCCTACGAATCCACTGGGCATTATAATTCCTAAACACTTTCATTATGTGTTTATCACATCGTTCCTTTCTTTCTAGTGAATTATTATGCCAGTTAACTCCACTATCCTGCCAATGGCAAAATATAAATTATTAAAGGATATTTTATCTGCTAAGTTAAAGCTTCAGGAATGTTATAATAAACGTTGACTAATGTTTTTCAAAGAGGCTACAATAGGCTACTGTAATACGATTTACAAATTTTCTGGATCCTGCTGCCTCGATTGATTATAAATCAAATTTGCTGACGTTTCGCCAATAATCCTGTTCGCTTCTTCAGAGCGTAACTGAAACTAGCTCGCATTCTACTCTGTACCTACTTATATATTCTTTGAGAGGGGGGAACTAAAGGAGGGGCATCAAAATTGCACCTTGTAAATTTTAGCTTCATATACTCTTGCAGCACATTCATATGGTTCGTTGGCGATACTACTAAAATAAAAGTACTTTCTGATAAACCCTTGAAAACTGGCTTTTTCTTGGTTTATTGCTCGGTTTATTGAGGGTAAAGATTCTTCCGTTTATGATAGGCCAGGCAAGTCAAAAGTAAACAAAAAATAAGTTTTTACTTATTTTAACCTGTATGTTATTCAATTGACTATAGGTTAAACTGCAACGCAAAACGCAAATAATGATTGGACTTTATAGTAACTAACTGTATCCAATCGGTGGAAGGTTTGTACGCACATTCCTCAGCTGGCCTCTTTAGATCGTAATGGTTGTGAGATAAAGAGTTGGGAATAATTTTCTGACGCACCTGTGGATCACCATCTTGCCTCGGACACTCTAAAAGCACTTCCAACTCATCAGATTCCAGCAAAGCCCGATCTGGCAAATATTTCGAATGTCGCTCAAACAATAGTTTGAGTTCATCAATTGAATTGGTAATCAATCTGTGTAGCATTGTAATGGTCATATAGTCCACCAAAATTATGTAACTACGAAAAACTACAATAGTTTTTGAAGACATTTTTGAAGCAACCATACCATGCGAGCCTTTGACAGAATTTCTTCTTGCTGGCTTGCTCAATGTACGACGCCTTTTGGTGCCTCCTTCTTCGGTCGCCTCCTTCTTCGGGAACACGCTCGTCTACCACAAACCCTTTAGCGAGGAGCGCACCGTGACAGACATTCGATACGATTTCTTTAGCGAGAGTATGAAATTCTCGAATTTTTTCCTTTATAGTGTCCAGTTTATCCATCTGGAATGTACGGGGAGCACCGTAAGGCTGGTTGCATAGAGATTTTTGCATGAAATACCTGATTTTCGATGAAATAAAACAACCAAGCGTTATGAGATAAGCTGAGATCGACAAAGGAGACGTCGGCCATTTTATAAGACATTTGTTGGATGTCGAGTAAACCGTGTCTCAATATCGGATTCAATATGAACATATTCTCAGCCAAATTCTTTCGCGCTGCGTGGAATTTTGCATAAACAATGTTCTTCCGCCAAACATAGAATCCCTTGACGAGACAGATTTAGTTATACCGGGTGTATCAAAATGAACGCAACCCATTGGGATCTCGGAAACAATAAGAAAGGACCCCACTGCATTAAATTATAGCAAAGTCGCCTACAGGTGAATCTGATAACATTTGTGGTCATCTTGTGATGTGATTCTAAAAGTTTTCTAACATTCGAACGTTTTCCAGTTCCCCAATTAGCAAAATTGTTACTCGGAAGCTTCTTTGTTAACCATTTTTGTTTATCTTTCACTAAAATTTTAACTAAATGCCAAAATATGAGGAATGGAAACAGAAAACTACCAATTAACAAAAGTGAGTAAAATTCCTATAAAGAATTCCAAACGGAATTTATAAAGTAAAATCTAAGATCAATTTCGTATTTTAAGGATACCCTTGCAGAAATATTACGGTAACGGAATATTCTAATCAGTTTTTATTTTTGTTTTGTACATTTTAAAATTACTATTTACAAAACTTCTGGATTCTTCCTGTGTCAGTTGTGAAATTTAACTTGCTGACGTTTCGCCAACCATCCTGTTGACTTCTTTTGTACGTGCTTATATATTGTTTGGTCTTGGATGACTGATTCCTATATTAGTGAAAGATAAAAACCTGAGTCGCGGTTAAGATTTTTTGATTGCTTATAGATTTCTGTAGATACTCGGATTTTTCGTTGGTACAGGAATTGATTACATTCAAGAATTGTAGTTTTATCGAATAAAATTTATGACTTCTTTATTTGTCTTAAAGCTGTTTCATGTTCTTTGAGCCTAGTTGATATTCTTCGCCCCATCCCTCCAATGTATTCTTTTCTATCAAAGATGTTGAGAGTTTTGAACAAGTGGTATATCTGGTTTTGACGTTATATTTCTTAAGAACTTTTGTTCTGTCAGTGATGTTTTGGATGTGAGGAAGAACAACAGTGGCAAATGTGAGATTTGGAAGACTGTGGTGAAGTGTATTTTGTGATGGAATGCTTAATATCTCTAACGTGGAAGTTATTAGAGATAAGAGCAGATGTAAGGTGTTTAAATTCTGGGTTTAGTGACCCAGGCTGAGATAGTTTTACGACTTTATAAATAAGATAGCTGATAACCGATGTTGTTTTTGGGTCGGATCGTGATGTGACAATGGTTTTCTGTAATAGTGGGGAACGAAACTGATCTGGTAAACTAATGCTTCCCGCACGCTAGATCGGTGTGTAATTGGGTATTTTACAGACGGGAGTAGAAAAACAGAATAATCCAATGTTATGTCGGTCGGTTGGTAACGGTAAAATGTATGTTAGAGCGTATAGAGTTTAAATGGTCAAGAAAATCTCGTAGGGATTCTTGACGGTGAGGTCAAATTACAAAAGTATCATCAACGTAGCGTTTCCATATTTTTAGTTTTAGATGGAAGGTATCGAGGACTTTATACACAGAGGCTTCCATAAATATATTCGCGATGACTGAGGATAACGGAGAACCCATAACTGTTCCCGTCGTTTGTTCAAAAATTTGGCCGTTATAAGAAAAATATGTTCCAGAATCAAACCTTCTTATCTTAATTGAAAAATGCTTCTTACACCTGTCAAATTTTTGAACAAACGTCGGGAACAATTATGGGTTCTCCATTATCACCAGTCTTTGCGAATACAGTCATCGCGAATGTATTTATGGAAGGCTTTGAGAAGAAAGCTTTTAACACCTCTAAAATCAACTTTATGGACGACACTTTTGTTATTTGAACTCACTATGAGATTTTCTTAGCCATTTAAACTCTGTACGCCCTAATATACTTTTGACCATTAAATTAGAAAATAATAATATTCTCACACAGGCCGGTACTTAAATGCATTCTCACAACACCATCCGGCACAAAAATCATCGGTTAATTTACAGAGCCGTAAAACTATCTTAGCCTGAATCACTTAACACAGAATTAAAACACATTACGTGTGCTCTTCTCTCAAATAATTTCCATATTCGGCAATGACTTTGAAAGCAACGCCACACTTGCCACTATTGGCCTTCCTTACATTCAAAACGTCACTGACCACATATCAAAAGTTCTTAAGAAATATAACGTCAAAAGCAGATTTACCACTTGTTCAAAAATCTCTCAACGTCTTCGATCCATCAAAGACATTGCGATACCAGCATTCCATGCATATGCGGCAAAGGATACATTGGAGAAAACGTACGAAAAATATCAACTAACTTAAGGCTAAGACAAATAAACTCAGCATCAGCAGCCGCTGAACACAATTAAAACACACAAAATCTTATTCGATAAAACTGAAATTCTTGCATGTAGTCAATTCTTCTACAAACGAAAAGCTATAGAAATCTATAAGCAACCAAATAATCTTAACCGCGACTCAGGTCTTTACTTGTCACCAATAATCCCCTACAGATAGCATGCGAGGGAGTTTCAGTTAAGCTCTGAAGAAGCCAACAGGATGGTTGGCAAAACGTCTTCAAGTTTTGTAAGTAGTATTACAGTAGCCTGTGGAAGTTTCTTTGAAACAATAAAATATTTTAAAGCTGTTTTTCAAATAATTTAATTTCGCTCGAAATTTTAACTTTTGCAGTAATTATGAACAATTCAAAGAAAAATGTCAATAAACGTGGAATGTTTACAACTAATTTAAACTGTCGCTCAATATATCGTTCTTATTTAAATCTTTCAATTAGGATATTCTATTTACCTGTTCTCTTTATCAGTATATGATTTTGAAACTTTTGAAACAAATAAAGACTTGATACGACCGAAGCGAATGTTTAATAATCGAGTGACTAATGCAGTTTATCAACTTGTTGCATACTATACTATACTATAATTGGATATTTTAGGGTAGGAACTATTTTCATAATCGCAGATAGAAAACTTTGTATTATTTTGAGCAGGGAATGCTATTGCTTCTGAGATCCCATTTGATTTTGAAAGCCCGCGATACATAAAGGGCAAAGCACACTATCACTCGGATTAGATATCAGCCCACCAAAAACAACTTAAGTTTGGAATTGTTTCTTTTTTTGAGATATTGTGAAAAATGTTTTGATGCGTCCGTTTCACAGAAAACATAAACAAATTTAACAAAGAGGGGGACCACACTGTTAGTAACACCAAAATAACAAATGTTTAAAATAATTAGGCTAAGTTTCAAGTCAACCTTGCTGTTTTAAATCTCCCTATCAAAAGAACGAATGTTTATTAAAATAACCAAAAATAATAATTTTTTGCAATAATATATAATTATAATTTATGACTGGAGTAGTTTAGCATAAGCTGCAGATTACACGGTATGTCATATTATATCAACTGATAGCAGGTTGTATAAGTTATGGTGTAGTTGTTGCTGTAGATCGGCAGATCGTTAATAAATTATTAACTATAATTGTAGTTGCTAGCTCAGTATTGTGTGCATATAGATTTTTGATATTTGGAGAGTTCTTAGCATTTGAACATTTGTTGCTACCTTCCATTTGCGAAAATTTCTAAACATTTTAATCTTCATTAGACGACAAAACATATCGTATTCTTCTTCCCATTTATCCAGCGATGTAAATATCATCTCGCTGCCAATGTGTTGCAAAACACCTTCCGAACTCATGGTAAAAAAGTTTGACTTATCCACATTCTTATAAGGCACTACCCTACAATTGTAACAATGCTTAAAAATTGAGCTCTACATAATGTAAAATCTATTAGTGGACGAAATCGAATTTAAGTTTTTGTTGCTCTCTTGATCAATTAACTAGTGATCAAAATTAACCACACATTAACCACAGATCTAAGACAAAGTAAATAGAGAAATTCAAGTTTAAGATTACAAAATATATGAAAAAAAATTGTTGCTTTAATTGCTTTTATTTTGTTTTTTTTTTAATTCTTAATTTATTAAATAATGGTTCAATAACTTTTTAAAATTAAATTATTATTTTTTGTAAATTATATTTAATTTACTTTATATTTTATCATTAAATTAATTAATTTAAATAATATACGATAATATACTAGTTACGGCGTTTTAAATTTTGAAAACGTATTATTTCGGGTTCAGTTCGAAAATTAGTCGCATAAATGAATGAAGCTTCACGTGTATTGGAAACGGAAAAAATCGAAATTTCTTTCTTGTATATGTTTAAGTGCGTGAATAAAATATCAAGAAATAGTGTTCTCAAGCACTTTTTTTCAGTTTTGGTTCAGAGGCAAACGCTTCTCAATTTTGGCCGCTAGGAAGCGACAAAATTGTATCGGAGAATTTCCATTAATGATAAAGCACCCTATTTTGTAAATTTTTGACATAATTACTTCAGCATATAGGGATTAAAGTGTTGCGACGATTGAGGTACAGCGTATGTGAAATAGACGAAATAACCATCTTTTGCTTTTCTCATTTTCTCGATCCATTCTTTTTGGTCAGCCACTTTCGCCAGATCGTCATCAAAAATCTTTTTCTTTGGCAGTCGAATATTATCCTGAATGCTTGAAGATTTGGTCGCTAAAGAAGCCAAAAGAATGTCGAAAATGATAATAATATAGCAAAACATTTTTACCTCTTTTAGTTGGCGGTTGCAACGATTCAGAAGTGGTAAGTTTCGATTCTATCGGTGGTAATTTGATTCGTTTAGCCAAAATTTGTTCCTGTCTTTTCTTTAGCCCATACTAAGTAGAAAAATAACATATAGTTAGAAATATATCACTGATAATGTAAAACACTATCGATCCATAGGGGAAGTTCGGATGAAACAAATATGACCTAAGATTCTGGGAATTAAAGAGAAAACAGTTGGTGCGCTAGCATATTGTCAAAGATTTTCGGTTTACATCATCCACCACAAAGCAACAATGTAAAGATATTGCACTGTTAGCGGAGGAGGATCGTTAAAACGGCATAGACATTTGGCAATAGCATTTACATGTACGTGTATCTTCGTGGCACTTGAGATGCCTCTATGGACCGACAATATTTTTCATAATCTGTATATGTTTTCCTTCTATTGCTCGCGTGGAATAAATTGTACCTACCAATGGTTCTGGAAGTTTCTTTTTGTATTCGATTTTTTCAAGTAACCGTTTGTGTGGTATGTGCGATGCGATAGCATCAGGCCCTCTAGAAAGAGAGTTAATAATTAGATAGTGCAAAATACTACGGTTAGAAAATATGGTATGGTTTTTTTTAAATTTTTATAATTTATATATTGATATTTATATTTACATTATATCCCTTAATTCATCATTGGTTGACTTTATCATAAAGTTATTTGGACTAGGCATTGATAATTTACGTCTAGCGAAAAATATCTTGTATTTTGTATAGTAGTAATTTGTGAATAAAACGATATTTAATCTGGAATGCATTGAGGGTAAACATCAAATCATTAGCTAAGTCTAAAAAAATAACAGAAATGGTCCGCAATTGAAATAGTTTTCATTTTGATATGATTGTATGAATTTAACGTATTACGTATTAGTTAGTTAGTTGTATCTTTTATATATTATAATAGGTAACTATTCAAGTGCACTGTTATATGCAGAATAGAAGAGAACAGTATTTTAGAAATTTATTTTATTATTTTTTTATCTTTACTTTTTTCATGATGCGTGCATTTTATTAGACATATGTTAATAATTACAGAGGGCAAAAACTTTCCAAAATTGATTTCGATGTGACATTTGATTTTGTATAATATAGATCTCCTTAGCTTAAAAACCTAAAAGTAGTTTTACATCCCATTTTTTTTTATTTCTCTAACCTGTTTTCTACAATGTAATTTGGATAATTGTTGTTTCCTAGAAAACCTTTCATAACATCAGTAAATGAAGCCCATGCAACCTTTTCAAATTCGGTCATGGAATTCACAAAGTTTTGATTTTCCATTAATCGCCTGATTTTTTTTGTATTTCCTGACTGCTGACGTAGCAGAAGACCCACAATTTTAAGTCACCACAGATCATCGAATTATAGTAGTGGTATTTGATGTTCTCAAGCAGTAGTTCCAGCAAGGACAAGGACATTACCGTTGTGCAAAAGAACAGCTTTAAAGCTTCTCTAGGATGGGTCAATAAAAAGCCTTCGGTCTTAAGTCTATACCAAGTTTCTTTATTAGATTAAGAATATCTGTGCAATAAACAAGTTAACCATTTTGTTCAAAATAGCCTATAAATTCTGTCTCGCGCTTTCTGAAATATGAGATTTCAACGTCTTGTGCCATTAAATTTTTAATTCTTATCTTCATCTATTTCAGGTTCAGAAAAACTGGTGGTTTCTTCTTCTAAATTGCCTGGATTCTCAGGTATTGGGACATCCAGACCATTTGGCACTAGCCGAATTGCAGACTCGGATAAACAATTTTTATATTCATGAATATTATACATGCAGAAATAGCAGTCATCATGATGATTTGTTGGCTCGGTCCATATCATAGGTATTCCAAAAGATAGGGATCGCCTGGAGCCATTATTCCAATTACTTACACGTTCTTCACATATCTTACAAACAATATATGGGCGCCAAGGTTTGTCTTTATTACTTGATTTTTTTCTTTAAAATAACCGCAGTATTGTTTTTAAGCGAGGGTGTAATTTTACATCTAAATTTCATGAAATTTAAGTGCATAATGCCAATCAAACAACTGCCTACAGAAACGCGGGTGATAGAAACAAAAAAATCGTTTTTCTATTATTTTGGTCCCTATAACTCCAAAAATATGAAAAATACCAAATCACCAAATCTGTATTATCAATTATGATCAGCTTTTCTTAATAAAGATTGAGATGCTGAAAAAGTTAATGATATTTGAACTCAAACATACAAAGGGATTGAAAATTTTGGTTTTACGCGTTGCGCACCACTGCAACCACCATCTTTAAACATAATGCCACTCCAATTAACTTAAAAGCAATTCTACCCTCTTCAAGGCCCAAAAATTACACAAAAGGATTCCTATTTTGCAAGAATCGGCCTTAATGTAGGTGATTTAACGTGCCCCTATTTTTAAAAACTATTCAAATAAAATTTCTAATAGACAAAAATATTAATTGAAGTCTAAGAAACAACCTATGAAGCGATCTCTTTTTTATCATCCAATGCTTTAATTAAACAATTAAACAAATATATTTCAAAGCGATTTTATCAATATCTTTTTTATCATAGGCCCTTACGAGTGCAGCAGTCCTAATACTAGATTAACTCGTTTGAAGTTAAAAAAATTCTAAACTACTGGTTACTTAGCAACAAAAATCATCAAACCAGAGCGTTTTAAGTCGATTTTACGAATTTTTATTTCCAAAGTAAGTACCATTCCAATAAGTAAGCGGAACATATACGCAACGCTAGTTTGTATTCAGTTTCAGTACTAAAACAAACCTTTGCGGAGCTACGGGTGGGAAACACTGAAGAAGTGCCGCCATACTCTTCCCGGTAACCTCGCTACCCCGGGAATTGTCTCCGGCGGACCCCTTTGAACCGGAAACGTTGGCCCCCTTGCCGCGGGCTTCCGGATCCATTTCGCGCTCTTTTCTTGAGCTGCAACAATCCTCCGCCTAATGTTTCTTGTGATAGAGGAAGGGCTGTGCTATTTTTTATTTATTATATTTTTACGTCGGCAACTGCTTGTTTTATTTTTTACGCGTTGCCTTGGTAACGTTAAGTTACGCGCGATCTATAGAAGACGCGATCCCAAAAACTCAATGTGTCAATTTCGCTGGAAATCTCGGGGTTGAAAAGTACTGGTAAAGTCCAGTCGGAGCAATTGTGCAGTTACGTCATAGCATGACAACGTTACCTAGTTCACGACTGGATGTCGTAAATGGACACAGGAATTTTGTTTGCCAGTTCTAAAATCCGCGAAAAGCCTCATCGAAATCAAAATTTTTGAATTTAGCAGATAATTAAATCATTTCAAAATGCCCCAACGATTTGGTTTTATTTTAAAACTTGTGGATTATTTCACTCGAGAAAAAAATTCGGAGAAACTGAAAGTTATTAATAAGCTAAGTACTTATTATATCTTATGGTAGCGTGTTGCCGATGCATTAGAAACTTATCTAAGATCGGTGCATAACATTTTACTGGACGCATTAAAACCACCCCTTTATAAAGTACAGGGTATGCTATGTACGTAACAGGTATGAAAAAAATTTGAAACTTTCACTTTTTCCAAAGGAATAATAAAATGTGTGGCACTGCTTTTTTGGGCGTAAAGTCGAAAATCTATATAACTTTTTCGTGGTTTCTGGATCGAAAAAAATCATTCATTTTAATAATTACTTTTCGTCCCTTACAAGAGAACATGTTACATGTTACAGCATTTTATGTTATATTAAAACGGTTGAAATTTTGTTGGAAAATATGCAGTATTTCGTGCCCGGAGATATGTGATGGAACAACCATGCATTGCTCATAAACGACTGACATTTGTGAAAGAATACATCAGAATCATTCAATCCAGTATTTTTGGATGAGACTTGGATATTTAGTAAGCGTCTACAATTCTCTACAAACAGTTCGGAAAAAATATGGCGAAAGAGTTAACACTGAAACGTGATTTATATTTCTTTTTTAATGAAAAAGAAGACTTTTTCTAACCTATGAACAGAGATGAAAGTTTTAATTTTGTAGCCACGAAAACTGCTATACTTTGCTATGTATTTTTTTAACTTTAAAAGGGGTTCAGTCAATAGCTGTTGCCCAATCTCAGTGAACCTTCATTAATAACAATGTGCAATGCAATGTGGACTTGCTGAGCCAATACCTACCAATACCTAATCAAGAAAGGAATATTCCATTTCAGCCAATTTTAATGAAAGACCAGCTATTGATGTTAGGGAATACTTGCCAGAAAAACTGCATCGATAGTTCCTAAGTGTGTTTATTTGAGTATTAAACTATTTCAAAATACAATCTTCTAAGCATAGACAAGCTCGAATTGTAAAATGGCCATCGCGTTTTGCAGATTTGCGGATTGTAAACGGTATTATGATGCCAAAATAGATTCCATCCATCCCGTAACATCGGATGTTGTACTGCGTATTCATAACACTTTGTTTTAGGTTACACCAAAAAATGGAAGAACTATTATAGGCACTTAGACCGATGCCTCCAATATTATCGTTATGCATGAATCAGATTCGGAGCAAGATATTTTTTTCCGATGACGACTAGTTTTTGTTGCACTTCTTTGCTTCTTGCGTTATGGATTTTCTTTGTTTTTGTTGTTTAAGCATTCCGAGTTTTTCAAAAATAAACCAAACCTATCGAATTGATATTTGTTTTCTCCCCATGTTTGATGCGTTTTATTTTATCTGTTCGTGAACCAAGTTGCCATAATCTCAGTATAGCAAAATAATAATATCTACACAAGTACATGATTTTATGACCGTGTTTCTAGTAAGTTCTAGTATTTATAACACGTTGATGAAAGTCCACGTTGCAAAACTCCTTACAAAATAGAATTGTAATTGAGTTTTTAGGATTACATATACGAATTTATCTGAATCTATCCGAATATTAAAAGCGCCTATAAATATGAATCATTTTTAATTACGTCACTACACATGACGTAACTGCACAACTGCTCTGACTGTAGGCGAAAAACTATCACCATTGAAAAATCTTGTTGTTTTTCGTTAACAGGTTTGGTCTGATGCATTATTTTGCTTTGGAGAAATTAAAGACTTTTATGTAATGTTCGGGTGTATTGGGTAGTTTTTACAAATAACGGTATATTCAAAAAATATCTATGTCCATCTATCGCAATGAAAAAGGATTAGATCATCAAATCCAGTATCAAAATATATGTGGGTAAAGCGTCTCACGTCGTGGTCGTTTGAGCCGTGGTGGTGTTTTCCGTGACATTCGACTGGGTATCGCTCACTTCCTTCTCCCTAATCGCCAGCCAAGGAAGCCGTTTCTGCAGCTCCAACCTGTTAAAGAACCATAAATATAAGGCCAACCAAAACTATGTCTGCCATTCACCTGAATTTTGGGTGACTTATAGCATATATATAAGGATCGATGCACGCCACGAGTTTGCAGTTTAAGGCGGGGATCATGGAAACTCCGGGTGTCAACAGCGACTGATCCCCGAACGAGCCTATAAGGGCAAGAGTAGCGTAAGGAGTCCAAGAACACACGAAAAGGAAACAAATGGTAATGGCGGCCTTGGCTATCCTCAGTTCGGCGGACTCGCTATTCTGCTGATTTGCTCTGAGCGATTCGACGTTCATTTTTTTCGCCTGAAAAGAAAATGGTCCGTCCTCTACGGTAACGCGATACCTACAAGGACTCTCACTTGTTCCCTGAGTGCCTTTTCGTGGCTAAACACTTTGCTGACTATCTGACTGTAGAAATAAATGATCATGACCATAGGAATAGCGTAAGAAAACGTAAATATGGCTCCAACAAACAGGCGATTATCGAAGGTTCGAGTTAAGTAGTCGAAGCTACACGCAGTCAGAAAGCCCTCTGAAATTAGACACACGTAAAATGCATTAATGTCCCGTGTGAGGAGTAGATCTCAACGTGATCAATACACCTAAAGACGGAACAAGAAATGAAAGCGTGAAGTTTAGTTACCAGAAGCGGAAATGATTTCTTTAGACTTCATTTTCCCATAAAAGGATTTTTAGTTGTTTTTTTTTTAATATAAGATAGTTAACGGCAAATTCGGAACTTTAGATAACTTTGGAACTTTAGAACTTTAGAAATGTTTCTTTTGAAAACTTGCAAATTAATGAGTATAGTTTATCGCATAAGGGAAAGATGAAAGGGGAAGAGGGAAAGTAGCTATATATATCAGGAATATTCATAGGTACCCACAAAGATTAAGGATATTTTTGAAGAGATATGGGTTCAGTTAGTTATTAATAATGATCCACACATTGCCAGAACAGTTTATAAAACGCCTGGACGTTCCAGGTTCAAAGATTTCATCGAACTTTTTGAACCTAGACTATCGGACTTTTCTTGTTTTCATGTTTTGTGCGGATGTGACTTGAATATCAATTTAAAAAATTTTGTATGGGGTACATTTGCTTTTGGGAAAGCAATCTGAAAAATGTAGATAGATAATAAGATAAAGTTTCTGGTTGAAGCCTCATTTGAGGATATTGTATATGTAATGAATATTTATGACAAAATAATTTTTTTTGAATACAAGTCTATCAAATATATTTGATATATTAGCTCTGGAAAGGGAAGTCACAGTCACATCCCATAAAGCTGACTATTAGATTAAAAAATAAAACTTTAAAAAAATTTCACGACAATGAAAAATAAAATGCAATCAGACTATTACAAACTGATTAGAAACCAAAGTAATATAGCCATCGGTAATGAGCAGAAATGATATATCCACCACTCCATTAATGCAAATAAATCGTGTTTAAAACAAATATGAAGCAACTAGGCGACTTAAACCATGTAAACAAACATAACAAAATTGATATTCATGATTTTTTTGGGTAATCCTGACTGAAATTTACTACATTTTTACAATCAAAATACAAAAAAAAGAATTTAATAGATTGCTTAACTTTTCAACAGTAACTGAAAACAACGCTAAAAGACATATTTTAGAAATTAAATTTCTTGCAATGGGTGTGGATACATTGAACTTGGAAATGATAGTCAATTGTGCCTTGATTGAATACTTCCCCTTATCAGGTACATAATCAATGGCTGCATTACCGAATCAATATTTCCTAAGTTTTGAAACAGGTCTAAGGTCCATCCATTAGCTAAGTTAAAGAATGTCTCAACACTGGATCAACTAAGACCTGTAGAGCATCTAACCCGTATTCTCAAAAATTCTTGAAAAATTAAGAAACCAACATATTAAAAATAATTTATATATAAACCATTTCCAAGCATTTCAAAAAAAGTGCAGCTGCACGTCAGGACTATTAAATATAATAGACGACATTCTTCAAGAGAACAAAGCAACTGGGCTCATTTGGGTGGATTGTTTTAAAGAGCATTAGGCAACATCAAACATCATGAAGTTTTATTGTCAATACTGCACCATTTAGGATTTTAGTCTATTCTAATGCGTAATTACTGAGTACAGTACAGTAAAACAACAGTACAGAAACAAACTGAAAGTGGTCAGTGGACCGCTTTCAGTTTGTTACATATAAAGTAGAGTAGAATAATGTTACTATCCCGTGTGGGGTACCCCAGGGCTCAATACTAGGATCTCTATAATATCTATGGAAATCATAAATAAGGATATCAAACCCGTTGAAGAGTTTCTTTATGTTACCTTACCTTATGTTATCTAAACCTTATTTTCGAATACGCGTTAAAGATCAAAATTTAAATTGCGCTCAACACGCATTGAATTTGGAACTAAACTTTAATATTAATTTGTGTTTCAAAATCCACGCAAATAAATTCATTCAAAAAATCTATATGAGTTTCAAAAATATTTATCCTTTTTTTTTCAAAGAAACTTCCACAGGCTACTGCAATACATTTTACAAATTTCTGGATTCCTCCTGCGTCGGTTTTTGCTGAGTCGAAATTGCTGACGTTTCGCCAATCATCCTGTTGGCTTCTTCAGAGCTTGACTGAATCATCCTGTTGGCTTCTTCAGAGCTTGACTCAAACTGTTTCAGTCAAGCTCTGAAGAAGCCAACAGGATGATTGGCCAAACGTCAGCAATTTCGACACAGCAAAAACCGACGCAGGAGGAATCCAGAAGTTTTGTAAAAAATATTTATCCTAGTCGTCACCTTTTATCAACTAACCCTAAAATTAGATTAATAGAGTCGCTGCAGATAAACTCCGTAAGGCAAATTGGATGTCAATGGAAAAACATTGACAGTTTTGGATAGTTATCTTCCATGAGTTTAAATGCCTGATCTCCATATCTCTTTAAAAATGTATAATACAAATGGTATAATACTGTCCCCAATAATGTATAGAAACTGATGCTCACAGCTTGTAGAAAAATATTATAAATATTTTGTTTATAATCATTCTATTATTTAAGCCGAAGTAGAGTTCCGTCAATAAGATATTATACAGTTTCTTTTATGTATTCATATTAATGTGTTGGTATATTCAGTTAAAATATAAGTATGGCTTTAAAAATTAGGAACTAAACTCGGATCTTTTTTAAAATTGTTTTCCAGTTCCTCTTTTTGCGATAAGCTTTTGGTTTCCCGTTATTAACTACGAAGTACAAAAAAATAAACAAATATTATTAATATTATTAGTGATTAGTGATTAGTGATTTAAATTATTGATTTAGATTATTGATTTAGATACCTGGTGCAAATCGACCCCAAACTTCCGTAACGGGTAGAACCGTCCAAGGAATCGTATATGCCCACACGAAAAGGATCATTACCATCGCCTTTCCGCGAGTTATTTTACCATCAAAAGGTCTCGTGATAGTTGTGTACCTATCATAGGCAATACATGCATTGGTCATGCCTGTAAAATATTAAGGTATATAACAATTATTAGGGGAACCCATTGCAACCTTACCAGCTCCAATTCCCGAAAGAGAGCCCATTCCAGCGAAAATCTGACAGCCTAACTGTCCGGCAGCGAATCCGTAATGGAAGGAATTGTAGAGGAATATCGGTGACTTTAGCATCATCATAAAATCACAAAAGGCGAGGTTCACAACGAACATGTTGGAAGCGGTTCTCAAGCTCTTCGAACTAACAAGGAAAACTTGTGAGTTTCTCGATGGGATTAAAAACATGACTTACGTCGAGAATATCCACAATACAACTCCGTTGCCTACCACAGACGCCACGAAAAAAAACACGTATACCATAGCCAAAAGTAAATGCAGAGATTTGTCGGGTTCGGGGTACATCAGCCAGTGGTCTGGGACGTGCACCAAATCTTCCGGACTTAAGTTCCATCCTAAATTATGTGGTATAGCCGAATCTACAAGTCTACGGTTTAGTATTAATGTAGGAATTTGCTTTGAGATGCATTTTGGTTAAATATTGTTATTAAAATCAACTAAAATAAAATTTATTTTGAAAATTCATTTGATCCAACTATTACACACCACTAATAATTTATATAACGTCTATAATTTGCATCGGTCGATTATTTATATTTGCGCACTGCACGGTTCCACTTTTCGACTGACTCGCCAGGGAGCAGTGCTTCGGTTCTATAGACAGGGCACAGTCAGTATATAAATCAAATCCAGCACAAAGACACAAAAATATTGTACTAGAAATTTGAAACTTTAATTAATGCATAAATATCATTTTCATTTTGGTTGCAAAGGGCATGTCAGTTAATAGTATTTACATAGAAAGTTAATTAGTAGAACCCTGCTGTTTGAAGGACCCGAGATGCAAACAAAATTGTAAGAGCAAACTTCCGAGCTACAGGGTAATATTGAAAATACTCTATTTTCAAATAACCTTTGTATCTGGCTTGTCTGACATACTATCAGTAGAAACAAAGGGTAAACATTTTCTAGGTTTTTATATTTATTCGTTGTGTATAAGATATATTGTTTGTAATGATGTTTTAATATAAATGTATAAAAAATGTATGCGCTACAGGCGGCATTTCATATATTTTTATAAAGAAGATTACGATTTTCCGCACATGCCTCTACATTTCACTATATAGCTATTAGGTAAAAGGTAAAAATTGATACGTCGCAGTTGGAATTGTAATTTTCATAGAGAATGGAATGATTTTCCATGCAAGTTGCTGGGAAATACTTTTCTACAGGTAAGTTCGTTATTTTAAATCATTTTAAAAATGGCCTTTTCTTTTCCATCCTGTAGTAGTTTTGAAATGTTTGAAGATGAACTTGTAGCTGCTGCGATACAATAAATGGGCTATGTATATCAGCATTATCTTTTAAATACGGATGAATCCACACTTTTCTTTTTTTTTCCTCTTCCTAATTGCAATCACAGCAGCAATCAGTGCAATATTGTCTTCTTCCGACGATATCATTTATCAACGGAACTTAAACAGAGAGCTAATGACAAATGAAGTAACAGTAAGCGACTTTGCTTTGAAGTAAATTATGTAGACGCAAGTTGTCATGTGCTTCCTGCTTCCTGGCAGCAAGTCGCAGGTCGCACGCTACTTTGGTGTGATAGCCCACTAAAGGCAACATACAACTGAAGCAAAACCTGTGTTTGACATTCTCCAAGGACAAAAATCATGTCAATGCGCCCGTAGTTCTTTTGGGTCAACCTTTATTTCAAGTGAGCATTTAGCAATTAATTAACATTCTTTCGAACATAACTTAGGACCAACCCTAACTCGTGTTTCCAATTCTTTCAATTGTAAAAATAATTCGTTTTATCAATTTCCAAATATAAGTTAATAAAATGATTTTAACACAAAATCGCACACAATCCAATACCACATAGACACACACAAATCTACAAGCAAACACCCGGTGGTAATAAATATTCTTGAAAAGTGAGGAGAGAGCTATGCAGCACTTGACACGCCGGTTCGTGTTTTCAGTTATTGGTAACAAATTAATTGTTGTTTCTTTCAAATAATATTCAGGTTTATGATATATTTCCTAATAAGTGCGGACGGCGGAGAGTTGGAGAGTTATACTTTTTGGCATACTTATAGAAAATATAAATCTATTATATATATTCCAATATTCTTGAACCACACCAAACACAGAAGCATTTTCAAACGCGATTTCCTACCTTGCCTGATGGTATGGGACACCAGTCCAGTTGAATAAACTCATTTCTAACAATCCCCGATTGCCACCTCATGAGTTCTACTTGAAACTGGCAGAATGTACTTTGATTAATCCAAGTTTTATTGAATATTGTCAAATCCAATAACGGTTTCAGAAATTTGACCTCAATCTTTTTAATTCCATTAAGCTTGTGTTTTTATGGGATTATTTGATTAACTTAGTAGAGATTTAGTTATTAAGGGCTAAAGTAAATGTCATTTGGAGAATGTTTATTAACCTGTCAACAAAATAATACATCAACAAAATAAATAACAACTATTTTAATTACAACTTATTTTTCATTTGCGCAGGAGCTTGTGAAGTGTCCAGTTTCAAGTCAATTGGCTTATCATAACCCATTATTTTAGAGTAATGCTCCAAGTAATCAAAACTCTCTGGATCAACAAAAAAAGCTTTGTTTTTTGCATGAAATGTGGAAAACATGCCTGGAACTTCCGGGACTACGACGTCATTAATTTTAAACTCAACCTAAAATAAATGACCAGAATTTGTTATTTAAAATGCTTTTCAACTCACTTTCTGTGGCCTGCAAAAAATATTTAATGTCGTGGCAGTATATGTGTCCAACTTTGAGTTGTATTCTAGGACAGTCACATACTTTTTGGTAATAAAATGTAACAACAGGGGAGTAACAAAAGTAAAAAATCCTATGAAAGAGTAGGCCACCACTATAATGGGCATGTTTCCATGATCAATTAATTGATTATATAGAAAAGGTTGAGCGATGATACCCATAACACTAGACGCCAAAGAAAATATCTGCAAAATAGTCTGTCAAAGCTAAGAAAAACCCAAAGACAACTATATACCTGCCTTAACTCTTTTCATTTGAGGAGTAAGTACACCGGAATACACTTGTGTAACATCAGTTTTAGTTGTGGGGCAATTTGTACCCCTTGAAGAAAATCTTCGTGTCTGAATGTTGCTGGCTGCCAAACATTTTGCATAATGGTACGGTATTGCTGCGAGTTTAAGCGATTTGGAACTTTTATAAAATATAGAAGGAAACTGACAGCACAATTTTAAAAACATTGTCAGGAAAATACTTAACATTCGTTAATTTAACCTCAAATATCATTTGCATATTCTGGCCGAATAATCCTATCAATTTTGGCCAATGGAAAAGAATAAGAATCGACAAGTCAAGGTGATAATCCAACTTAAACTGTGGCAAAGTACTTAGTAAATGTGCATGGTACAAGCTCAACGAGAGTAAACCAGAGGAGTAAAGGTGGTTTCTGTGGGAATGACATATGTGGGCTACGCCGTTAAGTTATAGGAGTCAAAAATAAACTTTCACTTTCACGATAAGGTCGCCGACGTACATGTATATACTTAAGGAAAGTAACTTTTAGTAAAACTTAAAAAAAGATCTACAATCATATTTCAAAACTTGAATAAAATGCCATTTAAAATTTTATAGTACAACAGTTTTGATATTCTGTGAAGAATTTAATTCTATTCGAAAACTGATTGCTTTTTTTATATCTTTCTCTGCTGAATATCTGCCAATATGATGTTTATAGTATTCCTAATTTGATAGAATTTAGTTTGCGGATAGAGCTATTTTTCTGATTAGCTCTGAATTGACAAATGTATATACACATGTCAAAAATTAGATGCATTGATGTCGTTAGTGAAATAAGTTTATATTTTTGCTTCATGTAATCTTTTTTTTTTCTTTGGAGTATTTGCCAATGCTACAATGATATATACACATAGTAAGTATAGTTTGATGTATTTATTTCTATACTTATTCCCGATATAAAATTACAGGAAAATTGTTTGTTATCAGATGATCATTATCAAATACGATCACAATATTTACCTCAAATTCTGAAAAAAAAGGTATTTTTCAATAAAAATACATGCTTTCAACAAAAAATACAAACCGATTTTGAAATTAGTTGTCACTATTGTCGGACAAGTAAACAGCCGTGGAAAAACCATATAAATTGGAATAAATATGTTGTGAGGAATATCTCCATCTCCTATTTGAATATTTTGAATTTCAGTTGCTAGAAATATTTTAGTTGAGTATTGATTTGTGCACTTCATACTTTTTCAATTTCACTATCCACCTTCTTTAGCAAATCCTTCAGCACATCCACAAGTTTCAACCCTAACTAGCTGCAATTCTATTGATTTCACAGGAACAGCACATCTTACTAGAGTGAGCCTCCCTTTAAAAGGCTTGGAAATGTTACAATAAAGGGATTCTATAAATCCCTTAAGGAGAAATTCTGGGACAGCTAAAAAAGTTTAATATTAAATCTATAACTTTATCACCAATTTCCTTACCAGCCCTGCCAGAAGTCAATACAGAAGGACTCATTTCAAAATTAATGGACTTTTCGTTTTTAATTTGCAGCTGTGGACAATTTGGACTATTTGATTTGTATTGGATCAAGAACTGTTGGCATTTTTGTAAATCTTTTGATAGGAATGACCGTTTCATATCACACTTAATAGCATAACTTATGTTTACATATACTCCATGATATGTTTCATAAAAAACCCGATTTGATTTAGGTTTTAATGGTATTTGAAATGGCATTTCGGTAACTCCCGATGGCAAACGGCCTGGACCGCTTACTTCACAAACAATATAGAGCAGCTGTATTGGCTGCAAGTGGTCTATAAATTAACTCTTGTACCCATATTTCAAGACCTTTACCTTAACGGCGCTATAAAACGCTTCCAGTACCCCAACATTTTTTGAACTGATTTGTAGATTCACAGAGCCTTCTACTGTCAAAGTTATACCATCATGTTTAAAGTCAGAATTGGATGAAATAACAATAACACCGTTCAGTACATCCTAAAATATAACTTTCTTCAATAAAATATGTACTGTAACAATGGTTATTAATAACCCCTTCATGGTAAACTTTATCGGCCCTTTTGATTTTTATATCCAAAGTTATTGACATATCAATTTTATTAGGTTAACAAATGAAGGCCACAATTACCAAGGGTAAACCATTAAACCTGTACTGTAGACAGAATACAATTCAATTATGCGTTTCACAAAAAAATGTTGGGCTCGACTGCTAGGATCATTCGCCCATTGCCGACTTCTGTCGAGGATTTTCGCTTCTGGTCAATGACCACGACGTACAAAGAAGAAAAATAACCAATAATTTGCTCAGCTAGCAAAAAACGATTCTGACCGATACCAAAAAAATCGGCTTCCCCCCGCTTCCACCGCGGACCATCCGGGCCCATCCGGCCTCCATACCGGCGTGAACAGGGAAAAACGACGGGGCCGACAACGATTATCACTTTAAAACATGCACTGAACACTAAAAACACTAAGTCCACACAGTGGAAACCGATATCAAACTTTTGAGGACGAATACAAGGGATTCTGTCGGGAGCGAACGGAGGTTATACCGCCGCGAGCAATGCTCCACCACAGAATCTACACAGAATACTTTTTCTTGTAAATACGTTAATATATAGTTGGAGAAGAGGAGTATCATTCGTGATCATTCGTCCAATACCGTAATACGGTTGTTGAGTACAGAATATTTCAATTTTGAAGTTTTTAATTAGTTTGAGATCATATACTTTTATTTATGTATCATTAAATTAGCTTTAAGCAATTAGCTATTGCCGATATTCTTTGGTAAATGTCGATTTTGGTGCTGATACAAATGTCACGTGAAAAATATGATCTGCTGTTTCTTCAAGAAATAACTATCGATTAATAACCAACATGAAATAATATTAAACGGAAGTCGCTATTGATCAATGACCCGTTTTTCTTGGAGGGTGATTTTTCAGACACCGCACTTTCCAAGGTTTGTTTTCGGGAAGCCTTGCCGAATAATCTTGGCAGTCTTGGCTAGAAGAATTAATAAAAAAGAAGAAATTTCTTGATTTCGAAAATTGTGTCTTAGTACTACATTTATAACAGTAGGTCAGTGCAATTGTTATTATTTTGGATATTGATAACCTACTTTTTTTTAATGTGCCAAACAAAATGTCTTCACATGGAAAACAAGAAATCACAGACCCCGTTGAAGAAATGCTAAAAAAAACCGGTTGTATAGAACTTCATTTCAAAGTGCAAGTTAGGTCCTTTTAATACAAATTTCGGATTTTATTTTATTTATTTAGAGTTAGATCCCATTTTTACAATAACAATAATTATTGTTTTGTTATGTCTAAAACATTAAATCTTTTGCAGGAATGCATAACTGAAACGCAAGACTGGAGGAAATGTCAAAAACCTGTACAAAATTTTAAGAAGTGTATGGAAGCTTATCAGGAGAGAAAACTCGAGGCCAAAGTATAAGTCAGCACAAAATATCCCATCCTATTCTTATCTATAATGTTTATTAATTTGCTCAAAAAATTTGCTATTACTGAAACAAGAAAAATGGTATTTTTAGTTCGCACTGATTTGGGAAGGGGTAAAATAGCTTCACAAGTCGCGCATGCCGCTATTTTGCTTTATAAAAATGCAGTGAGAGTAAAAAATCCACACTTGGAAACATGGTTACTTAACGGTCAACCAAAAATTGTTTTGAAAGTGACCTTTGATTTTGAAGCTACAATGAAGCATGTTTACCAGCAAGCAGTAAAAAACAATTTGAACGCCTGCATGGTACATGATAGTGGTCGAACCCAAGTGGAGTGTGGAACACTGACAGTGATTGGAATAGGACCAGATCTGGTGGAGGAAGTAGACAAAATAACTGGAAACTTTAAATTGTTGTAGTATTTATTTTACAAGAATATCTCTTTTATTAAATAGTTTGTTTAAATTGATCGATGTGATGTTTTTTAAAAATTGACACAATAAGACACAAAAAGACTTAGTTTGGTTAGATGAAGATAGAGTAAATGAGGCACAAATTAACAATCAATTTTAACTAAGAAAAATTATGATTTAATTATAAATCATTGCTGAGGTCCCATATCTTGTTACGGGCATTGTTAACAAATAAATGATGTTTCTAAGCAATTGAAAATAAAAAGAATAACACGGTAAAATTTTTAAAAAATCACAATTTCCCACAATGACACAACCGAAAGTGTTTTAAATTGCCTTCTAGTCCTGTCACACTAAAGATACACAGGCACATCAGATTAATGGGATAAAAGTTTACACTAAAGATGTTTTATCACCTTTTTACAAGTAAACACTGTATAAACAGATAGTGCACCACGTTAAATGAAGCTGGTTAGTATTGTCAGATAAAAAAGTTATTGCTAAATCTCATGTGCAATTTTAATTTAGAATTCATGTGTCATAAAATAATGTAGCACTGACTAGGTTTCTAAACTATAAAATATTGATACTTCATACAATTAACCCATTTTAGAAATAGAAGTTTGGAAGTTTTGGCCAGATGTAAGAACAAAACACGCAATCGCATGTTATTTTGATGAAACAAGTTTCAGATCTTTGAATACGTAGTTTGCTACAAACTGGCAGAATTGCGGGGTAAGTATGCTACGACTTTTTCAATTTTATAACCTTTGTTACATTATATACGTATTTGGAGCGGTGTTTATTTAATACAGAGAATGAATTTAAATTTCATTGAGTTTTGCAGAGAATCCTTCACGTTCCTGACCTCCCTATATTGATAACTGCTTGCAAACTTCACTCAATTTTTCTGCTTCATCTTAACTTAAAGATATACGAAAAGATGTGTAGATAATTGTACAATAATAATGTTTTTTATTTTAGACATAATTGTTTATTTTCTAAAACAAATAGGCCGTAAGCAGCCTAAAAAAATATTTTTTTCTGAAACTTCAAGTTCAAACATGGGCAAAAAGGCATTCGGCCGTGCATAATTTAATAATAATACTTATGCCTAATCAAATTAGATCTAATAAGTCTTACCAATCTTACCGTTTTTTGTAGTTCTGAATTGATTGGGGTAGTGGATAACAAAAAAAAAAATAAGTGCACTGGTTTTGATGCTCTTTATACATTTATAAATGATAAAGTTATGATTAGGTTATCAAGAAATGGATGAAAAGTGTGTTTATTAAGCTTGGAAATTTCGCCTACAAAACAAACCTAAATTGAATATCAGCTTCTCGATAGCTTATTTTTCAATTCGGCACTTGCTTTAAAAGTATTCACATAAGTGAATATATATGCATTTTCACGATAGATTGCAAGTTCAGACCTTTATGGAAAAATCACACGTGATATCATCAATCATATGTATTAAATATATGGTGACGCTGTTATCATCGATCTAACACATTGTCATGCCACGTTGCCGCTTCTTGAAAAAATTTACATTATTTTTGTTTATAGACTATTTATTGGTCTATCTTATCTATTTTTCGCGAAACGGAACCGAATTCGTTCAGTTTCAGAATCATATTTTATCGAATATTTTAGTTTGTCCACTCGAATTTAATTGAAAATAAATGCACAAATATAAAGTAATAAATTTTGATTGTTGCTATATGTTGACAGGTTTGAGTTTCATTGGTTAAGTCACTATAGCTTTTTACAGAAGACTAACGTTATACCAGAACAAGCAGGAAAATAAAGTTGCAAAAGCAGCATCAACTAAAAAAGGGATCACGGGTCGGCATCCAAACCTTGTCGATGTAAATAAGTGGGTAAGGTCATAGCGGTAATGATTTTCTCTTTTGTTAATAGTATATTATGCAACAAGTGCGGTAAACGGTATTTGGCTCACGACTTTATTTGACACGAGCGGTGAGAGTGTTTAATAAACGAGTGACTTAAAAAGTTTTTCTACTTCCTTCTGTAAAATCCCTAATTACACACCGATCTAGCGTGCAAGAAGCGTTACTTTACTACGTCAGTTTGGTTTCCCACGGATCCGAGCCACTTCCGACGTTTCCCGGGATTTTACCGCACGGGTTTGGGCGCAATCGGATGTTTTCGAAGATATTTCCCACGCCTTGAATTGTGGCGTTTGTCAATTATGACGGTCATTTCAGTGAATCTATTCGTGTTGTTTTGCGAAAATGTACCCAAAAACTAACGGTCGTAAAAAAAGTATTGTATGCAACACATTCGCTAAAAAGAATTACGTATTCAATTATCAGTCTGTCCTATATAGCCATTACATAATATAGTGGTCCTGCTCCGGTAGAAATTGATGCTCTGCAAGCGACATTAATATTTTCGTAGAGAAGGGAATGATTTTCCGCACATGCGCATGCATATTTTACCCAGATTTTTCGCGCATGCCTTTACATTTCACCCAGCAAGCTGCACCTTGCACCAAATTCTTTCTAAATTTCAATTCATCGTATACTTAAATAGTTTTCCCAGACCATTTAACGAAGTCTAGGCATATTTTGAAAAAATACTGCAGTAAAAATGTACCAGATTAATGTGAGGGCACCTAACCTGTATAAATGCGGAGAAGTGGGAGATCTCCATCACGTTTTTAGTTGTGTGAGGCATTGGAAAAACTCTCAATCTCCCCTATTTTAACTCCTGTTTCCTCATGTGATTTGGAGATTATTGCTAAGGCTATGTGTACCTTTCTTAGTGCGTCTGCTTTGATTTTGTAGTGTGATCTAGTGATATAAATTATTTATGTGAATATTAGACGTGCTCAAGAAAAGCAAGTAAGAACAACATATCTCGCGCATGCGCATGTTCAAAAGATCTGCTCAAAATTTTTTTCGTAGTTGTTCCATAAATTCCTGGCCTATCGCCATATGCAGGGCCTCTAGTTCCCTAGTGGCAATATGATCTGTCCTAACCAAGAAGATTTGAAAGCTGCACGGGACTAACTGTTGGTCGGGTTCTATAGAATCCAATGTTAACAAGAAGTCACCATTTCCAGAATAGCGGTAACACGCGGGTGTAAAATAATTCATATTCAGCGCAGTATACAGTACAGTATAATTCCTCATTTTGCACGCTTCCACTTCAGTTTCAAAAACAGCGAGAAAAACCGGCCAAATGATTTATCGCGTAGATTCATGAATTCAAACAAAATGCGCATGCCTCGGATACTTAACCTGAACATCTCTGAGAGATGACAGCTTGGAAATTCAGCACGGTTATTGTACTTTTGGTAAAAAACCGATTGGAAATCTCTGTAGCAACGCACTATCGCGCATGATTATTTGTCTGAAATTTGTCTAAAAATAAAAACTTAACACTATCCAAAATCGACACAGCCAAAACGACTGTCGGCACTGGCGCAGAACTATGGTATCATCCGCGTTGTGAACATGCTTACAGCAGAGTTGTAGCAGAGAGCTCTGATTTAAGGAAATGGCCAAACAGTCCGCAAAACCAAATCCTATGATTTGTATTACTACAATTTATTCTTAAGCTTCAATTTATATTCCGTTTTAAAACGGAAGATGTAATTCGTGGAAATTTTCACGTCTTAACTGACCAAATCTATCCAAACTAAAGCCGAATATAAATCTAGTTAAATTTGATGACACTCAAAAGCAACATGAAAACATTGAAATTTTTGGTTTTTGCAACTTTTGCCTCAGTGAGTTTACAATATTACTTAACACCTATAACACTTCAAACTGTTTCATAAGACTTTGCAGGACAGATCATGAGGATCACACTTCTATCAAAGCACATTTATTTTAACAATAAATTTATAACCACTTACGTGTACCTATTTCCATTTTGTGTCCGCATGCACCAAATTACATCACAAAACTTTACAATGCTCTAAACAGGTGTGTGAAAAAATTATTTACCAGTTTACGCTGCTACAATCTTCGTTTTATTAGACTCATCAAATCGTGAAATATCAAATGAACTCATACTATTCAATGATGTATAGGAGTTGTTTACAATGTGGGGTGCTTCGTTGAACTCGTCAAGCTCTTCCAGATCTGCCGAAGATGGCCCCTTGAGCAGAAAATATTGTTCCGACCTTGTCGGCCATAATAAATGTGCCATCACGCAATAAGCAAAGCAGTCGGCTGAATATGTTATCCCTACAATATTAATTTATGTAATGTTATGCATTATATATCTATAATAATTGGGTTACCTAATAGTAGTTTGAAACGCCACAATGCAGATACGTGGAGAGATATAAGGGCTAGTATGGGCAAATATATAAACCACACTAAACTTGATGCACCAAAATGCAAAAGAAAGTTAAGTTTTTGTGTGTTATGCTCATAAAGCATGGTCGTGCGCAACTCATATAGGAACCAAATCATTATGAGAGACCGAAAGACAATTATAAGCCAGCCTGGCCAGGTCTGATACTCATCTATGTCTTCTATGATATCTACTTCAGTCTGAAATAAATTAAAATAGTATTGCATTGAGAATTTTGCTATGATACAAATCATCATTACCAAATTCCACACATACAGCAATATGTGAACAACACCATAGCATAACCAGATAGCAAAAACTAGAGGCTTCCATGTCAGTTCCAATCGAGTGACAGCCCAACCTTTAGCCAAGAGTAACAATAGCAACATGAAAGACGTCTGGAATGAAAAAAAATGCTTTTGCTCAGCATTACTAAAATAAACCAAAAACCACTAACCCTGGATAATATATCAAATATATCCCCAGTCATTTGAATCTTGGGATATCCTTCGCCATCTATAGCAAACTTGAATGTGTGAACCAGATTAAAGCAAAGAGCAAGGAAATCGAGTAACAAGCTGGCGGTGAACAACCTCGTCACAGGATGCTTTTGTATTCTTACTGCATGGCATTGCAAAGGCACCAAAACCATATAGCACAACCAGAATAAAAAATAAAGCTCCAGTGTATTCTGTCTGTCAAATGAAAACTGGTACGTGCTAAAAATAGTGCTGTTGGGGTTGCCATTTACCAGCCAAATATCATATTCTATTTCATGGGGGGTATATGTATCATAGTAGTGCCATTCGCATGTGCTTGTATTATGGTAGCACGCCACCATTGAGATATACCAAAAGCTGAAACATGAGATTATTGCTTTCTGCTTAAAACGTCAATTCTGTATAGTACTGCATTTTATAGCATTAATTCTTAACGCGAGAGAGTTATAAATCATTATTGAACTGTTAGACACTTAAAGGTATAGTCTAACAGAACTTCGAACTTCTAATGTCTTTATTTGATGTAACAATATTCGTAACAATATTCTGGACTGATGGACCACTGTCCCTTATCAAGTATCAACTCAATGTCAATGGAAGTAAGAAGTTCTGTTAGCTTCAATAGGATTGATGTGCTAGTTTTTGACTTGTTAATGGACACTTTAATTTTGACATATAATAAATTTAATTAAATTGAACTATCTGTTAATAGTCGAGCTAGCTCTTAAATATTTTAAAATTGTGGGAATTAAATAAGATTTCTTTTAAGATTTGGAGGTTAATTTCAATGTTATTCACGTTTAAAAAGCAAAATGATCGAGAACTAGATGCCGTTGGCAAACCAGCACATTAAGTGACATTCATTATTAGGCTTAAATGCTAAAAAAAATGTGTTCCATTCTTGCCTTTTTTTACACCACATTTAATTAAGTAACTTTAATGTCAGATTGTTAAGTCAACATAAGTTACTCTAATTTTTAGACATTTCCTCTCATTCAAAAAACATTTAAGAATCTAACAAACAGAAAGTGGTACCAAATTTATTTATTGTATTTTTTGTAAAGTTATTGCTTTTTAATTTTGCTTAAACATAATTGTTATCTCTTAAATCTGATGTATATGAAACCACAACAAATAAAAATATAATGATTTGTCTCTTTATGTCACTTTATCAAAGTGATAAAATTATCCATTTGTTTGTCAAATAACTTAAGTTTTAAATCTGATAAAAATTGTATGAATGGGCCAATGAGGTGATAGTAAAATAGGTACAATAAATTGAAATTGGGAAAAGGCAACCAAGAAAACAACTGGCGGCTGGTAAAAGAGAAAGTGTCCAATTCATATATTTAGGCCTATAATTGTCTGCCAAGTCATCAATCAACTCCATTATTCAATGCTCATAATAAACTTTTAAAAAATAGCACTTATAAATATTACTTACGAAGGCTGTTTAAAGTCTTGTATCACATAGGTGAACTGATTGTTTTTTACAACATTCCATGGATTGTCTTCATCTTCACAAAGTTTGCCTTTTGCGCAGGGTATCCTTCTTAGGTAGTCTCTCCCTTCGTAACTGCATTTCGGGTCGTATGCCCCGGTATTGAGCTTTTTAAACATTCTTTTACATGCTTCATCCTTGTTATAAATTACTCTATTATCATAATAGTCTAAAAAATATGAACGAGCCAACACTGCGAACGTAATCGGTACATTAAAGTCAGTTTTTGAGGTGATGTTCCCAAAGATATAACCATGACTGACTTCGGGCTGATGCCTGTCTGTCTTCTGGAAGCCGAATTTGATCAGGAATTTAAAAAAATCCCGGGAATTGAACGTTCCTTTAAGATGGGTACACGACACTTCAACAACAAATACTAACACAAATAACGTAACAACTGCATAGTTTTTACGCATTTTTATTTAACAACACAAAAAGTTTTAACATGGTAACTGTTTTGTTTTGGTAGGAGAAAAACACTACAGCAGAATCTCCTCTCTGGTTAAATTTCAATCAACGAATGAACGTATGAAGACAATTGACTTTTGCACGGCTAAGACGTTCAATTTTATTCTTGGCAACAAACGTTGCATTACTGCGCATAGAAATAGTACACACCGCTCAAGGGCGCCTGTCATACATCTTACAGGGCCAATGGTAAATTACGGATAACTTACAAATTTAAGTGTTGTTTAAGAAAAAATTTGTTCGTTACAATCGAGTTATTACAAAGCAACCTTTAATTTTTTCTAAAATTCTGAGATAGCTGTCCCTATTCAAATTTCCTGCCAAAAAGTTAGTGGATCCTATGGCTGGTGAATACGGCCCCGATATTTTTGACCCTTATCAACTTTGGTAGGTTCCACGAAACGGTCCTAGTTTGCACTAGAGTGCTGCGAATATAAGCTCCGTTTTCTTTTTTTGTTCTATATTTGATAGAGTTGTGTCAATCGCGATTGATTCGGTCACTTTGATTCAATCACTTCATAGGATCGAACGACCGAATCCCGCTTGTTCGTAGCGATTTGATCACCTTGTTCCCTCACGCTGCCGCCCTGACCGGTCAGAATTGACCGAATACAGGCGACCGATCGACCGACCATACCAAAATAAATCGAATTCGCCGGAATACGATTCATTTTATTGGTTTAAAATTTATATTTATATAATTATTCTATAGTATTGAGTTGCGTCATCGATTGGTAGATTTGCTTATGTGTTGAAATGCATATTGAATGAAATATCTATTTCCACGCAGGTATTTCATTTAAACAAATTAATGTATTACTGGTACAACCCAATACGTAGCTCCTATTTTGATAAAATCATGTTTCAATAAAAAGCAAAAGACAGCTAAATATTATACTGACGAGAACAGAAAACGTAACATATAGACACAACAATAATTCAAATTCAAATGAATATGAATCGGTCGTTCGGACTTTTCGGTTTCAGTGACTATTGCCGCTTATGTTGGCAGTGATCATAATATAGGCCTCGCATACCCTGACTTGCGCATAAAGCAGAGAGAATGTGGTCATTTTTCCTGGTTTAATCATCAAAGAAAGTTAACGATAAATACGCATCGATGTTTAGATCAGTGGATGAAATTGGTCTACCGGTTAATTGATTAAAAAAATCTCCAGAACCTAGGGTCACTGCCGGCAAAGTTCACATTTTTTTATGTTGACAGCTAAAAGTTCAGCTTCGAGTATAAAGTTTGAATCTAAAATAAGCGGATAAGATCCTTGTTGGCATTGACATCCGTTTTACAACTTGCTGTGGTTTAGCCTCCGTTTGATTCAGGCAGAATCACTTCTACTCAGTTTAATAGTTTTGTTATCCCTCCGATTTAAGGAGTTTTAATTTTTGGTGAGTTTTGTGAAAGTTAAAAGTATAGGTGCTGCTAACCCCACTATTTTATTGTCATTCACGCCGGCATGGAGGCCGGATGGTCCACGTCCACGGTGGAAGCCGATTTCTTTGGTTGCTCCTACTTCCGTGTCTCCTGTTTTATTATCCCCAGGTATTTTGGTTAAAATGTAAATCTGCATGTAACTTTATCAGTGTACGCGCGCCTACACACACAAATACACCCATTATTGTGTTATGAACTTTTAAAAATCTCTCGACTGATGTCGGCAATGGGCGAATATCCAGAGTTCATTTGACCACCGAAAGTAAAGCAAAGAACAAGAACTTGGATACTTTAGTTCTTTTATTAGGTGTAGGTTGGCGTGTACCCGTCGCAAGCACAGGGGTGTCACACCCTCAAAAAATAATATACATGGCACCACATAAACAATTTTTTGAAAACTCAACTACAGTAATTCATTTTGGAAGTTTGTATAATCCGTTTGAATAAATTAGCTGTCTCTCTCGAACCTTCCTATCTAAGAATACTTTCAATTCAGACTGACTACACTCTGTGGTGGGTCCTTGAAAAGCAAACATTTTCAACATGTGGTGAATCCTTTCCAGGGGCAAGCTATCCAAATTCATCAGCATTCCCATTATATACGACCATATATTCTAGAAATACAGAAGAAAACATTTATTGATTTTACTGGTTTAAGGTGTGCACAAGGTGATCACTACCTGCAATTCTTCTTCTTTTTGGTCTTGCGCACTCGCCATGGCCGATTCAGATTCATACTCCTCCACGTAAAAATCGTCTTGGGTGTGGTGTCTCTCCTCAACCTCCTCTTGAACGCAAAAAACGCCGGGCTCTGTCTCTATTAAGACCCCGTGCGACAACCAGAGACCTATTTTGCGCCGCAATATCGTAGGAGGGCACCGCATCTCTTTACTGAGCTCTTCAACATCCCAGGTATCTACAAAATGTTTGAATCTTACTATACTGAAAAACTAGTAAATAGTTGGTACTTTTATCTTGGAAATGCATTATAATTGTTGCATGAACCGGGGATACTGACAAATTTAATGTCCTGTTGTTTAACTCGATCTCTAAGTTGACTATGCCTAAATTATTCTTCCAGTGCAAAGTTCTGCTTCCCTTTAACGCTTCAAAGGCATTTGTAAATGTATTCATTTGATGTATCACTTTCTCGTGCAGCTCCAGCTTTTCATCTTTGAATGGGGGCCAGAATTGTTGCGACACTATCATTGCGCACAAGGGTATATTTTCTTCTTTATATTCAGCGTCTTGCTTTATTCTTTGGTTGATTCGCTTTGAGTCACCAACATCTTTTAACATAACCTCGCAGAAATGCAAATGCATATCACCGAAACGCAATTTTAGAAGTTCTAGATATCGTATCTCCTTTTCAGTATCACATGAATACTGAGATAAAAGCCGATCGGCCAACAAAGTTCTATACTCGTTAACGAAAAGTTCTTTGCTGCCATAAATGCTTACCAACATTGATATTATATCAGCTGTGCGGGGATTTATTTGAGTATCTTTAGTTTCTGAAAAAATTAGAATTAAATATGTCCACCTTGAATTAACAGAGATATCCACTTTTGTTTGCTACTGCATCGATTGGATCAGGCATCCACATTTCCCAGTTGTCAGAGTCTTCATCTAATAGTACATTTTCATTGATCAAAACTGCCTCCTCTCGATTGAGTTCTTCTGCTAAATCGTTAGGTCCCTCTTCAGTTAAACTGCTTACAACACACCTAAAATCAATCAAAGTCAATTCTCGCAACCTGCATTCGGGGCCAAATCATACCTGACTGTATCTTCGCGGCTTCTTAGATATTGATGAATTGGTTGAGTTACCATTTCCAACAACAATCCCGAAGGATCCAATACTCTTAGTGATCGAATAGTAGCGACATACGCTGTAAGCACATCTGCCGTACTCACACCTGGGTGTAGCAGTCTTGTTTCCATAGCTTTTTGTAACTTTTTTATTAAAAGAGATTTTAGATCTGTTCGAGGCAGGCAAAAGCGAATATCTTGCAAAGCAGGTAAAGATTCTGGAAATTCTATAACAACGTTTTTTAATTAAATTAACTCCTGTAAAAACTTGTTATGATAAACATGTAAATTCTTTTGTTTCGAATTTTTTTGAGGTCCCTTACTTTCATTTAGAGAAGTTTGCACCTAGATCGGTATTTGACATCTTTTGGCTATCATTTATATTGTTTTCAAAGCTATTTGTTTCATCGAAAAAATTTTAATTGTTGTTTGCATCAAGGCACTATTTTCAATAAAATCTTAAGTTTGTTGGTTTAATCCTCATTGAAAATTTATTCGTTTCGACATTATAAGTAATTATAAAAATTCACAGATTCACAGATACCCCAAATAGACTTTTTTATTGAGGATATGTTTTTATGCCATCGAGGTGAGCACCTTATGCTAGTTCAGAACTACTGAGTGTAGGTTTAAATTAATAATATACATAATACATAATTATTATGTAGCGAATTTGGTGACATAGAAAACACATCTTTTGCATAAAAATTCGATACTGACGTCACAGAAGGTATCTGCTTTGCCGAAACTTCCTTGCGATAATTTAGTTTATATCCAAAAATGAGAAGTTTTTGTTGAGCTATTAGAAATATCAATATTTTTAAATAATATCTATTGCCTAAAAATATGAATGAAAACCTGAATTTTTGGAACATGTTAACCAAATAAAAAAATGCAATAATATACAGTGCTCCAATTGAAATTTTAAAATATCAAGGTTTGATACTGAGATACAAAGATAAAAAAGAAACACACAGTAATGAGATATATAATTTGTGACTTTTTGGTACATTACTTGGTATATTATTATTGATTTGAAGATAACTTCTGTATAATCAGTATGTAATATTTCTTAAAACACCCAGTATTCTGACTTTTAATATTTACCTATTATAATGTTAAATAACTGGTCTATCCTGACTCTGATGTAGCTGTTGTATAAATAATTTATTAATTTCTTTTCTAATGTTTCTATTGACTCATTCAAGGTGATGGATCTATCTAAGTAGTAAATTTTTTTCAACCATAGGATTACTACTGACTGAAGCCACTACAACACAATCATCAAACTTTTGGCCAAAAATTGTTAAAATTATACCTTCTCTAAGGAAGTAATGAATGATAAATCAAAGTTATCTTTACAAACTTTTTGAATATGTGAATAAATGTATGTGTAACTTAAATTTGTTAAAGTTTGACCAACCAAAGGCTCCAGAAGAGTCATATCTCCCAGTTTCCTAAAATGTCAGAAAGTTATAAAATACATAAAATAGATAATTTGTTACCTGTTTGTTTCTTGAAACAAGTGCAAACAATTGCAATGAAAGCTATCCTGTACACAGATAATACATGTACCTCCTGGATTGTTTTCTTCAACATCTTCCATTCTTAAGGCTGTTAGGTAAAAATTGCTGGTGACCAATTGGTAATTTACATGCAACTGAGACAGCAAAGTGGACTTTAAAATAAGCTTTAAAGAATCCTCAACAGATTTTTCATTATAGATGGATTTATCCAAATGAGTTGCTTGCCTTAACATTTCTAGTTTGCTCATTACATTGTCCAGGTATCTGTAGTTATCATAAAGAGATTTTACGGCATTATAAAACTGCTTGAATCCCCTATTGTCATTCTCTGATTTTTTGAAGTATGACCAAAACTCTGGCACCACTTCATCCCTTAGTCGTTTCTCAATTTTACTCACGATAAAATCTTGGATTGTTTCTTCTATAGGAGTAGTTTTCATATAATCTATAATTTGATTAAATTCATTTTTAAGAACCACTTCTTCCCCAGAAGGGCACAATGTGTTCAAATCATCTAAAACTGGAAATACTTTAATGATGAGAGGCCATATATTTTTATAATTAGGAGATACATCCATCCTTTCACTAAAAGGAATTAATGAAAGGCAGCGTAGTCAAATTGCAAATTTATATTTGATATTGACATTCATTTGCTCAAGGGTTATATTTACTGATCTCTGATCTGATCAGAAAATGGTAATTGCAGATTTCCTCCAGTTTAGTAACATGGCCCATAGTTAGAGTAACGCCACTATCTGTTGAAATAAGTTTCATCTGTTATTTGCCAGAGGGTATAATATCAACAGGGATGCTGTTATTTTGGATTTTCATGCAAAACAGTTTGGCGTGAAAGGTAAATTTGTATTACAGAATTTCAGATTCCTTGTAGTTTCGTGACAATCCCTGTCATTGATCTTTCTGTTCAGCCGGATTCTGGCTAATGTAACGCTTATGTGAAATAACTATCCGTCTCTGTTCTCGTCATTGCCCCACATGATCCTCTTCCAATCTTAGAAAATCTCCTTAGATTTTTTTTAATTACGTTTTAAGTCACTGCTTTCTTTATTTATCAAAACGCGGGCACCCGGTGGGAATCGAATCCATAACCTCCGGTCAGTTGAGTTGGCAGGTCTAACGCCTTACCAACCGAGCTATCGTCCGACCCTAGAATTTTGGTTGATTGGTGGGTTCTTCTTCTTCGGTAAAATTGTTCGCTTGGTCGTTAAAAATAAGTTATGTTTTTAGACCTTGAAAGAAGAAAGAAGAGGTTGTACGTGGCCCACGACATTAACCATAAAATATCTGGAGTTTTCAATATTAAAGAATTTCTAAAACATATTTGAAAAGTTAAAATAAAATGCAGATATTGGATAATCTCAATAGATCTGATCCTATACTAGTGTTGGGAGACGAAGACGACAAGAAATCTTTGGAAGGGATCCTTGAATCCTTTGTTTCTCCGTTAATTTGTTCACTAGGTAGATTATTCAGTGAGTGATTTTGGTTTCATTTTTTTGTTGTGTTGAGTAACTCATTATTTTAGATGTGCCAGATAATTCCATCGTAAATGCGGTGGTTTTAGTACCACCTCAAAAACTTTCTTCTGACATATTAAGAAAGCTGCACAGAGTTTTAAAACCTGAAGGGAAATTATTGATCAAAAAGCTGACTTCTGATTTAAACAACATTGAATTCGCTTTAACCACTAGCGGGTTTATGAGTGTAACTAGTAATGACTCCTTTGTTACATGTAAAAAACCTAAATTTGAAGTTGGATCATCTGCAAAATTAAATCTAAAACAAGCAGGCAGCAATGTTTGGAAACTTGATGCTAGTGAAGATGAGGATGACATTATTGATGCGGATGAGTTATTGGATGAAGATGATTTTAAAAAACCTGAAGAGTTCAGTTTAAGAGGTAGACACTGTAGAACTATAGAATGATAATTTCACAGTATTTTGTTATAGTGTGTGGGACAACTGGGAAACGTAAAGCTTGTAAGGATTGTTCCTGTGGTCTAGCTGATGAACTGCAAACTGAATCCCAAGTGGGAAAAGTTGTAGAAACATCTAATGCCCAGAAATCTTCTTGTGGAAATGTAAGTATTCATTTTTGTTATTAAAATCATATTAAAAAAGAAAGAAAGAAAACATTGATATTAAGGATAGTGGTAAGTATTTGGCGAAAAAGTAATGGGGCGATTTTATTTTAGATTTTTTATTTTTTAATGATTTATTGCTATAAACTTGTATTAGACATTCATTTTGGCCCTTATTTGACTTTCAGTGCTATTTGGGAGATGCATTCCGCTGCGCTTCATGTCCGTACCTTGGTATGCCTGCCTTCAAACCAGGAGAGAAAATCCAGTTATCCAATATAATGCTTCAAAGTGATATATAATTTTTTTGGTGATTAGGAAGTTTAGACATATTTTTTAAATTAAATTATTACCGAGTCTGATTTGAAGTAAAACCAAAAGTTTCATATTTGTGCGTTTAATTGAAATAGAGACTGATAAAATTGCATTATAATAAATAAATAAATTATGAATTACAGTTATCTAGTAAAATTGTACAAAATATCACAAAATATGTCAACGAGGTGTGCTATTCGCAGAGTTCTTTGGTTCTGGGTCGGCCCAACTTCAGTTCCACCAACGCATCTAACTTATTCAGTCCCACTCCGTTGGCTTCTTCATAGTACTCCAGGTTCTTGCAGGTTCTGTACCAGTGGGAAAGATTGGGGTATTTTTCTGTTGATATGGGGGTAATAACCGTCGCTGTGCTGACGGTGGCCACGCAACATAAGTCCGCGACTGTAAGAAAGTCGCCAGTTAAGAAAGTCTTGTTTTCTAGGAATCCATCCAGGATTTTGTATGACTCCGTAATTGCACTTATCTTCTCTGTGGGGATTTCTTTTTCGTTTTCTATGATGATCGCCTGCTGCAAAATAAAGTAAATTAATTAATTAAAATTTTTAATTAAATATTGGATTTGTGAAGTTGTGGATATCAGTTGTGACTGAACAATATTCCAAACTCTTGCAAACTAAAATATTGCAAACTTGAAAGAACACAGGCAGCCCAATGTAGACCCAACTTTACATTCTTTCATGGATATGGGGGATATTAGATACCCAACTTAATGGACTAAATACCAATAACTTTGAAATCCTCTTGTATTGTACTGTAATGAACAGAGTTTTTGAAATTACAAACATTAAAGGCAATAACCTTTGAAATGTCAAAAATGCAAGCTCTATTGACATTGTAATCATCATACTAGACTAGTAATAGTACTCTCTTGTTAACAACAGAATTACAGGAAGTAACCAAATTGCTTATTATTACACAAAATGCAGAAAGCAAACAGCAACATTGGACCACATTCAATCATTTACTGCCTTCCCTAAATAATGCACATATCCACCATAAACTCAATTTCCAAAAAAATCCATAGATTTTTAGTCTATGGTATCCACATACACTCCAGAAATCCTTAAATGCAGTTAAGGACACATGGCTACTCCATTAAGTTTTGCCAAGTTGAACTTCTCTCCTTATTTTTATAAACACGTTTAGATAGATTCAACATAATTAATTTTATGATTGATCGATCAAAACTTTTGTGTGTTTCAAAAAACAGCATCCTTAAAATATCTCGGAAAATAATTATATTTTGGCGTTGCAAAAAGAGAGGATCCAATACAAATCAAATGTGCAGGTGCGAAAAGATAGATTGCGCGCCCATGTTTTGGGAAAAAAATAAAATAAAAATTCTGGACGCAAGAAGGTTGTTGAAAAACAAAATTAACTCTTTTTTTATTATTAATTAGTGGAAAATTGTAGTACTTTGTTTTGTGTCCATTTTAATTTTTTCATTATAAGTTCACTGACGGAGATCTCCAGTATCTCAATGACTTCAAAACAAGGATAATTATTATTGCTTTAATTAAAGCGATATCAGCAATTAAAAGGGTTACTTTCTGAGTTACTTACTCTAAACTTAATTTTTAATTAGGATAAGATAAAAACATTCAATTTTGAAAACTTATGGTACGCTTTAATCGGATCTCCGCAAGTGGACAAAATCGAAAAGTTGTAAATGTAATTTAAAGTGAAGGACTAAAACCCCTTAGTTAATAATAATTAGAAAACGCATGTGTTATTATACAACAAGTTTCATAAACGATACTTCAGGCACGACTTTGTTTAATAAACGAGTGACAATAAAGTTTATAAACGGGTTTTTTTGTTTTTTCTTTTCTACGTCTCTTACCTTTTGGGCAAGTTTTTGTAAAATAGCACAAATGCTACTACGTGACGTATTTTGCGACCATGAGAACTGACAAATGTCAAAATACCATTCCTGGCCAAAATCTGTCGAAAATATCTGTCGCTGTCAAACCCGTGACTAAAGTATTGGAAACACAATGCTTGCGGAACATCTGAACTGTGCATGCTTTGGTATTTTAGACCGGCAAGTACAAAAGAATATTTGGTTGTTCTCAGTTCTCCGTTTATGTATACAGGGTGTTGCATGCTCGACTGGAAAGTTCATAGTAACGTCCAGTCCAGGAATGCTTAGTTTTTAAAATATAGGGGGTTCAATATTTAAGAAAAAAACAGTTTGTGCGAAAATACCAATATCATAAGTTTTCCGCGACCAAAGGGTTCAAAAATTACGTTTTTCCAGTTTTTGCGATTTTTATTTTTTCGCTCGAAAACGAGACAAGAAAACCCAAGGGACGAAAAAGTTATACTTTTAATGGTTTATTTAAAGTGAACATCAAAAATTGCAAGAAAGTCAGTACAACTCTTTAACAATACTATTCGTTATCTTCCGAGACATCACTGCACTTAACACTTTTAATCCAGTTGAAGTAAAATTATCTCTTTATTATTAAAAATAACTTCAAATGTCTGTCAAATTATCTTAATGACACGGACCAATGCGGTCCAGATTTAACTCCCCTGCATATTTTTTTTTGGCGACATCTTAAAGAAACTGTCTGTCGCCGAGAGAAATCGAAACTTGGATGACTTAACACAAAGCATTTTACAATCAATACCTTAAGTGTATAAATGATGAAGTGTACAAAAAAATATATATTTGTTTGTATAGTACATTGTTCACTACTTATGATTTATTTAGAATTGTCGTTTTAGCAATTCTTTCTCTAAATTTGTTTTCTATATATCTGAACTTGCTTCTTAACGGTCCAAGTTTACCAAATAATTCTCAGCATTCTCTTCCCGCTTGAGATAAAATAAACGTACAATTCTTGATTTTTATTATAATAATTAAACGGCGTTTTTTTCAAATACACAAGAATGACTTGGCATTTATAAACAATGAATTGCTTTTTTCTCTTCGCGAAAAGTCAAAATGTCACATAAACCGCATTCAATTGTTCTTCGGCCGCCCTGGCTATAATGGACTAGGGTTTACTTGCAATTTAAAAGCTTTGAAGCAAAATTTTGAAAAACCTTTGAACATAAGTTAAACAAACCCTATATTATTGGAAACAAGAAAAAAGATCTTTATTTTTGTGAAATAATATATAGGGTGTTTTTAAAAAAATATAACTTGATTTGAAAAAATCAATTTTTTATTATCTTTTGTGTATGGAACAAATATAACATTTAAAAGAGGTAGCAAATTATGATTATTTTGAATGATGGCTCTCCTCCTAACATTGGCAAATGTTTTTCGAAACACCCTGCATACAGACTTTTTTAATAGTTCATATTGTACATAAGTCAATTGAACCGCGAACTAACCCTACCATCAGTCTTTTTTTTTCGAATTTTAGCTGTTTTTCCAACATCGCTATAAGACAAAGCAATTGTCCGAAATTTGAAGTTATCGATTTGAAATTCGGCAGGGATGTAGCGCATTGTCCCCTGGCGGAGGTTATTGGAAAGAGGGGAGGGGGCTCGTGCAATATATTAATATATTCAATAGCGGTACTTTTACAAAACGCGCATTTTTGATATTGCTCGGGATGCTCCAGTTATCTTCAGAAATCTGTAAGTCGACTGCCGTTTTCCGCATATTATATAGAATGCGCAAGACATTCCGTGTTTTCTTAAAAAGACAATTCTAACAATTCAAATTTGCAGCTATTGACTTGAAATGTAGCAGAGGAGTCTAACGAGAAATTTGGTGCATGATTTAAAAATATACGGTGGAATATTGTCATGTCCTTATGATCTATTCTAAAATTTCCATTTGAATGCGGCTTCTAAATTTCATATTGAACTATCCATGAATTTCAAAACTCTGAATCATTATGAAGGATTTTTTGTTGATCCGGCTGATTAGAATCCATTTTCACCTTAGCTTTCATTTCTTTTCCTCAAATGTCATACAGTGCGATGAGTTTTCTTTGCAGTTATTTGATATGCAATTTTGATATCGATAATATTTTTTCCGTTTTAAAATTCGTATACTACTGTTATAAATCTAGGCTGGCATGAATTTTTATTTACTATTCTTTGCAATTGGAACACACTCTGGCATAATAGTTTGTATTTAGTAAATTACATAATTTTTCCAAGCCCGGTAAATTAATTTGTGAGATACACAAATCTCATTTTGTTTGGTTTTGGTGAGTCGGTTCAAAGCAAGCTTAAAAATATACTAGACTATTAATGTCGTTATTTTTTTGATTGGTCTTCTATTCTCTTTGTTATTTATATTATTCTTTTAGTCAAAACTTTTACTTTTAAGTTATGTTTAAGTAAAGGCCATAAATTATTTCGTTTGTGGTAACAATTTACCGGACAAAAACTTTCAATCAATTTGGCGACCGGTTATCAAAAAATGGTTAGCTTTATAGGAAAACCTGAACATACTTTATGTGATATAATGTGAAATATGAAAACATAGATGGAGGATGCCATTTAAATTAAGATGATGTCAATGTGACGACAAAATCATTGTTTATCGAGATTATTTTTTATTTTGCTAAATAAATACTTCGGCTTACTCTTCGGCATTTTCTTTGTGATTGTGTAATTAGTTGTAATGATTTAGCACATATATGTAATAAGTCCCCAAGCAGCATCAAAGTTGTAGTAACTAGGATGGGAACTTAAAAAAAAATTGTTACGAAATTTTTACTTTGAAAGCGTCTTTTTTAACTTTTGTTTCTCTATATTAGGGAGTTTGAGTAAGTACGTAGTAATTATCACTACATATGAAAACTTTATATTATCGATACTTCTAAGTAGTTTTTAAAGTATTTGGAACGGAACTGTTACTAGAAAAAAGTACGTAACGTACGTCACGTACTTGACTTCGTTATTTGTATATCAATACAAAGTGTTTATTACTTTGTAATAATGATGTTACTAACTTTAAAGTCTCTTGACTTTAAAAAATGCTTTAAAGTAGCATAGCTATGTAGTGATATCGGAGGTGAAATTCACTGTCACGCTACTAAAGAAATCTACTACAAGGTAAGTTTTACTCCCCATTACGATTTAAAATCACCACAAAGTTTCAAATACTACAAGAATATTTTCTTCAAAGATCTAAAGTATAATTGACCCCCGATATACCAACTCCTAGTGCTAGTTTTCTATCAATTATTAGGAAGTTCAACTTTTTTCAAATTTTGGCAAACTAAAATGTCCACCTAATTACTTTAATTTTGGTTTCTCCTCTGATATTGTAAAAATTGTTATATTTCTAATTGTGTATATTTTTATTTTTGATGAAATAATTTTAATTTTTATTTTATTATTTCTAATTGTTTTAGTGATTTCGGATGTAACCAAAAATTCAAAATATATATGTCATCTAACTTAAATACATGAAAATGTAGAAAATCCTTTCCAAAAAATTAAATTAACGGAAATAAAATTCTAAGCAAATGAATTTTCGTTACGGAAAAACTTAAAACAGACGTTGAAATCCTCTGGCGAGAGGGAATAAAGACGGTGACTTGCATTGAGTGCGTCCAATTTGTGATTGAAATAGAAGAAAGAACGGGTAGAGTCGCTTGTTCCCCTTATTCTGAATGACTTGGAACATGATGACTAAAATTTGCAAATGAAGTTGTAATGTAAATAGTTGATATTTTTAAAAATAAATCAAATATTTATTACAATGTATGTATTTTCATATTGTTCTTACTTCTATATAAATTTTTATTTACTTGATCTTGGAGTGATTAATATATCAATTATTTGCCCATCTGCATAATTATTACTTTCCTTCCATTTATTCACCAAACTTGACTTTCTATTGTATGCAAATTGTACACCCTGTTCAATGTTCCCTGTCATTGGAATTTTACATTTTACATAAATATCCGTCTGTAACGGTCTTTGGAGTGTACACTGAGCGCTGCAGCCACAAATAAAGCCAGACACTCGATAAATTGCCAAGACTAATTTTTTGTTTGTTTGTCAGTATTAATCAATAAAATTTTCAAATTTAGAGGATAATTAAATTGTTTCGAAATCACCAACGATCTGGTGCAAAGGAGCAAGCCCTTATTTTAAAACTTGTTTCCTCCACTCGCGAAAAAATGCGGGGTAAACCGCTTTTTGAAACTTGAAAACATCTCATTTTTATGAAGAAGCAATTTAAGCTTCTGAAAATTATTAATTAGTTAGATACTTATTATGTCTTATTGTGGCGTGTTGCCGATGCATGACATGTTGCTCTAAGATCGGTGCATAAGCTTGTTTCTGGGGGCATCAAAACCCATCATGAACATAAAATCCCTTTATGTAAGACTTATGTAATTTAAAAGGTAGTTCAGTCAACAGTTTTTGGACAATCTTAGTGAACCTTCTTTAATAATAATGCACGTTGCATCGTGTCACGGTAGACTCGCTGAGCTAATTCCTAATCAATGTTGGATCAAGTAATCTCTCATCGAGTGGCAGCAAAAAAGGAATATTCCATTTCAGATCAGCTATGGATGTTAGTGAAGCAACAGTTGCCAGAAAAAGTGCAGCGGTAGTTCCTAAGTATTTTTCTTTGAATAAAAAAATATTTCAAAATATAATCTTTTAAGAATGGACGAAATAGCATTGAAAAATGGCCATTGCGTTTTGCGGCTTCTGCCTTATCGTTGCTAATTTAATGAGACCGAGATGATTTGGTCAGGCTGTAAGCGGTATTATGATGCCAAAATAGGTTCTATCCATCCCGTAACATCGGATGTTGTACTGCGTTTATGAACTGAAGCACTTCCTCAAGTAAACTAGTAATAATACTTCTTCTGATAGAGTATTCATAACACAAGAAAAATGGAATAACTAATGTAGGCACACAGACTCTGCTTTGCTCTTTGCTTTATGGGTTTTCGTTGTTTTAGTTGTTGAGGCGTTGGGAGTTTTTTAAAAATAAACCTATCTAATTGATATTTGTTTTCTCCCATATGCGTTTAATTTTGTCCGTTTGCTTAAATATGCCACTGAACCAAGTTGCCATAACAAAATAGGTATCTAAATAAGTGATGTTTTTCGCGAACGAATGTCCTTTGACCGTGTTTCTAGTAGGTTTTATCATTTTTAGAAAACCTGTAGATAAACGATGACTGTTGTCTTTTCAAACAGTTTTTTAAAATTTAAATACGTAGAAAGATATGTGAAATTGCCCGATAACAAAGACAAAAATGTAAGTATTATATAAATTTTACCATCATTTACTCGTAAAACGATTCACTTACTCTTCAAGACAAGGTCTAAACAAATAATGACTATATAAGGTATAGACACTACCAAAAAAAAAGTATCGTGATAATGATTATTGATCCGCATAAATTACAATGGACAAGTCAAGAAGCAAAGAAAAAATAAATATAAAAAATTGTATAAAATACAGCACACTTTCACAAACTTTAACACATAGATGTAAAATAAACACAGATAAATCATTTAAAATGCTTGCACACTCTTTAAAGTCATTTAGGTCATAATATGCGAAAAGATTGGTATTTTCTCGCAACTCTGTAGGTAATATATTTAAAAGAAGACATCCTGTATATTCAGGTGATTTTTTATAACTGCAATAATTATATGCATTGAATTTTAGTTGATCTCTAGTTCTAGTCAGGTATGTGTCCTCTACTCTGTGATATAAATATCTACGCTCATATACATAACACAGTATCGTCAATAAGTAAATGCTAATAAATGTTAGTGGTTTATGTTTTTTAAACATCGGTCTACAGGATTCTAAAAGATTTAAAGCAAATATTTATCTTTTGCGAGATAAAAACACTTTCAGTAGCGCTACCATTTGGTATGCTGTAGCTTATAGCTTAATAATAATATAGCTTAATTACGTAGTAATACGCACTTAAAAGACCTTGTTCATCAACAGCATTTTTGAGGTTTAGTTGAGCTGTTTAGTTTCTTACATCGATTGTTCAGTTTATTGAGGGGAAACGGTCTTCCGTTTATGGTATGTATGGCCAGGCAAGTCATGACTATTTATCGCGCGCTAGGCTATACTCTCGCATTAAAAGACGTAAAGACATTCGGAACCTAATTTAACCTGTTTCAACGAACGATGGGACTTCTCATTTGCTGATTAACTAACTTACAATCACACAGTTTACTCGCGGAAATAACGTGTCGGACTCGAAGAAGAGCTTCTGATCGACGAGGTCTTTCCGTTCGGGGTCCAGCGGGTACAGATTGTCATCCGGGCCGTATTTTCCCACCAGAAACTCTAAAATTGAGTGCGTATCCCAGCTCACGAAGTCTCCGTCGACAAAAGTCGGAACCGAATGCTCGGGATTAATCTGCAAAGAGAAAAATGGGTAAGTGAGAAAGGTTTTTATTTTCCATTAAACATGGAAACAAACATCGCGACCTCGTCGCCTTTCAGATATAAATTCTTTTTCCGGTCACGTAGCGAAATTGTTCCGTTAATAAACATTGCATGACGCCGTATTTGCATCGAAGAATGCTTTTCTTTTCGCATGAATTTTCATGAAGCGTAAAATGTGATTCATGGGACTGGAATGGTTCTTTTAATATGAAATTGCGTGAGACTTGAGCGAAATACATTTTTCTTTAAATAAAATCCGTTTTTTTATGGCATGCGTTTCGATCCAAGTTGTAGAGCGTGATCGTAATTGGAATGTCAATTATTTAGAAATGATTAATGAACAATCAAATTTAACGTAAATAATAAATTAGAATAAAGTTGAGTGGCTGCCTCTGACTTTTCGTTTGAACAATACACGTACATTTTAAATGAATTTTAAAACTTAAGTTTACCCATTAACTTCTTGGCAATATGCTAATCGATTTAAAAACCCTTACAAAACATTATTGAGGATAATTTCATTAATTTACCTTATTTCTTATTTCATTTTAAATTTGAAATCATAAAAATTTTGTAGTTTTTCCATATACACATTTTGAATAAATTTTAAATTTAAATAAAGTCCTGAAGTTATTGAAAATCCCTAAATAAAACATGGCTTCAAAACTATACACTAACTGACGATGAAAAAATGGAATTGAGTTGCACATTCCCATCATGGTTGTTCGTTGGCGAACAATATTATTTGAAGCTACTTCGAATAAAATGCTTTATATGCGATATATTGCACAGAATTGTTATTAACTATAACAGATCAAAAAAGGAATGAGTTTTAAAGAACATGTCACAATAACAGACAGAGGCTATATTCAGCGCAGTTATATAATTCCGAACCAAATTATATTATTATTTATTAGCCACTGCTCTATTTTATTTTTTATTTTATGAAATAGCTTATTTTTAAATCAACTGGAAATATATTAAATATCTTTGGTAGCGTATAAAAAATATATTTTTGACATTTAGATAGTTTTGGCATTTGGAATAATACAGTTATTATTTGTGGTTTTACATGCAATTGGCATTTATATACTTGGGCATTATTAAATAAATCTACACTACCGTTGCCTTAAGTTATATTTTTAAGGGACAATCAAAGTTTCAATTATGGTTTTATTGAATGCACCGGATACATTAATTAAGTAGTGACTCAACTAACGCACAGTACCCCTTTTTTAGCATTTTTGTAGTCATAACCTGTCTACGTTGATAATATTTATATATTAATTTTCTACTTTCATCTTAAATTTGAATCTATAATGCCTTCAAGATATTTAATTTTATTACTTTTGTTTATTTTAGGGCAACAACTGCCGTAGATGCGATTTTGACAGTCAAAGCTATGAACATTTATGTCGATAATAGTGGAGTCATTCAGTTTTTATGTGTTTCGTAGTCTCTTCAGCTTTTATTTTCACCTCATACCGCTGGGGACACCAAGATAACCTGTTAGAGAGATATTGAGGGAATTGTTAATTTTTACTCTCTGAGTTTTATTCGAGATATAAGGTTGTAATAGTTTATTAACAATACCTCTGACTCCCAGTTTTTCCATATTCATTAGCAAGTATTGCCATTGTGTCAAATGCTGCAGCGTTCTCTGAACTAGAGTTTACCCTAAAGGCATACTGGTTATAGTTCTATAATTGTTGGTTATTTTTTATCTCCAGATTTATGGATTGACGTGCGGTAGCAGAATAAGATAATAATTGCTTTTATTGAGATTCTACCCAACCAGATGCGGAATGCTATTTTATTAACATTCTACCATTGATTTATTTGCATTAAAATTTTCTGTGTGAAATTTTAAGTTTAGCTTAGTTATTTTACCATTTTGGCACCTAATCCACTGTAATATTTATTAAAGGTTACAGCCACATCTGAACTTAATTCATCACCCTGATTATCAATGACAATGGTGTTCCTTGTGATTTCTTTTTCATTTGTTGCTTGTTTTATGAGTTGCTATATATTTTCGGGTCATTTTTATATAACAAACTTTTGTAGACAGCAATGATTTTTCGTTTTCCTTATCAAAACACTCATCCGATCTCTAAGGTTTAATCTGATGTTCTCTTTAGTTTTGCGACTACCTGGCCGTAGACGAACTTTACATGCCATGTTTCTATAAATTTTCTTTCAATTTTACTCACTCTTTATCTTCTAATGGGTCTTTCTAGATATTTTGCGATAGCCAAATTACAAATATATTCTTTTATTTTGTATTGTCATCATATCCAATAAAAATTCAATTTTCAATTCTGTAATGTACAATTTATGAACTTTACTGGTACTAGCTACGTACCTGTTCATTCCAAAATTTAATTTCTGTCTTTTATTAGTAAGAGTATAGGGTATTCTATATAAATTATGCATGAAATTTGACAGACTTCAAAAATGAATCCAATATCTGATTTTTAAATGAATTTGTTCCATACTTTAGCCGTTTACTGTATATGATTCAAAAGGCTTCAACAACGGCATTTTAAGACCATCTAAAATAAGAAAATTGTATTCGTTTGAGGGAAAACGGAGAATTGTAGATAGAATATGAGAATATCAATGCAATTGCCTCAAAAAGTGCTCTGAAAAAGTTATCCGTGATTTTCAAAATGTTTGTATTATTAAATATTTTTCAAAAATTGAGACCTTAAAAAAAATTATTAAAATGTCAAAATGTGTTATTGAAATGATGTCATATAATTTAACCAATGAATCTCAAGGTCGATTGACAAATGACTAAAATACTTCTGATAACCGCCTCTGGATCTTTCGATGGGATGAAATAATGTCAGCGATAAAATGAGATTTGCCATGGTGCTTCGTTTAATAAGCTTAAATATGAATTGCTTATCTCATAAATTTAAATCCCTTGACATTACCAAAACTATACACAAATTGGTTTTAGTGTTAGTTTTAACAATATTTTAGTACCATTAGCTTAATACGCTTTTTATCTGCTAACACGAAAAACATTGGTATCGTAGTTGTCAGCGTAAAAGTGGTTGCGTTCATAGTCGTCATGTGAGGCTGAATAAAGTTGCGAAAAATGGGCTTTCCAAAATACGGCATCAGTGTTGAGTATACATTTAGAATAAAATGTGCGATTTCAATAATACACTGTATATATAGGAGGAGTTGTCCGTTAGGGTTGGCATGTTGGAGGACAGGGCTAATGTCTGGTTCGAAAATAATTATCTTAAATTAAATTTAGACAAGACCCAGAGTATTGTGTTTTCCTCCAATTGATTGGTAAATAGTGGACAGTCCGTCAAGTTGCTTGGCGTTAGGATCGATGATAGTCTAAATTGGAAACAACATATCTCAGACCTGAAAAATAGATTGTCCAGCAACATATTCGTTCTTCGACGACTGAGAGGCCTGATAGGAACAAGGACTCTGCTTATGGTTTATTTTTCTTTGTTGCATTCACACTTATGCTATGGCACGGTACTGTCGGGTGATTCCTTAGCTGCTGTGGAGATTTTTAGAATGCAGAAAAGGGCCATTCGAGTCGTTGCTAATATAGGATATAGGGACCATTGTCAACCTTATTTAAAAAAATTCAAAGTGATGCCCCTTCCTTGCATCTATATCTACTACCAGTTATTAGAGATACAGAGAACGAAAGGAAACTTTAGCGCTAATTGCGATTGCCATGCCTATTCAACTCGTTCGGGGGATCTCCTTAGACGGCCTAGGTTTAGACTGAGGGAGTCTGAGAACAACTCATTGAACCTGAAATTGTATAATGTTTTGCTAGGTACCGTGAAAAAGATGAGCAATAGAAAATTTAAACATACTATTAAAGAATTCCTACAACGTCATTGTTTTTACTCCCTGCGAGCATACATTGACACTGTCACTGGTATCGATGCGCTATAAAACTGTATAGTACTGTCTAATTTTGTTTGTATTAGATGTGTGTCTTTATGTTATTTATTAATTTGATTTTATTGCACTGGAATATCACTTCTGACTTGCTACAATTGTACGTCCCTTTTGTACGAATCCTAGTCAATAAATGGATCTATTTATCTATCTATCTGTCTATAGACTAAAAGTAATATAAATCAAATGCCGATGTGGCTATGTTTGTTATTGTCCTTTTGTCGGTTTGGTAGGGCTATTTTACGCAGGGTCGACTACTACCATAGCCCAGTTGAACCTAACAACCTAACTACTGATGGAAAAGGTTTGCTCAGATCTTTGCGCGCTTTGATTTAGTTTTGCCTTTCAGAGAACGTATCAGTTCGGTGCTTCGATTCGACGTTTTTAGCGCAGTAAAGTACTACTTTTTCGAGAATAGTTAAATTATTTTGTTGCTTCACTTTTGAAATCAATTAAAGGAAACTTTGTTTAATAAGTTAAAAATCAATGTTAACAATACCAAATTTATGTTATTTAAACAGAAAAAATAAACGTATTGAGCATGAGCATGAACATGAGTCAGTTTGCACGTTTACTTTTCTTGTGAGATCCAAGCGTTAGACGTGTTTTGTGTGTTCGGCGATTTTTTGCTATCAAAAACAATGGAACAAAGAATTTGCATAACATTTTGTGTAAAAAATAGAATACGGTGCTGCAAAATACTTGAAATGTTGACAACGGTATATGGAGAATCTACTTTGAGCAAAAAAATGTTTATAAGTGGTACAAGTTATTCCAAGATGGCCGAGAAGATGGCGATGACGAACCTCGCTCTCGATGGAAGCGTTGTAGAAATGGTATTAGAGAAGTGGCCGAAGACGTCGGCGGCATCTCTATTGGCTCGTGTCATGCAATTGAGCATGAAACGTGTAACAGAAAAATTTGTTCCGAAACTGCTTAATTTTGAACAAAAGGAGCGTGGAAGGATCATCGCTCAAGAGCTGTTAAACGACGTCAATGATTATCGTTATAACGTCGAAG